GAAAAAAAACCAATTTTGCATCCACTCAGCCAAGCGCCAAATCCCATTCAGGTCACGCTGAATAACTGTATTGCTGAGAGAGCACATGAAGGACTGGTTTTTGTTTGTTAGTTTTTACACAGTACAAGTATATGCTACAGCATTTATTCCTAAATTAAGGAATAAATATCTTTTCAGTTCCAGGAGCAGGGGCCGGTAAAGCTTAGTCGAYAACAGATGTGTTTCATTTTATTATGAATGTAAAGCTGGAAAAGGTACAAGTCAGTTCAAACATGGATTTATTGTGTATGAAGTATTTAGCACACTAAATATTTAGTATTTTAAATATATATTTTGAATAATTTAGTCTAAAACATAACTAATSCTTCCATATTCTCAATATTAATGTTGATGTAACCAATGCTGTAAGAGGAACTTCTTCAACCTTATTTGTGTGGAATGTGTGGTAGGGAGCTACCATGTCATCAGCAAGGTGACACGCACCGTGTGGCTGGACCCACGTGACAAGCACCCAATGCCATAGAGTGCGGTCATGYCAGCGCTGTCCCCGGCAGCTGCCACCTCGGCGCGGCGGGAGCAGAGCTGCAGAACAGTGACACYGCTGCCCAAGGTGTCCCCTGCAGCCCCATGAGCAGTAACTGTCCTGGGTAGGACAGGTACTGCAATGCAGACCAGAGCACACACAACAGCAGGGCAACCAACCTTCCCCAAACATCCCAAACAAAAAGCAACACAACATAAAGCATCTGACGCCCTCAAATCGTGTTTCCATCATGCCCTCATGTTTCCATCTTTTGCATACTGCTAATGTGTAGTTAACATGCACTCACTTTTAAGGCATATAACAAAACGTAACAAGCAGAGCTTCAACCTGAATGGTCTCTTCTCTCCCCTGGACACTCTGCGTTTTTCCCTGCCTTGCCGACAACTTCTGCCTTATTTGGCTTAAGTAGCAAAATGATCCATTAGCTGACAACCCTACAACACAAGTCACAAATATCAAATACCAAAAAAAGAATTCCTTAAGGAGCTTATTGTTGGTAAACACAAGAAATACTTATTTTCCTGGCCGCTGGTGACACTAGACATTGGTGTGGCTCTAGACCCTTTTGTGCCTTTGCTTTGGGTTAAAGCTTCAATGGGAAGATGCAATGACGGGAGCTGACTCCAGCTTATGACGACAAAACTGCCTTGAACRCAAGGTTCTTCCAGTGCAACCAAGTTCACTAATTTGAGATAAAGCAGAAGTCTCCAGTGGTTCATGCGGGATGAACCACTAGGATGGTCCCGTGCGGATGGGCGCAGACTCCCAGGATGATGATATTCCTAGATGCCAGGGCTGCCCACACTGTTGGCTCCGCGTARGAAGTGTCAGATTCAAGGGCCTGGCCTGGGTGGAAGCAGCTGACAGACAAGGCAGTCCTCGGATCAAAAAAAAACCAGCGAGTGTTGCTCAGGCTGCAGCTCCAGACCTGCTCCTCCTGCCCAGGCTGATCCTGACAGTGACACATGGGACACGCGTCCCCTGACCGAACAGGACAACTGCTCGTGTTTAATTTGCACCACTGCGAGTACTGAGACCTGCCAACTATGGGCAATAACTCTCCTCCTGTCATTAATCAAGATGCAATTGCATTAGGATAGAATTTTAAAGGCACAAAATTATGCAAAATCATATAATAAAAATAAACTGTGGGGAAGATCAGTTAGTTATGGCACAAGCCATACTTCCCTGGGGAGGATCTTTTACAAGTTTAGCTTGTTTAAAAACAAAAGTCTACTCACGCCTATTTAAGTGATGAGACTTCTTGAATATTTATTCATCCCTTCATTAGGAATTACATGATGAAGCTGCAGAAAATCAAAGGGAAAGGAGCAGATGAAAGARAAGCCCAACCTTCAAATTCTGTTTCCTAACTACTCTTGCTTTTGAGGTTTCTGCTGCAGGAAAAGAGAAGTCGAAAAAAATAAAATGTTTCATTCAAATTATTAACCAGACATTTGAGTAGAACAACACTGGACTATTTGTACGCAGACAACTTTGAGGCATTTTGCTTTTAATTTGCATACAATTTCTTAAAGTGAATTCCACATAAGAAGGGTGAGATACAACAGCGCTTGTTTATCGTTTCACAAGTTAAGAGGACAAAGCAAACACCCGCCCTCCTTTCAGGCAGCCTCCAGCCCTTACCCCAACTTGCCACTTCTTGCTGCCAGCCTCCATGCCCAATCCGAGCATGGACCAGTCCCGCACTCCACAGATGTGCACACGTGGACTTCAGTGGTACTCAGAGTTGTAACAGCAAGAATAAACCAAAATAGAGTCTTTAGATGAGTTTATAACCTCTAAATGCTTCCCAAATCAAGCCCCAAAATTCACAGTAAAAAAATACTTCAGTTCTTCAGCTCAACTGCTCATCTGACTGTGGTTCCTCTGTGGAACAGCTGGTAGCTAAGGAAAAAAATAACACTTTTTGCCAAATACAATGGTGCAATAAATCTGAAATCAAGAGACCTCAAGATAACTGTACTGAAATGGACTTCCCAGTCAACCTGATGGGGGACACAACTGGACCATACTCTTCTCCTCAACACACTGATCAAGTTTTCTAGCTATATAATTTCTGCACTTGACCAGGCTTTTGGTTTCGTACAAACTGGCATGTACCATCCTCGTTGATGACCAATGCCAATTCCTGATTAAAATATATTACATTATTATGCCTACAATAAAATACTGGCTTGGTATTAAGGACAGCATCATCCTCTTTCTTCATACTTAAAATGAGACTTTAAAAAAGAAAAAAAAAGTTAAACAATGCTTGAAAGGGGAACATTAACAAATCCGTTTTAATGATCATTCCAAAAAGAGCGATGGGAATGTGAGGCTATCCAGGTAAACAAGAGAAAGAGCCATAAACTGCAAAGCTTGACACACCAGCAAAGCAAAAGCAGCAGAAAATCCATATTGTAAGAGCTGTCTTTTCTTAGGTCTTCCAACAATAAAAAAATGACTTACCCTTCTACCTCAAAGTTTACAAGAAGGATTTGGTTTTGGTATAGGAATTCCTAACAGAGCTTTGTGACACTGCTCAATGAATTCACTGTGTAGAAGATGAGTGGAGAATAGATCCCTTGTGCTGAAATGGGAGCTACAGAAGCCGAAGGCGGGCGCCCACACCGCAGCACGTCRCCACCTGCAATCCAACCGGGCACTGGCTGCTTTTTTCCTCTCAGTAATGTGGTTTCTCCAACAAGTCTACTGAGTCTACAATATTTCTGTACCAGAGAAGACTTTAACAAAAATAACAAAAAAAAACCCCAAAACAACTTTGTACACTTTAATATTCATTAATTCTCTAATCATTTTTGCTATATATTTAACACTAGTGTGACAAAATATCTGGATAATTATATTTCATGCATGTAACTTAAATGAGGAGCTAGCACTATCTAAACTGCTAAACCTAGCACTAGAGGGTTACTTTTGAGTCTACAAGACGAGTATTTCTGCAAGACCAACAACTAGATGGGTATGCATATAACAGAAGAGGCTCAGCTCGATGTGCTTGGCAGCTATCTGAATGACAGCACAGCCTTTGGAAGGACTGGAGTGGCAACATCCTTTGGCCTAAACACACCTGACCTATTGTTTCGGAAGGCTTGAGTGAAGGTGGAAGAATCTTGCGGATTATTGTTAGCAAAAGTGTTTATGCAGTCAGGCAAAAAGTGTAACTTTTGCTAGTTTGTTTCTGTGGTTTGTATTTTTACTTAGACATGGAGATATGTTTTACTGACTCTACCCATGTTGCTATTGTCTAGGTCACAACAGAGACCTTGAGAACAGGCAGTACATTTCTGCAGCCGACCAGAGACTGCTGCTCAGATGGCTGCTGTTCCTTCTCTGCAGTCCCCTGGTGAGTGCATTTTCAATGTCAACCATGAAAACAAGCTTCCAGGAATCCAGATTTTCAACTAAAGGAAAGTGTAAATCACTTCCATTTCTCCTACAATACCCACAGGTTTTAAAACAAAATACTAGAAATTAAAAGAATAATGAGTTGTGATTATCTTCTGCTATACTGGGAATTTCCCTTTTTCACTTAGCATACATTCTAACAGAAATCCCACAGTACAAACCAGGTAATTTCAATTAAGAAACAAAGCAAAACAAAACACAAATTATTCAGTCCAATGTCAGAGCATGTGTACGTGTGTATAATACTGTAAGAGTAGTCACACATTAGAGGTATATAATTCAAACAGCATTTTCCTTCATGAACCTGCTATTACCGAGGCAGTGACAAAGCTTCCATTTCTCTATTTTCTGAGCTCTTAAAAATGGATATTGCCACATTTTGTGACCCTAAAATACTGCACAAGCAGAAGCTTGTTGGTATCAGGTAAGGACTAATAGTACTAGTGCAAACAGGTACAGACAGTTCCTCCAGTTTTGGGATGAACCAGCTATCTAATACTGAAAGAGGACAGGCAACTTCAAACCCACACTCGTGTTTCTCCACTCAGACGTGCATCCATCTCAGGCTTGGTCTTCTTATCACAAGGGTGGGGTGGGGGCAGAACCACCAGCTCATGAGATATTTATCACATGTATCATTTCCTGGCTTGTTCTACTAATATTACAAATGTCTTGTAACAAGTCAAGGAACGATGAATACCTCAAGCTTCAGGTAAGTGACAATAACATTGACTTAGAACTTTTGGTAAAAAGGGAAGCATTCTCTCCTGAGATAGCAGTCAGGGAAGGAACAGGAATGATGAACTTAGCACTATACCATCACTTGATCATCATGCACCTCAGCTGACCAGATGAGAAAGAACAAGTGTTTATTGCCCTCTGCTCACCCAAAGCTATAGTAGGCAGTTTATTTAGGTAAGTGCTTGGCAARCCATAATGTTGTCAGAGCAGTTCTCACTGTACTGTCCCCCTTTAGCTTATTTCTTTAAAATAAGGAGAAAAAAAATWAAAAAAAGGAAAAAGGAAAAAAATCTCAGCAGGTTAACCCTCATCTTCTCTCAGCTCTGTGGGTAGAAATTTATATTGCTGCTGGCGAATTTGAGCCAGTTTTTTCCTTGCTTCCTCCAGCTCTCTCTCTTTCTTCAGCATTTCTTCTTGGGCTGCAATGATCTAGGAGAAGAAAGAAGCATGAACTATGGTAGCAAGGAAYAGTGTTTATAAAACATTCTTCCTTCCCCATGACACCAGTCCGAGCAAGGCACCAAACCCTCTCCAGGAAAGTACTGAGTATCAACAACTTCAGCAAGAATTGCTCTTTTTTTTTTTTTCTTCTTAATTCAGGCTAGTTCCATGACTGTGCTATGAAGAAGTATCATAACCCCACTTGAATCTTTTAAGGGAAAAACCATCCATGAGCAGTCTTGCCATACATCCAGTATGGATTTCACAGCACAGTGCTCCCCCTTTCAGTGTGGGTGAGCAGAGGTAGGATAAACACTATGCCTTCACATGGTAAATCCMAGCACTCATTCATGCAGGTACCCATAGCATTTTCCTACATCTAGAAACAGCAGCACTGCAGGCACACAGAAAGGACAAAAGTCAATATCTTTTAAATGGTGACCACAGTATGTGCTACTCTGCATTTATAACTGGCAATCCACCAATTGGTATCATTTAACAGCTTTAGGTTTTTGTTGTTCCTCCCCCCGTTCATATTTATTAAAACAGTAATGAAATGCTAGCAATTCTCCCATCTCCTGCTTTCTTATTCTTTAAATATACACAATTAGTATCCCACTAATATTTGGGTATACTTAAAAAACACATGGAAATATTTGAAAAAACTTCTTCAAAAATTATATGACATGTTAATATCTTATTATGTCAGTGATTATTGAACAGCGAGGCATAAAGTGATAAACTACTGATTTCTACCTAGCTTTACRCATTCACCACATTTTATCCATTTCACCACACAGACATTGTAGCACTGGGTTACACTTGCACAGTGTAGCTTTTGCCTGCTTGAGCTCTTCGTGCTTGTACCCACCTGAGCAATGCCACCCACAAACTTGGTTTTGACCACAACGTCGTCATCCTCTGCCTTCCCAAAYGCTGCTTTCTGGGCTGCCCTGACAAGGTTGTCTGACGCTCGCTTGACGGCATTTCCTGCAGCCTTGGGAAAAAAGGAGGAATTTAATGACAACAATGTATATTTGTAACTTCAGTTCTTCAGGGCATCAAAACTTTTCTGCCTTTGCTTGACACCATAGAAAAGATTTAGGGAGTTTTTTTCCTCCTCCTTTTTTTTTTTTTTTTTTTTCCCTTATCCAGTGAGAAGCACATTTATCTTTCAAAATCAATGCTGCAGAAAGGAATGCAAAACTTCTATTAAAGAAGCTAGAAATAGGACTTCTGCTCTCTCCAGTCTAAAATAAAACCGCGGACAAAATCCCAAATTATGTTCTGCACAATCCTGATATGCACTTTTACCAGTGGAAATTCACCACGTACGTAGCCATGATCTTCATTAAAATTGATGCAAATGATCTAAGTRAAAAGTCACTTAAAATTTGCTTTGCTCAGTCTGGACATAATCCCGAAAGAATRGAATTATTTCCATTTATTCTGTTAAATTTGGGCTTTAAAGTTAAACAGAGTCTTGAACAAATCAGAACTCATGGGAAATACAGCTCAAAGGACTTCTCAGAGCTTCTCCTTGTTTGCGGGAGGAAGAAGGGGAAAACAATAAGCCCAACCTCCTATACCTAATCTATTGATTAAAGCTATAAGAAAACATCTGTGCTGGTGGCACAGACTGCTGAAATGCCACAGGAGATTTGGCAGATGCACCAATAAGAAATATTTGGCAAACATCAGCTTCATTGTTTGTTCCGAGATGAACACAACGCCTTGTCAAGTGAGAAAGTTCACTTCAAAGTTGCTTCCCCAAATACAATGCTCGGGTTTGCACAATGTTGAAACAACATCGACTTTTTTTAGAGCTTCTGGGCTTGTCTCCTTCAGCCTTCCCAACTTTTCATATTCCATGTCTTTAGTGACATTTGTCTGAACTGAACATCCTGTTTTCTAATTCTTGTTATATGCTTAAAATTCCTCCAGCCCTATCTTGGCACTTGGATATGGAAGTGTGGGTTGTACTACAGGCACAGCTCCTGAAACCTTCCCCACAGGCCGCTGAGAAACCCCACCTACACAAAACCCTTATCAAGCACTAAATCCTAGGGATAACATTGACGTGACACTGTTTTCTATAAAAATAGATTTTTCATCCACCCATGTGTACATTTATGTTTTCCCCTTAAATATTAAAACTACTGTTACATTTTGAAAAAAGYGATTTCACTTCTGCTCAAACACTCAGTCTTACGTATTTCCATTGGCATTGATTCTACCTATCCATAACCAGCTATCTTATTGAGGGCCATCAGCAGCATCTGTGGGAAAATGGAAAGTTTCCCTCTCCAAGATGCATCACGKTATTGGTATGAAAAGGAGCTGAAGTGGTTGTTAACCGGAAGGCTGGACCTGCAGCACCGGCACTCACCAGAGGCCACAGGTATTTTGAAAACCAGCCCCCTTGAACAGGACTCCTGGGGACAACACTCGCCCCAGCAAGGCAGTGTTCATCAGTAACACTCAAACTAGCTCAAGGCAAAAGGGCCAGTTTCATCAAAAAAAATCTGTCAGAGTTGAGCTGAGATGGTGCATCAGCTTCTGCAGAGATGCTGCCAAAGTGCTTTTTGGTCTGAAAATCATTCTCCTATTTTAGAAGTGTTCTGTCTAGAGCGGCTYTCCTGACTCCCAGAAACAGAAGAGAAGCGACTGCAGCCCCGTCGGGCACTCGGTGCTGACCATGGGCATAACCCYGTGCACAACCGTGGGCAGTCAGAGGGACACGTGTGTGCAGCCAAGGCAAGGGTGCCCCATGCCTGCAGCCCCGCTGGGAGGCTGAGCCCCTGCACAGTAATCCTGCAGAAACCAATGGCACTCAGCTGCTATGGAGTAAAACATAAGAAACAAAAACTCTGAAGCAAAAAGACAACCTACATGTTCCTTCTGATAACACGCACCGCTCCAACTTGTCATTAACATCACACGTGGCAATATCTTGTCAGTTCGTGTGCTCCTGGGAATGATCACTGGTATGCATCTATCAGTGCTGCACTTAGAGCTAGGTGCACACCAGCCAACGTTTCTATCTTTCTGTATCTTTTAGTATTCATTAAAGATGAATAAAGCAAGCAAAATGAGGCAACCTTTAGTTGCTGATGAATAATAAATGCACAAGCACTTCATCCTTAGTAAAAGCTGTCCCGAACCTCACAAAGCCCACCCTGAATCACTACAACTTTTCAGGGATTAAGAACACCAGTACCTGCAGCCTCCTCATGGCTTCAGAGTCATGGTCAGCCTTCACTTTGCAAGCCACGAGCAGCTGTGCTGTCGAAGCTGCGACTTGCTTGGCCGATGAGATGAGCTTCTCCTCGCTAGCGTGGCCTTGCACCGAGGCATTAGCTGCTTCGCAGAGATTGCTGGTCGCTGCTGCCACCATTCTGGCCTAGGGGTTGGTTACAAAATGTGTTCACACATTAGTAAGTTCACACAGGATTCTCACTTGAGAGAAGGTACTGGTTTCTCTGCTATTTTAGAGGTCAACATGAAAGAAGATACTCACAGCAGAAATAAGTCCCTGAGACCACTGTCCGTCATCAGCTGCATTTGCAGGGATTGCTCCAACCTGAAAAAACAATTCGGAGCTGGCTTACAATGAAATAGAAAACACAATGGCTTTCTCTAGGCTCTAGATAAACAGAAGTCTGAGTAAAAAGATAGACACCTGAGCCTGCCCCACAGCACAGAGACTGACCTCCCAGAGCACAAAGTCCAACTGAAAAAGAAATGGTGATTTGCCCTCACAAGCACAGTCAGAGGCTCTCAGGCTTTAATACATATATTTGTGCTACCCCAAGGTTTTGGGCTGCCCTGCTAAATGAATGAGCATCCACAAAAACTCTTTCCTTCCCAATAACAGTTTTTTGTTGTTAAACTAAGTGTGCTTCCATTGCATACCTGCCTGCTCAAGTGGTGCCCAACTTGCACCACTGATTAAACCATCCCACTCTTGGGGCACATTTAGCGATCTGAGATTACTTCACCTCAAGTTTCAGCCTAAGCAGCAGCTGAGTCAGTAGTTCTTATTCCCTTGGCCTTAAAAATAACTTATTTCCATCTACCAACATGTCCAGATTTGCATCATCCCTGACGTGCTTCCAATTTCTGGCATTATGGCAAAATAAAAAACAGACAGCTCCACCTAGACAGCCACCTAGAGTCCTTGTGTCCACTTATGCATTTGAGGGAAGCAACTGATTTTTCCATACAGAAAACCTTTTGCTGCACAAACTCCTGGTTACTATATAAGAGTGAAAGAACCTGCTGGTTACTATAGAAGAGTGAAAGATACAGCAAAACGCCAAAATTCTGGAAAGCAGGTTGAACAAATTACAGAGGGACTGAAGTGATTTTTACAGCATGCAAGTGCTGTTAGCAAAAGACACAAGAATGTGTCTAAGACAGCAGTCACAAGAAGCTAAAACTGATACCAAGGGCTTATATCAGGATATACTGTGTAATTACACTGGTGGTGTTGAAAAAAGAAAAGAAAGCTACACAGCATAATAAAACATGGAGAAAACAGGTCTTATCAAAGTAGACAGCACAGTAATTCAGCTGAAGCAGCAGGGTTGGTCAAAATCACCATTTTCTCGACTGTTTCCATAGGCACACCCTTCAACAGCTAATTATTAATACTTTGTATTATGTGTATTATGAAGTTCTATAGCTACTGCTTATGGGTGGTGTTGTCAGTCAGTAAGGTTAATGTTGTTGTAAAACAACTGCTTTGTGTTTGTGCTCAAAATAAAGCACAAGCCCCAGGAATCCTAGCTGAGCCCGGCAGGCAGGTGAGCTCTTCTGTGACAGGATCCGAAATGAGGGACCCAATCCACACAACTATGGGCCCTGCAACAAACTGCTCTCATGGGCACCAGAGCTGGGTGATGTTCAGGTTTGTACTAACTGGGCGGAAAGGAGTGAGGAGGGAAGCACTGAGGTCTGTGGAATACAAAGACCTGAATCCTGACAAGACCAAAAGGAGAAAGACACAMGTTAGAAGCACAGTTTAGTTTGTTCTAAATATATTTAGGCGCCTGTCCACTTAAATTACCCAATTTGCATGCAGGCCTGTCCCCAGTGTATCACAGAACAAAACACTGACAATTAGTGATGCCCTCTGCTATTCTAGTTAGAGTGCGATTGTTTATTCTGATGCATTTCTTGAATCCCCAAGTGCCCTGTGGGAAAACTCATTATCAGCTTGAATGACAGCCCTTTCCAGAATATAAGGCTATTGTAAAAACAAAACAAAATAACCAAACAAACCAATATCCCTCCCTCCCACCACCCAAAAAAGCCCAAAAGCAATAAAATCATCTGAAAAGCCAAATATCTGACTGCACTTGCTAAGTTTAAGTGAAATGTACTTTTTTGGAACCAATAGAAACCTAGGCCATGTAACCAGTCAGGTAATGGCAAAATTTATGTTTCAGTCATTCCCAAGCTCCCTTCCTCCTGTTAGCAATTTTGTTATTTTCCCCTCCATTATTGTTACTTGTTCCATTCACCCACCTTTCCCTGGGCCACCAGTTCTCTCTGGGCTGCTGAAGCCGACTTCACCAGKGCACTGGTAGCAGCTGCAATGGATTTAGCTGCTTCCAGGATCTGCTCTTCAAAATCCAGAGTCTCATCTGCTTGCTATAACCAAAAAAGGACACAACATTATTCGTCAGAAAGGGATTTCATTCATCAGCGTGGTTTCATGTGCAAGCTCTGGGACGTTATGCAAGCTGAGGCAAGATTCTGAAACACCAGAGTAGATTCCAGAGGAGCTTTGGTATCATTTTCTGCAAAGTYGCTTCTTGTGGTCTAATCTGTGAGTCAGCCTAAGTGGACTTAATAAATATTAAGTAGTTCTTATAGCTGATCACATGTAAAATGGAACATCACTCAGAAGATGCCTCAAAATGATTTAACTTGCTGATACGTGACTTCCACTTTCAGAACTACAATCAGAAAAGTGCAAGTCTGAAAAGAAATCAGTGCTTTTATATCAAAACTGCATTTGCAGGGCTAAAATACTGTCTTCCAGGACTGTTAAAGCRAGTCATATAGCTTATAAGTATTTAAAAAATACATAAAGCATTAAAAAGTGACAGAGAGGTGTATTTTCTCATTCACCTGTGCTAAGAAATCTAATGTAGGTACCATACAAGTGCACGAAGTTAAGAGCCTTTGGAAAGAGCCATCATTCCAGAGAGAGCAGTACTGGGAAGCAGTCCAGGGCAGTCCTCTTGGAGATAAGGARTTCCAAAGGTCTGTCTGGACCAAGTATGCGTTTCCCCAAGCACGTGCCAACAGAGAGCTCAGCTGCTCCTAACCAGCTTTCTTGCTAGTTAAAAGGCAAATGGATTGCTCCATTAAAAATACAATTCTTCCCTGGCTTTCTAATCATTTAGAGTGAATGAAAYAGTTAATGGAATACGTACACCGAAAGGGTTAGGATTCTTTTTCATACAAACCAAATCAAGTTATTTTGACTGTGATCAAATCATAAGCCTCACAGAATCCAATGCAGTGTGACCAGTGGGTACTATAGCGCAACAAAACACCTTATAACAAGTCGGGGTTTTGAAATAACAGGCTTCTTTCAACTTCCACAAGTACAGCATTCTTGTATAAAATAATTATAGGAACAGGAGCCACGTGAGCTTTGGGCTAAAACACAAAATTTATAGAACTCTTTATAAAACTTTTATTTATAGAACTCTTACGTCAATCATGACATCACAAAACAACCAAATAGACCAAACTGATGAGTGGGAATTCACTTTCCTTCAGATTTCTTTTCATTATTAAAATAAACACTAGTGATTTTGGTTCAAGTAGACTAATGACTTAAACTGGCTATCACTGAGCAATATTTTTGATGATATTTTACCTTAACAGACCATTACTGCCATCTTCCTTTTGTCCAAGGCTTCTGATTTCAAGAATTTATATAATTTTTATTGAAATTATTATGCATTATAAATGTCTACTATGATAAAATATTATGCATATTCTTCAAGAGCCAGTGCTGCCAGAAATTCAGACCTAAGGGGAGTAAGCAATTCAGTACCTAGTTATTTTTTTAAGGAGCTATTTGTTTATGAAGTTGCACAAAATGCCCATGGCCACACTCTAATCCATTAGGCAGCTGCATTTTGTACCTCGGTGTTTTTCAGCTGAGAAAAATGGCCATTTAAACTCTCACATAAATATTGCAGGCAAACGCTAAGCAAATAGAGCAACTTTGGAAAGGAGCACTAGGGAATCAAATCTGCGTTACTGAGAACGCTCTTGTTCAGTGGCTAAATTACTGCCGTSCTGGAGCAGCAACTGAAGCTTGGCTGGAGAACGGATAAACCTTAGTATCTCACTAGATAACAGCTTTCCTTGGCTAGGCTGAATTTTTCTTTCYGTTTATGTTGCACTATGGGAGGCAGGAGATAAATTGGTTTCCAAAACTTCCAAATCCTGTATTTACTGTTGTCTTATGACTTACTTCATTCATGGGAGGAAGGGGAAAAAAAGAAAGACAAGCCTCCCAAAACTAAAGGTTTTTATTGACAGGAGATCCCCTCTGTGAAGAATTTAAACAAGCCACATTTGAACTATGAAAGTTGGGCCAAGTTCTCTGGCAAATTCTTCCTCATCCTTCCTTGTAATGGAGAATGCTGAAGAATTAACTATGTCCTAGGGCCAGGGGCCACGCAGAAATGGTGCTTGGGCAGCGCTGTGGAGATTTCTACCCACCTGCCCCACCTCTGAGCCCCCCTTGGCAATAAGGACACACCACAGGCGAGACCTGAGCAGAGCAAAAGGCCCAACAAGAGAAGTGATCGTCCCCTCATTGCCATCGCTGACAACCACTTGTAAATTGTCTCAGGTTCATGCTCATCAGCAGGGCTCTCAGCACATCACTGGTGACAGCCTGCCCCAACATCAAATCAGGAACAACGATGCAGTATGTGACAAATTCACCTTGCAAGGTTTTAATTCCAAGAGGGCAACTTAAGTCCATTTGAAACAAACGGATCAGTGAGACAAGCGAGTAACTCCCTTCCCAAGGAGTCACATTGAAGCTTGTCCTTCTCCACAAGCTTCAACTAATAAGCTGTTATTGACTGTGCGGGTATACATGGATTGGAAAAAGGCTCACCAGAATGGACAATCGAAAATTATTAGACTACAACATCTGAAATAAAATATCCTCAACATGTTGATTGCATCATTTAATAACATAGTTTCAGATGTTTTTCCATTTTTCTACATGTAAGCCACTTTCCTACAGGACCTTTGTGATCAGGGGTTGCACAGATAAAGCCAAGATCAGCTGGAACCAACAACCCCCAAAAGCCCTGCTCAACGTTAGAGGTTATTACCATGGACAAACCATTTTTTTTTTCTTTTGAAGAACTTGTCAGATTCTATTTCACAAAGGAAAACCCAACAAGATAAGTTACTGCACTGAGCCATGGAAAACACAATAACCACTTCAATGAGAGTCAGTTTTTGGCATGGCTGCGTCTCTGTCATAAAAGGCCCTACGTAACTTACAGATGTTGCCAAGAGCAACTCTACTTAAAGGAGCACTTCCATGTATATATTTAAAATCAGATTAGAACAAGAGTCTGCAGGAAGTCTTCTAAACCTGCTTGTGAGCGAGTGCACTCCTTCAGATGGCCTTACACTATGTTATAAACCCCCGGAGACAGGGCAGGACACTGTAGGAATATGTTTGATATATAGTTGGATTAAATAACAACCTAATATATCAAACATATCACACAGAGTCCTGCAGAAAAGGCATCCAGGTTTGATTCATCTTGGGAAAAAAAGGACAAGCTGCTGAAAGCTAACAGCAGGCTACTGTTATTGACTACTCAGGATCCTTGTTTTTGAAGGCATAAGCCCACATGGAAGCATGAAGAAGGTACCAACAGAACAGGGTAAAACACAGCAAAGCTCTCGGGTGTTGTACCTCACCTACAGCACCATGTTTCTTCAAGGACTTTTTTTCCCCCAGTGTTAATCAACTTGTAGCTTAATGTAAGACAATATATATTTTTTTTCTTCTTCAAAAAGTTATTAAGYTTTGGGGGTTATTTTATAGCCAATAGCTTGTTTAAAAGTCAGAGAAAAAAAGGCAACATGTGGCCCTATTGCAGGACATTCAACCCACTAAAAATGGAAAAGAAATAAAGATTCCATGCTCAAAATATACATAGCTGTTTAAAGGAAGTGAGGCAGACAGAACTTGCTTAATGAACAATCAAGCTCTCACAGCTCCCACCTTGGACACTGAGCAGTTGTTGTTACGTGTAGGATTAACAGTATCCACTTGGGAGAGACCTCCAAGCTCTTGCAAGACACCAAGCTCACAAGACAGACCATAACCATGGCTGGGGCTTGTCATTTAGAAGCCAAGTCATTTAGGAAAGAACCTAAGGTGTCAACAGTGGGAAAAGATCTGTCTGCTCTGCAGCCAGACTGCCGTGAATTAATGCTAACAAAATGTGCACCATGCAATAAGGCACGGGCACCCATTTCCAAATTTTCCTGGAGATGACTGTTCCCTGTGGCAAGAAGGATGCTCCAGCAGCTGGAAGTGTGCAAGTYTCACCCTACAACTCTCAATCTAACAAGAAGCCTCCCCCTCCAACTGTTTTCTTACATTACTAGGCTTATTATAATTCTTAATTATAGACTTATTGACCCAATGATTGAAAATTTGAAGTCTAAATCAAATCAGCCCTATTCCTCTTTCCCCAAAACAGAAGCTCGCCCAAAAATAATGAAATCATCAACTAAAAGGGGAAGATGATGGGTTTCCTGTAGGCAGACTATTCTGAAATTAACTACTAAGGACTTGCCTAGATCTTGACTTAATAGTGATTATTGTCACCATTAACAGCAGGCTGGTCTGGTTGGGTTGGCAATTTATTCCAGTGTAGAAGACAGTTACAATTCCTGCATTTCATAGACAACATAAGAAAATCAGCTGCATCAATGCCGCTGYCAGCTTAGACATGCACAGCAGCACATCACAAATGCTGGGAAAGACCTGAGAGCAAAGGAGCCTGCTCAAAGCTGGGAATGCTGCTCTGGGAGGAAAGAAGAACACTGGGGAGCGCTGGTTCTGCCCATGCTGTAATATCAGTAAAAAAGAAAGTGGTAATTGAAACTGCTCTGGGCCACCTACTTAGTACCTTTCATGCATATCACAGTCTGCATCGTGGCAGGGATTTAACATCCAAAGGAGGATGCAAGCATTGTTTAATCCCCACATTAAACAAATGGGTATGAATTTGCCTTTCAGAAAGTGACAAATAAATGGACCAATAGATCACAGGCAGACAGGATACTCAAATTAACATGGTAAATGAGGGGCAGGTGTGGGATCTGTGTTCAGTGGAAAATTACAATGACCTGGAGAGGCTTCGATGCTACAAGGGAAATTGTTTCATGGTTACCTGGCAACTCGCATATGCTATTGTGCAGGGATTGTATAGAAAAGGTGATRGAGGACCCTTCTTCTCTTTACACTAAGCCTGTATCCTCTGCTCTGCAGAACCTCATTAAAAGAACCATTTTTCTTTATGAAAAATGGATGTACTTGTTAAAAAAATGGGGAACAAAGCATTTCTTTTTCATGAGCTAATTAATTCCCATCACCAAAAAGGGGAAAAAAGTGTCCTCAGAAAGAGAGAAGCTACTAAGAGTTCTTCCATCTCATGTTCCCAAATGACAGAATATCACCTGGGCATTGAAGGCAACAATCCTACATGGAATGCTTTTGAGGCCCTGCTTTTTTAAAACACATTTCATTTAACTTGGAAATTAACTTTGCATCGACAAAGCAGCTTAAGAACGTGCACAGATACACAAACCTTTGGTTACAAAGCTACAACATGAGTTTCAGCTTGAAGAAACAGAATTGCAGGTGACATACAAGTTTCTTCTAAAAACCTGCCTGTTACCCCACACTGAGCAACAAGGAGCAATTGTGAGATCCCATCCTGTGGGCCACACATATCATAACAGCAGCGTCACGTTCCCTCAACACCACTYCTGAAAATAGCTGGCCTCATTTTATAAAACATTCAGAGGCACATTTGAGCAATGTGCAATACCACTGAATGCATAGCAAATATGAATTTGGAATATATTTTCCTTCAAGAAAATTAAGGATGGGCAGCCAAACCACGTAACTGATATGATACCAAGGCAAATACTCTTCTAAAAAGAAATTAAACACTGTATGTTTATCTTAGAAGATCTTAAAGGTCTTTTGCACGCTGCTCAATCCCTTCCATATTGTTGCTGCTTTCTCCCACTATGTTCCACACGTTTGTATGAGAACAAAGAGCCTTCAAMGGGATTTAAAGCAAGGATCAAAGGATTTAAAGGAAGCGAGAATGACTTTTCACATCAGGAGATGTGTTCAGAAATAGAAAAATAAACAACCAACAGTAACGATACTGTAACTCTTAAAGGCAGCTCTGACATTGGGTTTTTCTTTCTTGACTTGTGGACAGTTCTTGGGCTCCCTCACTGCCTGGAAAGCCTCTTTCTAACCTCTTCCTTTGGGGTGACGTCCTGCCAGGGCGGCTTTAGCGGCACTAGGAGCACTAGAGCTGGATTCGTACCAGCACTGCGGGCAGCAGAAAGCAGCAGGGCGCCACAAGGGCTGCCAGCATCTCGTGCTTTAAAGAGTCAGTGGAGATGGACACTCACCTTGGGCTTGGCTCGGGGCTTCAGCTGCTCCAGCTTCTTTGCTGCAGCCTCGATGGACGCTGCAGCCCCAAGCAGCTCCGTCTCCGCAATGACCGTTGGGTCTTCGGGGTCCACCCACTCTGTCCCTGCATTAACAGAGAGGAAGACAGGAATTTCAGTGACACTGGGAGCTGCCATTCCAGCAGGGAWGTCTGCAATCGCCCCACGTGTCAAATAGAGTGTGCACAACACAGAACGCCCRTTTCTGTGAATATTGTAGCTTCTGCCACTGTGAGCAAAAGTTAAAGTCATAACAGAAAAAATATTTAGCAAAAATATTCTGTTATGAAAGTAATGCTTAATGGACTTGTGGAAGCCAAGTGGCTTCAAAGGTGTGCTGTCCATGCTGGGAGCAGAACTAGTCATTACTCTGCTCTGGGTGCCAGGAGGGTTTCTACAAGCTCTTCCTCAAACAAGCGGTAAGGAAGTTTATCATAAGGGCCAAGGGGCCACAAGACTCAGCAAGCATTCCTGTTCCAGACTGAGAGAAGCAATGAAAAAGTCCAAATTAAAATCACATGGGAGAAAACTTAAGTTCACAACAACGAAGGGCAAGATGGAGACAGAAAAGGAGAAACTGTGTGTACTAGACGAAGTAAACRTCAGCTAAAATATTAATTAGAATGAAGGAACCGTGATCAGGAAGGCAAACACTGCATTTTACATCAAGARTAGCATAAACCATTTCTGAAACACTGAACTCTAAGGGAAATAATCCTGAAGGCTCCCAGATGAACACTGCAGAAGCTAAATAAGAGTTTCTGCTACAGGCGACCCGATGCCATGGAGCTGCGAACCCAGCGAGGTGGCTCCTGCTGCTGGTCTCGCTGTATTTCCCATTTCAAATACTGAAATGTTACCTACGACAATGTCTCAGCTCAAAGAGYGTGCGGGATGGAGGAATTCTGTCTTAACCCTTAATCTTGGAAGGTTATCAGCAAAACAAAATATTTCTGATAGCAGCAGAGCATATAAAAACTGAAACCCAAACTTGTAAGACACATCAGTTGGGAGAAAGAATTTCACGTACCTGTAAATAATAATTAAAACAGGCAGAAAACATGTTACTTTGCATGAAAAATGTAATTTGATATTAATAAACATGAATAAAAAAATACAAGAAATGAGTAAATGTTGCAACCAAAAATAAGGATAATAAGATTTTAGAGAAGCATTCAGGGAACAAGACGATTCTGATATGTGCTTGGCTTGTTGGTAAATGATAATGGAAAATTAAAAACAAGAACTGCAGAAAAAGTCGGTGTTCAATAAATATACCTGACAGAAACGGTACCTAGACTCTTAGAGCATCACAGAATTTTCGTTTTGTTTCAACAACAAAAGGAAAAGCCACCTCTGGTGTAAGAAGCTCAKCACACACTGGGCCGGCTGTGCGCCCCACTCACCTTTCATTGCCTCTGCTGACTGTATGAGCTCTGTAACAGCCCCAGCAACTCGCTTGGAGAAAGCGGCCAGCTGATGCTTTAGCTCAGGGGTTGGTTTTTGGAGGATCTAAAGAAAAGGAAACAAGCAATAAGAAATACTTGGCAAGGATACTAGAGAACRCTGGAAAGGTCCCAAGACACATGAGTTACATGAAGATCTAATGTTCTRTGCAGCAATCACTGAGAAAAAGAATGAGTCCTGTAAAAAACGTCTCTATGAATATGTAGGAGCTGAGGGTTACACTGCAAACYGTTAAATGCAGGCTAAGCATGAGGCATCGACTCCTGCAAGGGTAGATCAAGAGGTCAAGTCTCCAAAGACACAAAGCAGCTGTGTCTGCACTTCCTTAATGGTCTTCAAAGAGCCTGAGTGCAGCTCTGAAAATGCAGGGCCCAGTAGTGCATGTGTCCCCCTTTGCAGTAGATGCCCGGCGAGTCCAGCTGTGCTGCCCCCTTGGCTCCTGGCAAGGTTTGGTCAACTTTGAACTGTAGCAGGGCAGGAAGATTCAAATACAGTCAAACTGAACTACAGGCTAGAAGAATCCTAGGACAGTTAAAAAAAGAAAACTCATCTGGTGACAAATATTTGACTCAACCCAAAATGGACCACAAGGGAAACACAGCCTGTTGAGGTGCAGCAGTCATACAAAAAATAGGGATGAATTTGCACTTCTTAGGGCTCGGGGAATAACTTCTGCTTCCTGAAATTCAACACTGCTCAAAAGCAATGAACTAAATACTGCTCAAAATGCTGCAGCTCAGAGCCACAGGCACTGCATGGCTGCATGCAGAGCAACTACTGACAACCCACCTGCAATCTGAGTTTCTTGCTCATTCAGGGAGAAGGAAAAGAGAATATTAAAAGTCTTTTCAGGTTAAACTATCTGCCAATGTTCAAACTGATATATGTGTTCTTATAAAACCCARGCAAGGGTGTAAGGTGATTTTACTGGGACTAACCTTTAAACAACTTCTTTAACTTMTGTTAATCTGTTTTCAAGTTAACATTGGGCAGGGGCAGAGAACACCCTGCTGGTGCACACGCTACATGCGGTGGTCACTGGCGTTTTGGTGTTCCTGTGGAATTGGGACAYGTCACAACACAGATTTTAGGTGAAACTTGACAAAGTAGCTCCAACCTCCGAGAAGTCGAGAGCTTCCAGAAACTCTGGATGCAGCTTGACAGCTCCAAATCTCCTGCTACCCCTCTAGTGGGGTGTCCCCCTTCCCAGMAACAGCAAAAACCTGTAAAAACCTGTGCAGTTAAAACCAGCAGCACAGGGGATCCATGGAAGGTGTAGGCCCTTCCTCCCTAGTGCCTGTTACAAAAGATGTCCAGCTGGTATTTAATCCTCACRTGAACCTTGCCAGGTCACAGCATTTAATAACACAAGAGCTGCCACAGTAAATAGAGGTGCTTCACCTTCCCAACAGCCCTGGCGCTGCTTTACACCTATACATATTGCTTATATGTAACTGTAGTTATAGTTTATTGTGCTAAATTAACATCTTTGGCAAKGTATTAACAAGGCAATACACTAGCTTAACAAGTCTTCCATATTGCATTTCTGTGCCAAAATCCCACTGTCTTCAAAGAACGCCTGCTCAAGAGTGTCCTTTGGCATCTCAGCATTGAGACACCCAGACAAACCACATCTAGCCTGACAGCCAAGGGCAGGTCAGGGAGAACTTGCACTTCTGCCCAAAGATACCACCTTGGCTAATTACTAGAGATTTCTTATTTGAGACTATCTATATTGCAAAGGGTTAAATGCGATAGTCTAGCACACCCATATCTACAACCAGCCTAACAGTGATCAGGAAGCATAAGGATTGTCTGCAGCCAAAATTATCTCGCTGTCACTTTCTTCCATGCAAAGAAATCAAGTTGGAGTTCAGATGATAACCCACCGAGACTGTGTACAGCAAGAGAACAGCTCACTGAAACACAGAACAAGCAAACAAACCAGCTGGCTCCCATCCAGCCTGTTTCCCTGCCACAACTAGAATTCAAGGGAAAAGAAGGCACATCCCTGAGCAGAAGTCTGTAATTTACTCCGTTCCACACTTCTCTGAAAGCCATCTTTTTCCATGTGCTTTCCAAATCCTGTTTACATTTATGGAGCAGAACATAGATGTATTGCATGTTTATGTGACTAGCTCTAGGCAAGCTTTTGCAAACAGTCAAGACGCTGTTGTCATTCCATCCATCTTTCTTTCCACGCAAGCATTATGCTCTTCAGTTGTGCCTGTGACCGGGGTCAGAGACACTTTTAGGGGCCAGCAAACATTTAGGGGAGGGGAATTTTCTCAGCAATTTAAGGCCTTATAAGTAAAGAAGCTTTAGATAAGAAAAGTCTCTTTCTCCAAGGAAGTGGAGCAGAACGTGGATGCAAACAGAGGGAAATAAAAAGAACAAAAACTGAGGTCTTTGATCTCTTTGGTATATAGCCCAGAACAAGTACCATGACCTAGGAAGGGAGACCCAATGCAAAAAGTGCAAAAAGTTCCCCAAATATCTCTAAACTAAAAATACATTAGATATCTGATGGTAAATAATTTACTATTGCACAGCACCAAGAATGTCATTTAACAGCTCACTCCTTCTCGCACTCTCTTCCTCGCTAGTGGCGAACACAAGTGTGACTGTGACTTTACTACTATTTTACGTGCATCTCAGCAAATGAATTCAATTCATTAGGCAYGCTGTATTCTGAGCAGTAAATGTACAGTAAATGTAAATGGCTTGGGGATATGCTGATCTGCAGCCAGTGGGTGCAGATTTCCATTTAGGAGGCTTAAATATGTCAATTTAAAGTCACATAAAAGAAASCTTTGAGAGTCCATGGAACAGCTGATCTAAGTCATCACCAGAATTTTGACTATTTTTATTTCAAATTTTGGATTCTCTACTCTCCTCCCAAAGAAAACAAAAACTAAACACGTTGACAGTCGGAGAGTTTTTTGCAGGATGGTGCAGGCTCCATAGTCAGGCTGCCCAGCACTCGGTCCCTGCCTTTTGTTTTCCTGGGTCAGGACTGCAMAAGTCCCATGAAAAACAGGGCTTTCATTAAAGACCTCAGTCACACACAGGTGTGTCCCTAACATAGCTAAATCCAAGCACAGTCTTAAAGGAAGGTTGAAGCATCTAATTAATTCATCAGRGACCATTTCTAGTTCAACTCCTGCAACTCCTCTAAGTTCAACTTGCTGCCCAGACCCGCTCCAGAATTCAATCCMATAAAAGTATTTCTACTCTTGTTTCTCTCTCACGTTTTGAAGAGCTAAGTCTGCTTTAGTTTGTTTTTCCAAATAATGAAACAAACATCATCTTGAGACACCCTGTTAAAACCACATCCCTAGCAGTCACTACAGAGGCCGTTTGGGGGGTTTTGCCCCTCAAAAGGGATGCGACAGAGGCACCGGGGCTGCTCTTACCAGCAGGACGTGCTCCAGGAGCTCCAGGTAGCCCAGGGTACACTCTGTGCCGTAGCGCAGCGCCCGCTCACGAACATCCTCGCTCACGTCCGGGTGATACGACGCTTGCTGGGGAGGCAGAACAAGGTTAACACCCCAAAACGGCTCCCGAYAGAGGAGGTCAACACAGACAGGAGAGCAGGAAGAGGAGACTCGAGTTCTCATCGCATGCGGTGACATCTGCACCAGCCACCTCTGTCGCCAAGGCACAAGCAGAGCACCGCAAAGTGGCAGAGCTCCGGCRCGTGGAGGGGCATGTGAGACACACACCTTTTCCAAGCAGTCCCCCCTCCATGGGATGCAGCAGCTTGCTCTTTCTTGAGCCCCTCGCCAGTCAAAAACGGATACAGAAATACCAGAAAATATCGCATGTGGAAAAGGTCTCGGGGCTGGAATGCGCTCTGGGAGTGCGTATGCTCTGTGCAACTGTGCGAGGTCTGTGCTAGTGTGACCCTTCGCTCCTACTAGCATCAAAAATCAAACCTTGAGTATAATTGGGCCATCCGTAAGTGGGCATTTGCATCTTTCAGGTTAGAAATGTGCTAAAATGATTTTAGGTTGTAGCTTCTATAGCCTGTGCAGTGTGTCCGGAGGGAAAGGGACCAGGAATGGCCCTTGGCTTTGAAGGCCAAAGCATCGGGCTGGATGCAGGAGCGCGGCTGGTGCCTGGTTCAGCCATCCCTGTTCCCTTCTCCACTCCGCAACACAAACATCTTTCACTTCCTTGTACAAAGCCTTGCAAACACAGGAAGAGTGCTACAGGAATAGTATTGTTACACATAAAGTGGAAAAAAGGCAAAACAAACAAAACTTACCTGCTTTTGGGTGTGTTATCTGTTAAGACATTATAAAAAGCTAATTACAGGCTTTAGCTTGATATAAGGTTTAACATAGCAATCAATTCTTAGCACTGAGAGCGCTACGTTTTTAAAACRAGTGGAGAGCACCAGAGTTAGTTCTTTAACCTCAAGACTGCTGGGAATCATAATGCCTGACATATTGAACTTGGTCAGTTCAACCATTTTATTCATAATAAATGAAAAATCATAGCTTGTTCAAGCTCTGTATTTCCAAAATAAGCTTCCAGCTCACTGGAGACTACATTTTATTGATCGTAACTGCTGGTTGCTGATAAATAGAATTTCCTTTAGCATTTCCTCTCCCACCACTCTCCTCCTCCCGCAGCCTCCTATTTTCAGCTAGGACTGAGGCTCTTGCTGCTCATTTACCGGAGGGCTCCCTYGGATGCTCCACGTCCCGGGTACATGAGCCGGGTTTTGGGCTCCCTCTGCTGGGAAGGTCTCGAGGAGCAGAGCGTAAAAAGGCCGGGGCTCGTTGGTTTTTCATCATCCGGGAGCAAAATCCGGAGGAAAAGGGAAGGCAGGAAACAGGGTTCAATTCTCACTGCCTTCACCTCAAACAAGTTTCAAAGGGCCAAGTACCCCATAACAGTTTATTTAATTTTCTGCATTCAAATAGAGCAGAAGGCACCCCAGTGGTCCGTACAAATTTATTGCATGCACTCTAATAGGAACTCTTCTGCACTGAAATATTAGTGTTACATGTGCTACTATAGCAATTGTCTGTAAGGGAGAAACACAAACTTCTTTCCTGCTTTGCACACGCAGCCAGGGCTGCTATCAGAACACATGGGCTGCTTTTTTAAGGTTCAGTGAATCCCAACACAAAACTATTCACTCCACCGCAGACTAAAGAGGTCATAAATTCATTTTTAAAAGAAGTTTTGCAACCTAGAAACAAAACAACATAAATCTCCTTATTAGGTAGGATTGTAAGAGCAGCTTTTCCCTTTCCCAGACTTGTGCAGTGTTCTGGAGCACCTCGAACTGACCCGTGTGCCCAAAGACCAAGACCCCTAGTGCCTGCATATTCATTATTGTATACAAATGGTTAATAAACACAAAATTGTTATCTAAAGGTCTGCTCTAACCTCCAGTAAATGTAATTACAGTGTTTCCATTGACTTTAATGAGAGCTGGCTTGGTTCATTATATCCCACAGTAATCAGTCTATATTTTTTTCAACATGGCATCTAGTTAAGAATGCTGATATAGTAATGACCTCTGTGTAATCATATACAGCAGGGAGAGCACAAGCACACAGATGACCATTAAGAAGTCAAATCCTTTACGTGACTGTCCTTAGGCAGGTTGCACTGAAGTCAGCCTTAAATTTAAATTACCAACAGCAGGGAAGTCTACCATAGTTCTCTTTCACACACACATTTGGTTGTATTTTAGCCTAAAGAACATCAGTTMCTTTATTTCTTCCCTTGCTTATTTTATGCTCTAGTTTCATTGTACTGTGAAGGCAGAACTGTCAAATATCACCCAAAAAGGTGCACCGGATTGCATGGCTTTTACAGCACAGTGAGGTGGAGGCTGCTGATTCTTAACCCTGGGATTCAAGAGGCTCAACCTATCATGGAAATGCCATGTTCAGTAATTAGGTTTTGGAAATGAATGTCAGGAAAACTAATTCCCAGGACAACGTTTTCAGAAACAGGATTTTTCTGAATATTATCTTATAAAAACTATTTAAAGTTTTYATTAAATGGAATAGTTATTTTGTGCTACATCTTGGTGGTGCACACAATTAGCGTTCCTCTAGACTCTTATTTCTGCTTGTTCAATAACCACTCTTGACTTTAGGGAAACTAAAGAGATCAAAACATATCTGTCAGAGGAAGGAGCCCCTTACTACTCTGAACCACAGCACAACTGGTGAGCCCTTATTCTTGCATTTTCCTTACTCATTTAGATTACTGACGTCCAATTCATAAAAGAATGAATAGCCCAAGGACTCCTTTTTAATATATTGCTACAGATAAGTAAAATGAAGCCCAGTGCTTCCTTCTGCAGGCTGCAGTGAAACAACTCGCTCACTGAYCATGAGGGCTTTTCCAGCACCCACCTGGCACAAAGTTTTATCTTGTTGTCCACTAGCAACCCATAAAATATCAATTCCTTATGCAAAACACCAGCAATGGAAACATAAAATGATGAATCCTTTAATATTAAAGGTCTAACCTTAAGTATCAGGCTGCCTATTGTGTGTGCACAAGCTTATATATAACATTTCCAGAAAGAGATGCTTTTGTTCCTGGGGAGTTGCTGCCTGTCTGCAGAGATCCAAGCAGACGTGCACCTCCCCTGGCCTCTTCCCAGCGACAAAGGCTGCTCACAGCGATTCCACRTCCAAAGGGATGTCTTTTGTCATCCCGCTGCACAACTACAAAGTGTTCCAGCCTCTCTTGGAAGCTTCGTTTAACTGAACATTGTTAAAATATTCCTCAGGTAATTAGAATGGTGGTTTAATTTTCCCATGCAAATTAGAGCTATTTTACTCTGTTGAGCTTCTGAGTTTAGGGAACAGAGAGGGTAGAATCAAAACCTGAGGCAGATGAAGAGGTTAAGGACTGCCAGATGCTAAAAACTCACCAAGAAAATGAAGCTAAAATACAAAAAAAAGTCAATTATTTTGTATAAAACCAATTTTAAATTATATTAGAACTTGCATTTTTGTATGATCACATTTGATGATTGTGTTAAAAAAAAATAAAATCAACACCTTCCATCTCATTAGGAAAAGCTCATCTGGGATTGACTCAGGCAGGGATTTGAGCAAATTCACAAAATCACTCACCTCACACTGCACTATTATTTTCCTGTCATTTTCTACACGTTCAAYGGTAAAAATAAATATCATTTATGAACAAAGGCACCATCACTTCTTCAGACTGAAAGAATTGAGTTAGTCTGTATGGGATTTATAAACCTGGCATTTCTGTTTGCAACTAAAACCTTTATACCATCCGAACAAAGCCAAATGAATATTAAGCCCACATATATTATACCACATACACACACCCTCGCACGCAGAGTCTGCATATCTGTTTTAGAAAGTTGCCCAGCTCTGCAATTTTATAAAAGAGAATATCGGTATTGTTAATACAACGGAAAACCACATTTTTCAAGAGCTCAGGTGAAAAAAAGGCATGAGCTGGTGGCTTTGGCTGGAGTGGAAATGACTGCTAAACACAGATCTGACTCTTGCTGCTCACCCGCGGACTCCTAGAATACTAAAATCACATTTTTGGCYCTAGCATTATTCTCACATTCTACTGTCAGCACAGATCCTCTTCTAGTTCAGCAAAAGACTGAAGAAAATAACAGTCTTTGATGAGTTCAAACTTGCCATTTACACCCAAGTAAAATAGTATCAGCGCTTTTTTTGGCATAGCACAGAAAACCCTTCCCAGTGCAGATGTTCCCTTAAAATCACCCAACCCTTTAACTTTCTCAGCTGCAAAGTCAAACACCAACAACAGAGCAGGCCAGAAAGCAACAGGGAAGGGCTGTGGGGGCAGGAGTGGGGGCGCGTTACCTTGCAAGCTGCCAGCATGTCGGCCACCGCCGTGCGGCTCAGGTTGGCCGTGGCGATCACATCCTCCTGCCTGCACGAGTTGCCGGCCGCAACAGCTTTCGCCGTCGCCATGGTGATGCCTTTCGTCATGCGGATCGACTCCTCGGGTGACGCCGTCTTCTCCGGAACCTCGCTGGACTGGAACACCTGGAAGCGAAAGGAAGCGCGAGTGCCCCTGCAGTCCGGGAAAACAACCCAACCCGGGACACAGAGACAGCGCCTAGAGGCGGCCTGCAAACGGGAACCGGCGCGGTTAGGGAATTAGCAGGGTGTTGGGCAGCGTTTGATGTCGTTGCTGCCTGTCACGAGCCCCTTCCCGAGAAGCCTGCACACCTACAGACTGCCGAGAAACCAGGCGGCGAGGGAAACGCGCGGGGAGCCTTAACCCATTCCTTGGCTGTTTGAACTACCTGCACCACAGACGCTACAGACAGCTGSCACAGCGATGCAGCACGCAGAGAATAAATGTGAAGTGAATTATATTCTCTTTTTCATCCTGTCTGCTGCCTCGGTGGGTCTAGTCACACAAGGATGCTTCCCCAGCAAAGGCTGTGCCCTGCCAAGCCCCCTCTGCCAAAAGCAGCCTCGTGCTGGACATACCCAGAACATGGATAAAACACTGAAGTGGCTCTTGAAGTGGAAGTGCAGGAGGGTGCAGCATCGTCTTGTACTCCGTGGTCTCTCTTAGAAACCTAAGGATGTCCCGGTGCAGGGCGAAACATGTGCAGAGACACACACTGCAAATTACCTGACAACACGGAGCACTCAGCAATACCCACAGCCATTAACTGTGGTAACATACGGATAAYAAGAGCTGGTTAATCCTACTTTTAAGCTCCCATTTCCTTTTCCAAGCTTTATCGTGTATTTAATTGCCAGCCCCAACGTCTAGGCAAACACGAGCCTGGTCCTTCCCACGCTCCTGATCCCCATCACTCCGTTCCCACCACAGCCACAGTCATGGGGACAGGGAAAACAACGAGGGGCAGCATTTTGGAAGAGGCACCGCAAGGCTGGAGAACCAAATGGAATAAAGCGCAACCGCTCTGCCCCCTGGACTGTCCTTAGATTAGAATTATGGGAATTATTTAACTTGGATTTTAGTTAGCCAAGTCTTCATGCAGAAGCAGGACAAAACTGTGCAATAAAAAGGGTAAAGTGCCTTCCAGATCAGGTACTAAATCAGGAGGTTTTATTACGTGCAGACACTGCAGGAAATCCCGGTAATTATGCACAGATGTTTATTTGGGATATTTTTAATAAAAACTCATTCCTTCCTTACAACAGCATTGCTCACRCAAAGAAAAATAAATATTCTATGGAGAGTGCTTAACAAGGCAAAACTGTGTCAGCACAGAGGATRAAAATTCTTAATCCACAGACTATACAACAAAATATTTTCTAATGGAGACTGTCTATGCATCTTTTTTCTAAAATTTATTTTAAGCAAAGAAAAAAAACAAAAACCAAAACAGGCTTCCTCACGTACTCACAAGTATTAACTTATGCCACCAACAAGTATTCAAGGCAAACAATAACTGAAAGCAGCAGCTGGATGTTATGCTCCTATCTTAAAGGAGGAAAAACACCATAGTCAAGGCCTAACATTTAATTTGGGAAAAGATTCCATGCTGATTTTAATTCCTGTTCAGACAAAATATTAGATACGAGGTTTCTTATCACTGGTAATATGATTTCATAAGAAGAAACAAAGAAAAAGAAGATTAAAATGCAGGTGCAATAAAGCTTTGATGCTGAAGAAACACTTCCAAAGCCAGGACCAATAAAAAGTGAATAGCCTTTAACTCAGAAAATAACATCAGTAGCAAAAGCTGAATGTCTAAATAACAAAGAACCAGTTGCTTCCAGAATTTTAGGTGGCAGCAGCATCTCAAACCTCAAAGTGAGTCTTGGTGACATCTGAAATGAGATCAGCTTAACTGACATATAAGGGCACTTGGAGAGCTGATTTCCAACAGGTGGTAGGGACTAAATTGCATCCAACTCACCACAGGGCAGTAAAACAGAGTCCCAGAAGCCCCTGGCAGCCTGGCTTCATTTTAAGGGCGYATTTTGAAAAGCTGACACACAAGACTGCTCTGTTCTTTACCGTGAGCTCCTGCTTGATGTACTCTATGGTGGCCTCCAGAGCTCTCGTCCCTCGAGTAGCTTCATCTTCCACTGCTTTCACTGTCTTCAAAAGCGACGTCACATTTGTCACCATAACCTGAAAGAGACAGAGGGGCCAAGTGAAGAGACACACRATTCTTTCCTCCCACCTCAGAGACAGACAAGTCTAACATTAACACCTTAACGTAGCCCAAGAGGCTCCCAAGGCTGCGCTGGCTGCGGGACCAAGTGGGAGCTCTGGCTGCCCACAGGCTTCGAGAGCTCCCCAGAAGTTGCAGGAAAGCAGCCCAACCTATTGCAGATTGGTGACTTCTCAGACGAAGATTTGGCCAAGGTTTCACAAGCAGGAAAACTTCACCAGATCTTCCAGGGCAGATTTCCCATTCAGATTAATTCTCTTAGCAACTTTTCTTCCTGCTTCCTTACACCATAGCTAGGCAGAAAAGGGAATCCAGGTACATTATTTATGTTTGACTGCCTTATCTTTTCTATTCTCTACAAGCAGAAAAACAACTAAACGCCCTCAAACCCGATTCAAAGGCAGAAGCAGTGCTGCCGCTGCTAACAAATCCAGCAATCCGGATGCAGGAAAACCTCACTGGTTCTGTGATCCCTGCCCTTCCCACAKCCGGGTGCTGACAGGCAAACCAAACAGAACGGGCAGCCTCACGGCACCTCGCAATGGAAACACAGAGAGCCCTTCCACGCAGGAAGGGCAAATAAGCAACCAGCTTTCTGGATGAGATCTTTTCTTAGGTCGTTTTTAAGGAAAGCCTGTGCACTGTTCTCCTCTGCTCCAAAAGCAGGAGGCCCAGGTGTTTCAAGGAGGCAGCAGACACAACAACACACCTGCTTTCTACCAAGCAGAAAGATGAAGCCACCACRACACGCACATTATGGGAGAGTTGCTTAAGCCTCAACATATAGAAAGGTTTTCTAGATGCTAAATTTCAGGATGCTTGTGAGGCAATGCCATAATGCATCTCAGACACYGGGAAATGAATACACAAAGAGACAACAGCAAGTGGAATCAGCACAAGGGTTTGAGCTCGGACACTGAGGCACTTGGAAGCRTTTTCTGGAGAAAGGGATCAAACATGGTCCACAGCAGCTGCTGGAGAACACAGAATTCTTTTTTTGCCTCTCATCTCAGCAGCACAACCACAAGCTTTGCCTGAGCATGAGAAACCGTCCTTGGGGACATAGGTTTGCAGAAGAAGGAAGGTTGTCTTCAGAAAGATTAGACCTTATTCATCAAAAACACAAAAATCACCCACCCTGGAGCCTACAAAAAAAAACAATTTTTTGAGTTTTCTTGGAAACTCAATCGCCTCTTATTATCTACCTCAGTCATCCCAAGATGCTAATGAAAAAGATGGGATTCCAGTGAAGCAGAAATTGCTGAAATCCAAGCTTTAGATGTGTAGCTTAATTTGGTGCTCCAAATCCTTTCAAACAAAATGCAAGACCAACTTTTACCTTGGCAGCCCCCTTCAGCTGGTACATGGACGGGTCATCTGCTGGTTTGCTGGCAGCTCCTTTGGTAGCACCAATGAGATCAGAAAGGGCCTTGGCAACATCCTTAATAGCATTGATCAGGACAACCTGCAGGAAAGAGAAATACACCCACATTAAAGGTTCAGGCAAAAGGAGGAAGGGARGATGTGAGCTGTGCTTTTTACAGACCTCCTAAACAAATGCAGTGTTGGTAGGTAAAGATTGCATGATATACAAATACCTCCCAGTAAAATATGCCACATTCTGCAAAATGAGCTGCGTTACTAACTATGGTATTTCAGACACAAAAACTTCCTGTGAAGAAACATAATTCTTCAGTGCCTCAAACAGATTTTTTCCAATTAATCTGCTAGCACAGGCAGATCTGCAACACGCTTGTCAACTTCCATTTCACTGCAACCCGGACAAGAAACACAAGAAATGTGTGACATAATCCACACTGAAGGCTTAAGTTACTGAGCTAAATTAAAAGCAATTCAGATATAGCTACAGAAGCCCAAGAATTCACTGGTATATAAGAATAACACACAATGCAAAGTCAATGAAGAGCTTTTAACTGATGCAACCTATTTACTACAAAATGGCTTTTGAAAGGCGCTCCCTGACTTAATTTAGAAAGAAGAAAGCCTGCACAACACACACACACTTTGCCCAAAGCAGCCCAGGGGCACCACACCTGCAAAATACATGGAGAGGACTCGAACAGCAGCTTGGCTGATTCCCCTCCACGCATGAGGCTCTTGATTGTATGACAGAAGAGCTTGGCCTGACTAAACCTGACAAAATCCCACAGGAGATGAAACGAATTTTCCAGGTTGTTTGGCAGCACAAAGCCCACAAAACCTTAACAAATGAAAGCCCTCTCTCCAGTCCCCCTTTTCAGCTGCCCTGGTCTCAAAGTGCAGCAGAAAAACCCGTAACCAACTCACCTGTGTTTCAGGATCATCTGAGCCCAGGCTGGCTGCTCCCAGTTTTACCACTTCTGCGAGCTGGGTGATGGTGTTAGCTGATGACTGAGCTGCTTGGGCCAGTTTGTCCTGACTTGAGGCAGCACCAGACACCAGCAATTTGGTATCTTCAACTAAAGCTTTTGCTGTTTTCAGGATATTTTCCCTATAATAGAAAAGAGGAAGCAGGAAAGTGGAAAAAGAGAAAAGGAAAAAAACGTGTTTTTTAATGTTATCCTGACTAACAGCTACATAAAAGAGCTGATACGAGTCACCACAACARTGGGCACACATGATAATCTTAGTACAAATAATTTGTTTTTAATTTAATTGCAACTAAAAAAACCCTCCAACTATTTTAAAACAGTTGCATTATGTTTCAGTGTTTCAGGCTGTAAATGGAAAAAGATACAAGGCARTTCTGTGAAATAACCCCTTGAAAAGTAATACACAAATAGGCCCATAAAGGAAGACTGCATTGGATTTTTACCTGCCAAGCTCAACTCTGGCAATGCTGCCTCTTTACCAAATACAAAATATTTGAAGATCAAGAGAAAAAAAATAATGGTGCAAATTAAAATATTCTGGAACAAAAAGACACTGCTGAATTTACACCAAAACGCGGCATTCACCACTGGTCATACCCATTACATTTCCTAACTTTGTTTGGTTGATTTTAAGTGTCCTAAAAGCATATTCAAAATTCACAGTTCTTTACAATTCGAAACCATTGAGGCCAGTCTCCAACATCTGCCCATAAAGCAACTAACGAGCTCATTAACCTAGCAAGGTTAAGGCAAGCAAGCCCTGACTTGGTCTCTGTACAGCAGCAGCAACTTGCCTGTCACTGCATCTCCCCTGTTTCTGGAGCAATAGCAAGGTGGAAAATAACTGCTGGCCAAGCAACATCTGTGCAGGCCAACCAGGCTACTAAGCAACAAGCCAGCGTCTTCATTGTGAAGCCCTGGGTTTTGCTGCAAAGGAAGTGGCAGCCACTTGCTGCAAATCTCAGTATTTTAAAAAATGCTATGGGATTACTGTTATATTCCAGATGCTACTGGAAGGAAAAACTGTTTTCTCTCCGCAGAGGGGAGAACAGGCAGTGGGGCTGTGTCATTTCCAGCATGTGAGCATTACTTAGTGACACAAACAGTGTGACAGTGAAAAGCAATTCTYGGAAAAAAAATGTGTATTGCAAAGTAACATTTATTCTCCTCTACCAATACCCCACGGATACTTCATTCCTATAAATTTGCAGAGATTCCAAGACCAACAAAAAGGAAAAGCTGTGAATGTGTCCCCACGAGTCCCTCCCCCTGGCAGGGGCCACGTGCTCTGTGCCCACCTGTGGTCTGCGAAGGACTCGTTGTTCTCGGCGTTGAGGGTTCCCGCCGTGGCGAACATGATAGTGGTGTCCAGATCCGCAATGATCCCCGACACGGCGCTCGCCGCTGTAATACAGGCCTGGGTGCCTTTGTTGCCTGCTTGGAGGGCAGATAAAACTAAGGAAACCTGGAAACAACATAAAGCAGCATTACAACAAAGCCCCCTTATCTGCCGTTCAATTAAGCTAACTCTTGCAACGCTGATTTGTGTTAAAAACAATAAGTGAAATTAATTTTACAATTTCATTTTTGCAAGTTTTAATAAACCTCTTTCCCCTGCTTGCTCTCTTTGTGCATTAGTCATTTTGATTATTTTTTCCACAGCAGGAAGCCTGCCATTGCTGGTATTTGTCACTCATGCAAGGACAGGCCTGGCACACAACACCTTAACTACATCTGCTCTGAGTATAAATAATGACACTCCATAATCAATAGCATAAGCCCTCATCTTCCCAGTACAGAAGGAAAAGCTTCCCCAGCTACAATAAATAAGAATTCCAATTATCTTGCAACACTCTGCAGAGTCAATAAGGACCTGGCTGCATCTGCTTCAGTRTCAAAATTATTTTCCATGATTTCTGTCATTGCTTGGTAACACGATAAGGATGAAAAACTCTGTGATTCAGAAYGGGCACCAAGACAGTGTGAAAGYGGGCACATCCCTACGAGCTGACGCTACAGAACTCACAGGGTCCTGCTACAGAGGTGGGGTGAGATCTCTCCCTTGGGTAGATACCCACCTTGCACAGAGCAGGACGGCACCACGGTGGCCAGAGCCGGTGTCCATCGCTGCGCGTTGCCGCACRGCAGCGCTGACATGTGGAGGTGCCACCAACCCTCCACTTGCCCAAGGAYGGGTCGCTCACCGCCAGCCACCATCCGCTAAGAAACCTGCTGCATCTACAGGATGTTTTGGGGCATGGTGTCCTGCACGAGGCCACAGCACCATCACGCTCGGCAGCTTCAGCAACACCAGCTAACACAACTGCTGCGGGCCCTTCCCGCAGGGCTCTGCGGGAACCCACACCGGAGCGACAGGTGCCTACACAGGGCAACGAGTACTACGCACCTGAACTCACCTGTGCAACCCCAGTGCATCTGCATAACATCAAGTACAGAAAAAGTGACCCACATGTACAACCTGACCAGGTTAGTTGCTGAGGAGCTTGGGGAACAGGCCCCGTTGGTGCCTCACCTTCTCCGTCACRGCACGAGCACATTCTATCAGCTCCCTCTTGGTGTAGCTGTCCGTGGGGCAAATCTGCAGGGCTCCTGCTTTTTGCACGAGGAAAATACAGCCATGACCAAGATCTTGCACCCGAGTCCTGATCTGGAACCCTATCTAGAGGTACAGGGAAGCAGAGATACAGGGGAAAGAGAAGTCAAAGTGAATAAGCACAGTGGGGGTTTCCAGGAAGTGCATGCATTTGGTCTAGGCTACTCAAAAGGGGTTGAAGAGTATGTGACTTGGTTCATTCTTTGTAGAGCATCACATAAACACTCAATTTACTAGAAATGAGCTCATTCATGTGCAGCAATGACAAAGGCTGCCCTCTCTGCTTCTGCTTTATTATTAATCTTACAACACAGGCTGTGTGGTCCCTGTTCACAAGTGTGCACTRGTTTTAGCACCTGCATGTATGTACGTAAACAGTTTTCTGTGGGGATCGACAAGGAAGCAGAAATCACAGCCATTAGTTTCACAAATGAGATTATTTCTATTTCAAGCAGAAATTCACATGCATGAGGGGTCATCTGTTCAATAGCATCAAGTTGAACACAGGCCACTGCCTTTCATTTAGCAACTTGGCACCAAGACATTTACAACACTCAACTCTTTCAGTATTGAAATACAATTACTAAGTGAAAAAATTATTTGAAAGTCGTTTGGATAATCTGATACATCTGGTGATGGTGAGATACTCCCTCACCCCAGCTCACCAAAGCTTTGTTTCATTATGCTCCATAACTACAGGAATTCCATCAACAGAGAGGGGCTGTTTAAACCTGCTCCAAGCAGAACCGCAGCATCTATTGCAACTGGTTAATGGACATGGGGCAAAAGGCAGGGACTCCTCAACTAGAACGAGGAGCTGAAATTGCAGGGAAAACCCCAGGACATTCTGCTGCTGAGATAGGAAAGCAGCAAAAGACAACTTTGCAGTGACTGTGTCCGCATCTCCCCTTTGGGACAGGAAGCTATACCGAAATCTCGTGCAAAGGTAAGGCAAGAAGTGCACCCGCAATTCATCAGGCCAAGTGAAACTTAGGGAAAATAATACAATAGGGTTGGCTTTTATTTGCAAGCTGGCTGCAAGTGATGTCTGCAAGACCTTTTGGAGATTCTTTGCTACAGAGTTGTCAACTGTTCCTTCAAGCTGTTCTAAAGCTGAATTTCTAAAGCTATTTCTAAAGCTGAATTGAGCTTTTGATAGGGAGTTTCTGTTTCTCAATCAAATAATTCTTATAACAAAACCCAAGGCATGAAAACCCACCCTTGTGCAGTAAAATTTTATTCCTTTTGTCTAATCAYTGATGCTTGTTTTAAAAAAAAATCTGATTACTCTTAACAGCTCTAGCAGGAAACKTGCTCCCTAGATAATTTCTATATATCAAGAAGATAGGAGGACTTCAGAAAAACAGAAGCTAAATCTGTTTTGAATGTTCAATTTAGTTTTGAATGTTCACTGAAAACACCTCATACTAACACCTAACTGCTGTCCTTGCACACCCCTGGGCACGTGCAGTGGCTTCATGGCACTTGGATCCTATGCCTCCWTGAAGAGATGTACAGTTTTGCTGCACCATTCTACCCACTGAAAATAAACTGGGCATCCCAGTTTGGCTGCACAGGCTTTATGCCTTGAATGACCTTCTCACTGAAAACACAGATCTGAAGAGAGCAACCTGCACAGCTAAATGGCACCTATGGTTGTAACGTYGATCACAGCATGGTTTCAGTACACCAGCGTCAGGCCAATTAAAACTCCTCTGAAGGGCAGATGGGTTTTACCACCCCACATCCCTAGCGGRAGCAGGCAGAGGGAGCAAGTCCCTCCACGCTAGCACAGACCAGGCAGCTCCCCTGCCTGGAAACACATTCCCTGCGTTCGCTGTGGAATCATCTCCAATACGCCGGAGAGAATGCACRTTGTTACCACACGGCTCCACACCGCTTCCCTCTCGGCCCATGCAAGAGATGTATCAGACCTGGCCACAACTGCAGCTCGGGGAGGTGAATTTCCCTTGGGATTTGGCTCTGTGTTTGTTCTACTCCCTATGGTAAAAGGCCACCGTGTTGGCACCAGTGTGTACATAGAGAGAAGAGGTCTGAGAACTGCAGACCTCCTCTGGTTCAGCTGTAGCTGCAGCCATTCGGCCCTGGAGGGCCAAATGCCCATAGTCAGTGGTCATTTGTGACGCAAGTCCTCCCAGCTCTTCGGGGTTAGTAACCGACTTAGTCATCTGAAAAAAGAACACAGGCAGAAGAAAAGGACAAGCATGAGAACGACTCGTTAACACACTCCAGCCTAAAGCACACTCCTTTGGGTGGCCACACCAGGGAAACAGGGGAAAACACTTGCTTATTTTAAGGGATCTGACTCCTGGTGAGAATTCCATGAGCAAACTCAGGCAAACATGCTTTATATTAGAGTCACGCGAGTCAGGCACTCGCAGAACGTCAAACAGGAGCAGTTAGAGCTGGTAATTCACTCCTTGGCAAGGGGGAAATAGGGCAGCTAGAGCGACTGGGGCTGCATGGGGCAGCAGGTCTGGCTGGGCACGGACATGGACATGTTCCCAGGACCAGTGCAGAACAAATCCCATCTTTTATAAATACAYGGAGGGTGACAAAGGAGAAACGGAGTCAGAACAACGCAAAACGCGATGGWGGTGTCAGCGTAAAAACCATCTCACTAGGAAAACCTACCTTTTAAGCAAGGATATTTCTTCTCTCCCCAATTTATGTTAGCAAAACCCATGATCTGCCATCTTCACAGCAAAACTAGCTTTGGATAATTTCCTATTGTTTGCAAATAAGCTGTATCATCATAGATGGCACTATCACCAGCATTTCTTGACTGCCTTAYGAAATTCTAAGCACATCTCCATAATCTTTTACCTAGCATACAAGGGAGCCCCTCTCTGCCCCGAAAAACCCTCAAACAAAAACTACTCCCCCAAACTCTTCAAAATTCAGTTATCTAAAACATCACTGAAACAAGGAACACTCAGTTAGGTTCCTCTTTTTTTTTTTTTTTTTTTTTTAAATACAGCTGTATTACAGAAATCCAAAAAACAGAAATTTGCCCTTTTTATTCATATTTGTCACTATTAGAGTGGTCTCAAAAAACTGATCTCAGTTCATAGGCAAGTTAAACAAGAATACACTGTGAAGGGCTAATCTAAATAAACAACAAACATAGGATAAGATTTCAGTGATAATTTGAAGGACTAATCAAAACATGTTGAAATATTTTCCTTTCATTTCTCAGACAAAAGAAGCCAAATAAAATGTATTCCGAAAGCTTACATTTCACTATACRGGTCTTACACCACAGAACTAAAATCACCACCAACTTCCAAGTTAAACATCTTTTCTTTAAACCAGCAGAGAGTTGGCCAGACAGATTTCACATAGTGCTAGCAGACTGCTCCTTAACACAGCTAATGAAATGAGTTGATTGGCCTTTTCTTCAGTCTTTAGAGGACTCTGTTATAAAATATTCTGGCAGAGACAACCTTGTTTCAAACAGAATCAGGTTTCAGGTCAAATGAAACTTGAAACAGAAATCTGCCTCGAGGCCCATGTTGATGCAAGTGATACAAGCTCTGCATTGATAGAATCAAGCACTAATTCCCCCACTTCTCTACTCCTAGCTTAACCACTATATATTTTTGCCTCTTTACAATCATATTCCTAAAAAGTGTCTTTCCKTATCACAGTGAACACTGCTACGTTCTGCAAAGTACAGACTTAGCCTCTTGATGGCTGTTTCCATACTGGTTTTCTTGGACAAAACAACAGATTAGAAACCTTTCATAAACAAAGGTGTCTAGAAGAGCCGAGAGACACCCAGAGACCGAGCACGACTCTTCTGGAGGGCTGCTAAGGCTCAAATGCTGCATCTACAAAACCATAACATCTCCTCCYGATTACTCCTATCCAGGAAGCCTATAGAAAACAATTATCACAACGTAGCGTATAACACTGTGTAAAACACTTCGTGTTCCTTGTGTGTGCTCGACAGCTTTTACTTATATCTAGCCAAATTTCTTACCATTTCTTGTGCTGTTACAGCAATGGCTTTAGAGTATTTCACCACTGTGGTCTGATAATCCACAAACGTTCCTCTAGGATCTGGGGGCGTGCCTTCATCCAGCTTCATGAAAACAGGAAAAACATGAAAAAAATGACCTCATAACAAGTTACTTCTACCATTTAATAGTAAAACTGTATTCCAYGTTCATTCTTATCAGAGATCTTGAAATATATCAAGTCAGTGCACAAATATGTATGGGGAAACTCAGGAAAACTAATGTCAGGACAGACCACAACTTGCACAGTACTTCCAGCACAGTTTGCAAGTTCAAATTTAACTTTTTGTGCAGGTTCCCACCATTTTTTGTAGCACATTAATCTAAAAGTGACTGTGCAATGCTTAACGCTCTAAGAGCCAAGGAGCTTGAGATATGAAAAAAGATTTTTGTAGTCCCTTTGCCTTCGGCAGTTGGACGTTTCCAGCACAAAACTTCTCAGAACGCAGCAATACACTGTGGTCGCTGCCGGCTTCCTTCTGCAACAAGTATGTCCCAACACAGACCTGTCTATCACTGAGAAGACTAATTTCAAAGATAAGTAGATATGGTGATAAACACAAGGGKTTTTTTTTTCTTTTTTTAAATATCGGTGTATGGAATAGACAAATCTTCCCAAACAATTCTATCCACTGGTGCTGTCTATTCTGGCAACTGAACACTCATCCCACATGGCAGTTCCAACTTGCAGCCTGTGCTATTTGTCAAACACTTCACATGTACTGCGGTGGTTGGTCATCACGGTGCCTGGGTGAAATGAAGCAGCACCAGCTCCTGCAGCTGCTAAAGTGTGGGTGAGTATTCAGAGAGGAGGTGAAAAGACACTCCAGAAGCCTGCGCTCACCTTGCTCATGGCCTCTGCGATGGAGTCCACCATCCCCCCGACCATGCCGACCTCGCTGGCAGCTTCGTTCAAGGTGACCATGATGTCATCCACAGCCTCCTTCATGAGCTGGGCCGCCTCCGTGATGGCATCGTGCGTGTGCGACGCCTGCGGCCCAGAGACGGGGAARGGAGGGTTTATTGGGGACCGCGCTGGGCACAAGGCAGCACCTGCTTTGGAAATGTTATTAGCTAAGGCAGCACCTAAGGGCAGCTTGGAAAACCTCCTTCTCCTTTATCAAAAAAAAAGTTTTACGAATTGCTTTCAAGACATGTATATACTAAGGGAACCAATGTATATCCACACTTTTTTTTCTGTATTGCATGCTCTTTGACCCTGCCTATTTACTCAAGCTGCCACCCATTCAATACCTCTTCACTATTTTCCATAGCAGTCAGAATTACTTAGATCCTTGTAACGTCCTCCTCGTAATCAGAACATTCTTCTTTTCCATTAATAGAAAAATTTCTATTAACAGATTAATAATAGATTAATAGAAAAGGATTTCAGAAAAGGATTTTAGTTACCAGCATCAGAAAATAACACAAACGCTTGTGAAAATACAATGTTAATGCACAGCATTTCCACTCTAAAACGGCAGGAATCATTTGATGGCAGTTTCTCCAATGAGCCATTTGTTAGACACTGATCCTACCTTGGGGTTTCCTCCTCCTTCCTTGGCTGCATATAACATCTGTAAGGCAGATTCTGCCAGCGTCTTACTCTGATCCAACACAGTCATCTGCTGCTGATGATCTAACGTTTTGGATGCCACCCCGACTGCTGCTAAAACCAAGGGTTCAAAGTAACTTGACAGCTGCGTAACCTAAGAAAGCAGAGACAACAAAAAAGTTCTTAATCCAGTTGCTTTACAAATGGGACTGGAATGTTATTCYCCAATTAACATCAAGCAGTGGGTTAGGTCATGTAGAGCAGTTCCCTAATGCCTCAAAGCTGTAGGAAACGTCATTTATTACATATTCCTACGTGATTCTGTGGCTCCTCAGCTTCAAATGCTGTGATAGAGCCATGTTTATCCCTTCAGATGGAAACAATTGGAGACACGAGACTGTCAGATGAAGTTACTTTCAAGCTGTTAAGAAATCAGATAGTATTTAAGGGCCTAAATCTCTGCCCAAGGGAAGGATTTCTCAGCTTTCCTTCTTGACAGACACAACACTGGGACTGGGCAGCATTCGGAGTCTTTTGTGGCACACCAGGCTACCCTCTCCAAGCCTCTCAGTGGGGTTCCAGTGCAGACCTGAACTGGTCTCCTACAGGATGCTGCGGTGTGCAGAACTGTGGACGTCACCTTAGGACACAACCTCAGCTCATTACATACAAGCAGCTGCACGAGGCAGCCCGGCCAGGCCGCGCTTCTCACTGCGGAGCAGCAGACGGGTAGGAGCAGCTGCTCCAGAAAGAAGGTTTGCCAGGGAAAGGGCATCTTCGTTCAGTCAACGACCCAGGTCAAAGTGTTTGCAAGATCTAAGGGCACAGTCCTGATAACAAGTTATGCTGCTGGAATTCAGTCTTCAGAAATGTGTGCAGTCAGTGTCTGTTGTCCTAAATTTCTCATCTAATTCACAGTTCTACTACAGAACATCTGCTTCTAGCTATAAACTTTGTGAAAGAAAACAGGAATTTTAGGTGCCTGAAATTTTTTTACAGGGTACTTATCTGATGTGTCATCTATAAAACTGTTTGGTTCCTTTACAAAATACAGAAGAATGAGGTTTAACACCTTCTGTTGGCTCTAAGATAGTATTGCTTTGGGCTTTTTATTCCAGAAAATGCAAAAACAGCAAAGCATTGGTGTACCTGTAACCTCAGTAATTAAAATGTTGATGCCTCTGCAGGGGCTATAAAGATGCTTTAGAAGGCCAGTCCACCAAGGGAAAACAACAGTACTTAAAGCCAAAAGTTGCTGAGGTTTTTGAATTGAAATGTTTAATCCATCTATATGGCTACAGGGATAACAGAGACAGTAAAATCTGAAGACTGAAAATACTTCAGTAAGCCTTCTTTTCTATTTTATTTTCTTAAGAATTAAAAAGAAAATAAAGTGAAATAAAATGTTTGGAATGATTTCACAAATAAGATCTTTTAAACTGTGTTAAAGGAAATAGTGGGAACCAGACCTTTTGCATCAGACAAGAAAAGGAGACTGGAGAAGTCTATGCTGATGTGCTTTATGTGCTTTGATCTAGACMTATCAAATATATGCAGAGGGGCAACACGACCACCAAACCTCCCACGTCTCACCAATCCTGCAAAGGCTCCAGGGTCAGGAAAGCCATGGATCCAAACCACAAGCAGCAGATACAGTACCAAACAACTGATGGCTCTCCAAAGCTGAGCAGAGCTACGTTTGTTAGTAGAGCTGACACTGTTTGCATGGCTATGTAACAGTACCATATGCAACCGTTTACATGGCTGTGTGACGTGCCAGGACTCCCGGGAGCTTTGGGCAGGTTGGGCTGTACCTTGTGCCCRAGCTGAGCTGCCTCTCCGCGAGCTGCCGTCGCTATGGGATCAATAAGGTGCCCGATTTCCTGAACAACCGATGTCAGCTGCTCCTGTAAAGCCTGGCAGAAAGACAAACAGTMAGTTCTTACCCTAACTGCTCATTTATCAAGCTATATCAAACCAAAAAGTTGCCCTCAGACCAAATGAACCACACTATAGGATGATGCAGAAATGCAAGCTACTGAATTTACAAGCCTGTTCTCTTCCCATGCACCCTATTTCAGCCATAGGAGCCCTAACAGAGGCTGGCAGCACCTTAAATGTATAAGGCAAGTCAGAAAGGGAGAAAGGGGACCGCGACAGCCCCCTACCACTTGAGCCCAGAGTGGCAATGCYGGAACAGGGACCCTTCCTCATAGCCACGTGCCTGCCCCCTCCCAACAAACCAAACCCTCCGCTTCTATTCTTGCCCTGTGCTGGTCAGAAAAACCACAGGAGCTCCAGTTAAAACCCAAACAAGCATTTCCAAAGCAAACACAGCACCGGAGTGGAAACTCTGCTGTGCGCTGCAAATCCTGCAGCAGAAAGTCATTAATATAAAAGGRAAAGGAAAAATATGCATCTGAGTGCAAGAGTCAAGGCCTGACATCCTCAACACTGTCTGAGGGACAGAAGGATGAGGGTAATTCTAGCACTTGGTTGTATTTCTATCTTGCTTTACAAAGTATCTTAAATAGTGCTTGTTGCAGATCAGCCCTCCATCCAGAATTAAATGATTGAAATAGCAAAGCCCTACATGCATTAAACATTTTCTGTGGAACTTATTTTGCACCGTTTCATTTCTTCTGATATGTTTCTAATACGCAGCATTACGGTCCAAATAAACCACTGGAGTACATAAATATGGATGTGATTTCAAGAAGCAGCAGAACAATAAAACACTGAATACCAAACACAATCTGGCCGCCAGTTGCTCGCTGCTCACAGGCCCTCTGCCCTAATGGCCCTTACTCCAACAGAGGAAGGCTGAAAAGGCACAGAATTAGCCTAAGTCACCACCAGGCAGGGGGTGGCACTAATTTTCCTATGAACAGACATCAACAAGAACTCAAGAGCTCATTTATTGAACAAAAAATATAATTAAAAAAGGCATTGAAATTAAATCACCAKACTTCAAGTAACAGATTAACTGGAAACCCATCCCGATTCCTGGGCAGCACTGCAAATCTAAGCCAGGCAAACATGAAACATCTGTCAGTCGTGTGAGAAAAGGCAAGCAGAGCAACAGGGAGGTGGTGCTTGGAATGTAAAAATACCATCACTGTATTTGGCAGGTGATTCTGTAATCTTTGAGGACCACATTCCCCATAACCCTCTTAGGTTCTGTGTTAACACGGAAAGAGACATTTGACCTCTTTGGAATAGTAACCAGAACTTGGACAATTTAAAAGCCAAATCCCCCTAACAAATCACCAAATATGTATTTAATGGTATGAGGTGGCTTCAACTGCCTCTTTCCGCTAGGAAAAAATACTGAAATATTTACATAAAGTACTGGAAAAATGAAAAGGCAAAAAAGAAGGAAGGAGTTTTATGCCAGCTTCCCTGCGGGTAATTAGAGATCATTTTCTCCTGATGACTGTAGCTTCTTCATGTACAAGGAAGAAAGACTAGCGTTTATTAATATTTTAAGAAAATTTTCTCTTTAGAACTATCATTTATTAAAATGCTCAGTACATGCTACAAGTAACTACAGTAGCTTTTCACTCATGAATATATTTAGTGCTTATGGATTTYTTTGCTTTGCTCTTTCTGCTTTACAATTTCTGCTTTCTAAATTACCACAATAAATTAAAGAACAATTTTTCCCCCTAATGAAATAAAACCAATTTTAAAGTAGTGTCATTAGGCCTGCTCTGAGAAGCTACGACATTAAATCTTTGCATAAATGGTTAAGAAAACCATCTCTCCTACTCTGTTGGGGTTTTCTTGTTACTTACTCTCTCCTGCACCTGAGAATCATTTTTTTTCCTCTCCTCTCTGTTTGCAGGAAGCTCCACTTCTCACTTTGCAAAAGCCAAGACACAACTGGAGTTTAAACATTTTCAGCTCCCAGCTGCCTCCTTCCCAGGACAGCCTCCCACCTACAGCCTGCCCTGGTTGCACAGAAGCAACTGGAGAAAGCCTCCCACCAGCACGTTTCCCAAAGCAAGGGACTCTGCCACACACGTGGTCCTACCTGGGAGGTTGTCACGGAGCCTCTTTGTGCCCCGGACCGGCAGGATTCGCCTCTGCGGGGCCTTGGCCCTTACCTCGAGGGAGATGTCGTCCCTGGTGGCCAGGCTCTGGCTCACGGCCGCCAGCGACGCCTGCTCGATGTCCCGGATGCATCTGTTGATGCCGTCGATGGAGTGGTCGCACTCCCGCTGGCCCGGCGCCTTGTCCCTGCAAGACAAGGGGCAATTCCAGAGGGGGCAATTCCAGCGTTCCGGCAGGAATCAGCCCTGGCCAAGGCTGCGCCCAAGCACAGCTCCCCAGCTGACACAACGTGACCCACGTGCAGGAGGCAGCACTAGTGCTGTGGTACTGCAGGGGTTTGATGCACACGGAGTCCTCCAAACCTTCCACAAAAATCAGTGCCAGGCTTGGGGGAAAAGGGAGTGAAGAAAATATCAGCTGCCCCCATGGATTATGCAGTCAAGTTAACTGTCTTACATGAAAACAAAGAAGCAAACAACAAAAAGACTCGACCCATCCCAACCTCCTCAGGATAGTCTAGGCATCAGMCACATAAAGAAGGTCAGAATAAAAGAGCAACAGAGACAACAAGAAAAAAGATTATCCTGCACTGTGCAACAGAGCATCTCAGAAGACAAATCCTTTGGTATTTTATTTTACCCTCAGTCGCCGGTATCTTCTAAGAGAATTAGTTTTTGGATRATTGGTCCTGACATGCAGTTGCTTTGATAATCACTATCAAAGCTAAAGGAACTCTAACAGCTTTCAGGGCATTGTTTTCGTAACATTGAGTTGATTTATATTAGGCAGTTGAATAAGCAACAAAAAAAATTTCAAGGAGACACACAGTGTGGTCTTAAGAAATATTCACGTTTTGCAACASGATTCTTTCAACTAAACAGAGAAAAGTATTTGTAAAGAATAAGGTAGTAAAGTTAGTTTATATGTTATCTGACCTAAAATTACTGTCCCCTACATTCCAGATGGTGGTAAGTTTAAGTTWAGCTTTAAACAGAAACAAAAAGCATGGGACTAGAGAAGGAGAACAGAATACAATCAAAAACAGCCCTACACCGCAGAGCAGCACAGTCCTTGATTGTGATTAAACAGTAACTGGTGAGACCTGGTGCACAGAACATAAATAATTTCCATCAGTTGGGAAAGCAAATAAAAAACCAACACAGCAGTATGGGCAACACGGCACTATTATTTCTTTTCCTTTTATTGATTCAGCTGTTGAACTATTGCAACTTAAACATGGAGCTACAGGAGCTTACCTGATGGAGGTGATGAGACTCTTGATGGAATCGGAGACCGTGTGGGAATGGCCGGCTAGCACAGACCATGTGGGAGGGTCTTTCGGATTGATAGCCAGAGAACGAGCAGTTTTGATTAATAAGGATGAACTCTCCAACATGGTTTTAGCAGAAACTAGAATTGGCTCCTGGGCTCGTGATCCCTGCAACGAATAGAGGAAGACAGGGAGTTTCAAACTCAGTTTCATAAATACACTCCAAATTATGGGACTACTAAATCCTAACAAATATTTCAGGCCATTTTACACACAGGTGCACACACACGCAATTTCAATTTTGAGGGTGGAAGGAYAACACCTGCCCACCTCAGTACTGATCTGTGCAGGTATACTGACAAATTCTGGATTTGAAGCAAACGCTGTCAGATTTTCCACAGCCTCGATCAAAGGGGCAGTAGCAATCCTGCACTTGTTGCGGTTATCTTCGGAGAAGTCACCATCCAGGGCCTGGAAAGGAAGTCAGAGTTAAGCTCTGCAGAGGCTGCTTTGCAAAACTGAAGAAATTCTTTAAACTTTTAAAGTGCTCTACATTTGTAACATTGGAGACTGGAAAGTTGCTCCAGATGCACCAAAGCATTTCCTTACTTAACTGCATATTTCTTCACTCAGATGATTATTGACCTCAAACGTAAAACAGCTGCCCTGTTACACAAGACTAAATAAACATTTAAAATAATTGGACTCTGATAACTCTCATAAATCATGCCTCAATACTTCACACTCCAAGGGCTCAAGGGGCTGGCAAATTGATTCCTTCTTGAAGGCTTAGCTTTGTAAGTCAGACCGTTAACTTTCTAGTCTCATTTTCACACAAGTGAGCTAATCTCTTCCATAATCTCATTGGAAAGACTGCAATAGGAAGGACCTTCTGTATAGCATCAAAACAGATCTTTCCTGTCCAAATAGCATAGCTATTTTAAAAGAATGTTAGTGACAGATCAGCTAATGACTTGAAGAGGGATTCAGATTTACTAGTCCTGTGTGCCTTTGAAAGTAGCATTATTGCTTGCAAGAGAAAAATCTTCTCCTACCAGGACGCAGGCAGGTATCTGGAAAATAAAAGATGACCACTAAAAAGAATATTTTAAGCAGTAGCAATTCAAAGCCACTTCTGGTCTGAGTATTATTACTGCTAAGTATGGTAGACCTGTCAGAAATAGCTCCACAAACTCTCAATACTGAACAGTCAAACCACTGATGATAAAGTGGCCATTTCTGCATGGAGAAGCACCATCACGGAGCCTTCAATTGCAGGCTCCTCAGGCTATATTGGCACAACACCACCTTACACTCCATGGGCTGGCTGCCTCTCCTAATAGTAACACGGCCTGATTCTTTCCATTTTGACTACACCCATTCTGAGCGGGGACAGTTACACCACTGACTGTTTTTGAAGGTCTGAAATGGAAAATATTATTTGGTTGGTTTTTAAACTCATTCCGCAATGGGTAAAAAGACACTGCTAACCACTCTGATTCAGTCTCGACAGGAAGAAAGAAAAAAAAAAAAAAGGAGGAGAGCAGAGCACAGCTGGGCGGCACGTGTACCTTGATGGTTTTTACCAGGTTGGCGGTACTGTTTGCAACCTCCTTGGCCGACTGCACGAAATGTCTCTTGGCAACAGGATTCGCCGTCTTGGACGAAGCAATGCGGCAGGCATTGCACAACGCAGAGGTATGTTTGGCCACGATTGTGGCAGCTGATAACACCTGTAAACACAGAGGGTACAAAGAGGCATTCAACAGTCAGAGGGGACAGGAGAGTTACTATAGCCTGGCTGAGGAAAATCTCAGTTTAAGGCCATGGAACAGTTTCAAACCTAGTCTCCCTTTGCTTGGTTCACCAACATGAAGCTCCCCTAAGAGCAAAGGCCTTGCTGCAACCCTCTGGAATTACCTGTGATGGGCTGCTCGCTGGATCCACCAAATTCTGGCAGGCCATCTGGATGGCTTGATTAGCTCTGGCAAATTGGATTGGGTCAACAAGGCCCTGCTGACCAGCCTGGCTGTTGGGATCTGAAATGCCAACCAAGTAAGCAGCCTAGAAACAGAGAAAGGAAGAAAAAATATTAGGAAGTGTTACATCCACCTCAACTCTTGGCTAAGCTGGCCATATATCATTGCATATGGTCAAAGATTATCAAGAAGTCATACTGAAAAGTACTATTAAAATATTTTGACAGTAAATCCCYAGTACCCTCTGAGAACAATCATGATAGTAGTTAAAGTTATGAAATCTAATTAGTTGAAACAGAATTGCCCACTGTTTCTTTAGGCAGCTGATATCCCCAGAAAAGTTAGTTTCTACTAAGATAGCCTGGAAAGAGCTTTGCTGATAACCACCATCAGTTATTTAGTTACTGGATTAGCCTTAGTCAGAAGGGGGGTATTTGGTCAAACTTAAGTAGCAAACCAATATTACTTCTCTTCATTACTCTGTTTTATATCTAAAAAACCCAAAAGCCTCCTTCCCACACTCCTCATGCATTTAATTATTATTACAACACAAGTTTTAGGATAAACATATATACTTGAACTTGATATATATACTTACTTTATAGATTTCAGTAGCTTACCTGAGCTGCTGCCTCTGTAAGACCACAAAGAGCTTTTGATGCAACTCCAACGCATTCACCAAAGACTAAGAGATCCCCAGTCTTGGCATTCTGGGAAATGCCAGCCATAGATTCTCCAAGAACCTCAGAAAGTAACACASACACAAAAGCAAATTGCACAATATGCTTTTCAATATGCTTTTCTGTAGGTCAAGGACAAGTGATTTCCAGCTCTAGAGCTAGTTCCGCTCCACAAACCTTATTCAACTCGGCTTCCAGAAATTTCAGCCAAGTGACGCTTACTAAACCAGGCAGATTGCTCTGTGTAGAGTTAAGGATGAGGCACACAGATCAAAACTGCATTGAAACCCCAAGCATAAGTACAATCACAGCTCAAACACAAGGATAGAGAAAGTACTCATGAGTACTTCTGTTATGCAAAAATCAGGCATACTGCTTATCTGCAGAGCACTGAAAACTTTCAACACATCCTGGATCTCTGCTTTGCCCCCAAACTCAGTGAAACTCAGTAAAATATAAGTTGCATCTAGTTTGCTGGAACCATCTGAAAACTAGAAATCCTGTTAAATTTTAAAGCATATTCTCACTGAATGCTCTTTTCTTTCTTCAAAAAAAGAAGCCTGACTGCAGTACAGCGCCAAAACAAGATGACAGGCACATYCTCAACCACTAAGCATTCTTTTTGTATTAGAGAAGGAAAGGAAGAATTTGAGACAACTCCAACACACTGAGTAATAAGGAAACCAAAAGCAAAGCTTCAATGAAAGATGTATGGCACTGCTTAAAAATAGCATAACATATTTCACAGAAATCTGCTAGTGTGCTGAAATATCTGGACTGCTCAGCCTTTCTGCAAGCTGTTTCACAGAGAACGCAATGATATTTCATTGCCAAGGCTCCCATCTACACGTCAGGCATTTCTAACATGGCTGCAGTCAAAACATATCATGATAGTAGGACATACTGCGTGATGAGGGAAAGCTCTACCAGAAAGTACGTGCATGTTACCAAGACAAAACACCCTCCCAGGCAAACAAACTGGGAGAGATCCAGTAGAGATCCATGTTGGGCTGAGTTACTGCAAACTCCAAACAATGAAAACCCAGTTCATCTTTGAACTAYAGCTCAAAGATGGTACAGGAGCAGGGAAAGGAAATTACCTTGGAGTTTTCCATTACGCCCTCAATACAATCAAAATACGAGAGGTCGCTCACWGGTTCATTGGGGTTGTCCAGCATTCCTTTAACTGTCTGGGGAAAAAAATGCCTCAATTATTAACAGAGCCTAAAATACAGAACTGATCAAATTACACATGCAGTCACAAATGCCTTGATGACAACAGTGAAGTCTTTCCTACAAATGAACATCTCTCAGCAAGCAAATGAGCCAGTCCCTTAGAGCAGACACAGAGAACAAGGTGCTATGGATGAAATGCTACAGCTGCATCAACTGGACTCCAGTAACTAATTCATTTGTGTGCTATAAACCTGCTGGAAAACGTTTTTCACCAATGTCTAAGCTAACATGGTTTACACTGTTTGTCAAGTGACCTAGAGTGGCTGACACAAGAAACCTGATTTTGTGTCAGTTCTGAATAGCCTAAAACATGCTTGCAACCAGAATTAAAACATTATAAATAGAGGCAGAAGTGATAGAAAAAAAATGGCCCCTTTTGTTGAGTGCTGTCTAGAGACGTGAAGAACTACCAAGGTGAACTCAGGTACTYCATCTGTCTGCCTCTCCTTGCTGTCAGCAAAACCCATTTACACTGCTCCTTCTGCCAAAAAGGTAAAGGTACAAATTTAATGCCTTTTTCTGAGGTGAAGTGAATCAGATCCCTCGAAATAAAGTAAAAACTAGGTCATATAATTGCAGAGAAGAATTCTGGCATTTAGATAAAAAGATTTGCAGAAAGCTGCAGAACAGAGGAGATTATTTCTTCCATGCTTAAAGAAAATCCAAAAAGACTTTTTCCACACACAGAAGAATAAACCTCACCAAATATCAGGGGGAAGAGATTTTACCTTTGAGTTTTCCAGCAAATAAGATACTGTAAGAACAAGGAGATGTGAGGAAGAGGTCATATCTAGTGAACAGTGTCCAGTTGGTTCCCATCTGTTTCTCAGCTTCCAGAATTTGCAACAGCTCTTCAGTGCTTCAACCTTATGTAACAGCTTGTAAAAGAAGGGCTCTCCCAGCAACATTTGCACTACGCTGGAGACTGAAGCCCTCCAAGTGCAGGGAAAGGGCACAGGAGAAGACAGGCCAGCCCAGCRTGACCCTGCCCGTTGCAGTACAGCTGCTGCTCCATGGTTACTTCTTTCTGCTGATGGTTGGGGAAAGTGTAGCTCCCTGGGCCACACAGGAGGTCCCCGGACTCCCTGGGGACCAGACACGAAGGTCCTCTCAAATCAAAGCACCTTTCCAGAGTCCCCAGGCAAGGCCACAGCAGCCCAACAAAGCTCCTAGGCACAGCTCAACCAGAGCTCAACTCCTCTCAGGGTTGGAGAGTTGGACTCATGTTACAAAAAGCCCAAATTATCCTGGAATGTGCTGAAATGCCCTTGCTACCCTTTCCATACCACAGGGCAGAACCAAACTGCTTCAAAGTTCTTTTAATGCTACTTAAACAGGTCAGGTTGAGTGCAAGAGAGAAGGAGAAAAGGCTACATCTGCCCCTGTCAGCACAAATGTTCTTGTCCAGGTGTCACCATGTTCACCTAACAACCTAGTGCTGCACCAGTACTTATGGAAACACTAACAAGCCAATATTTTGGAAAATACTCTAAGAAATATTTGAAGTATATGAAAGAGAATATAAGAATATTTGAAAAGAGACCAACTTCAGAACAGCTAACTACTAGAACATAGATTCTATGTTGCACAAAGGATTGAAATCTAATACAAGTGTCACTCCTTTCCACTGCCTTGATTTTCAAGGAAAATTAATTACACTTTTCTCCTGAATTAAAGGCACAWAACTGGATTTAACCTCTAGTCTCCATCACAGCATGCCAGTTCCAAATCGCCTGTCCCTCAGACATAGTAGAATATCTGAAACTACCAAGTCTCCATATCAAATTCATTTTGACAGCTCTACCTCTCATCTCTTCTACCAGAAAAAAGGCATCTAGATGCTTCTTGTCAACATAAAACGCATAAAAAGATTTGATTTTCTATTTGACACTTAACTTGATTATTTACTAAAGACATTTGCCAAACATGACAGCAAAGCCTTGAGGATGCTGCAACCTGGACATGTTTTCCCTTTCCCTCGCGCACAATATACATTCACCGAGTGAGCAGAAATGCACCTTGCAGGGGGGCAAAACCCTGCCCCACAACCAGGCTCTTGCAGTCAGTGTCGACAACAGGGCCGAGCGCAGCTGCGACTTCACTGAGAGCTGCCACTGGGGCTGACCTTGCTGGCCACTCAGTGCAACCCCATTAGCTCAAGGAGGAGGAAACTGCCAACAAGGGCCCCCCGACCAGAGGGCAACCTGGCATTTCTAATAAAATCACCCAAGAAACTTGGTTTCAACCAGAACTGCCAGCATACAAAGCTATGTGGCAGGTTCATTTTGGCATGAAGAAACTAAGATGGGAAAAAGGCAGCTAGAAAGTCCTCAACATTTTAAAGCAACAGTCAGTATTAAACATACACACAGAGAGCTGTGCCACGACTCATGAGGGACCTTATCCTTCCTTCTGCAATATCTGCCCCTTCACACTCACTCCATTGTGACAGGTAACACTGACTCTAATTATAAGACCCAAACAGCTGTTTTTCTAAGAGAACACTTTCCTGGCAGTATTAGGGGACAAGACTGCATTCATAGCAAAGCAAGTATGCAAGTCACTCTGAAGTTTAGATCTGAGAGTAAATGACAAGTACTGAGTTTAACTTAACGATGCTACTTCCTATTATGCTGAGCAGTAGTTTGACTGATGCAAAACCTCAGAAGCACAGCAGGACCTGCTGCCCCTCTGCTTAACCAGCCACAGAGGCTCGCTGCTCACGAGCCAGGTCTCAACTTGCAGATACTGCACTGACAGCTGCTCCACGTTAGTGTGGCTGTTACAAAACAAATATGGAACAAAAAATGAAATGAGAAAAACACAGGAGTGCCAGGATAAAATGTGATAAACACTAGTGGAGTCAGAGGGCACTGACCAGCTGCTATAAGCATAAGATCAGTCAAGACACTGGAGCATCCCCCAGTGAATTGCTAGTCCTGGAATGTCCATCCCTTCTCACTTCTTTTTTAATTGACAGTAAGTGTGAATAATATCTTTTGAAGAGAACAGGAGATGAGGACAGGGCAGTGCAACATCTTGCAGCCAAAACCACAAGATTTTCAGGGATCCTTTATGCCTAACTTGTGTGCAAGAAAAAAAACTTCTGAACAGATACTAAGTAGGAAGACAATGACAACAACTAATGAGACAATGCAAACAGAGGGGTGAAAGCCAATCTTTGGTCTGTTTTAATTCACTATGGCTTTTGAAACAAAAGTACCTCCAGTTCCCGGAGCGCGTTGTCACATTCCTTCTGCCCGGGCGCCTGCTGGGTGCACAGGGTGATGAGCTGGTTGATACTCTCAGTCACAGCTCTGAGGAGAGTAAAAGAAAGGCATTTTTCAAGTTAGTTTATTTTATTTCAGCTTTACCTCACGACCTGTACACTGAAAAAAAGTTTTCAAGCTCTGATATTCTGCTTTTCTATTCAGTGATCAGAGTATAACATCCATAATAGTTGGCCTAAAGATCTCCTCCTTCATAAGCATTACAGGAAAAACACAAAAGAAAACCTAACCCTTCCTGCAGTGTTTGATAATGATCTACCCCTGAAAATCTAATTTCTCAGTGTTAAAATATTACTACTTAGTATGTAACAAACAAGCTTAATCTGAGAGCAAGATTTGTCTACCTCAGTGATGTAACTTATTGGCTAAAATGGTATTTATGACAACAAGAAAATTAATTTTCTTCTGGTCTGATATACTGAATAATTTATCAACTAGCAGCAGAGAAGATAATGATTATTTGTTTTGGTGTCTTTTATATCCTGAGTGCCTGAAAGTAGAGGATTATTATAACTCTTCCTGAGGTGCTGTGCTGAAGCGTTGTGCATTGTCTGACATATCTCACATATCCAGAGGGCTTTTATATTACCAATAGTTTAGGTAGTATTGGGGCAAAGGCTCAGAAAGTCTATGGGATAGTTTCTCATTTATCATTTCCCTTCTATACCCTGAATAACAAAAAAAAACTAGCATTGCAAAGTTGCCATATACACAGAATCAAAGACCAACGCAACACCAGATTCCTGGTTTAAAAACAACAAAAAGCAAACCAAACCCCAAACTTTTTTGTGTATGAAATACCTTGCTCAAGACATTCTGAAACCTGTTACTTAATGTCAAATAAAAGCTAAGTATGGAAGATGACTTTGCTGTTTTGGTCTAAGGCCATTTTTCTTGCCTCTGGGCAGCAGGTCCATCTTTGCGTGAGCCTGTGGACCATCTTCTGATGACTTTAGCCATCACTTGCAAGGAGCCCACCAGCACTTTGAAGAGTCCTAGTGCATTTTACTTGCTTCGCAGTGAATCAAATTTGGAGCTGCAATAGCCTGGCAAAAGCACTAAGGCATAGCTATGCTTTTCCATAGCACATGTGGCTTCACCAACATGCCACCAATGCACGGGATGGATTCTGAATCTCTCAAACCTCATGGTGATTTCTATGCATTAGAAAAAAATCATAGCATTTATGCTTATTAACAGATGGCAAAATCTAGTTCTCCTGCCAACTTCCAGAGAAACTTAATGCAAAATTATCTTGTTCTCTGTTGATTTTTACCAAAGGCAGACAATGCAAGCTGCCTCAGAGGATATTAATGATGAAAATAACTGATAATCAGCTTGAGTTGTCAGCTCTGTAGAAAASACAAACCAGCCTCGTGAATATTACTGTTCAGCAGGCACCTGAATTAACCTGATGTGCATTTCTTTTTTCCTCAACATTCAGGAGCATTAGAACACAGAAAGTGGCCCCAAAATATCCTTCCCAGAAGTGAGAAGGGACTGCTAGGATGCCAAAAACCACATTTGTTTTCCTCAAACAACAAAACTTGAATCTGTACTGCAGATTTTGAGAGGTCAGCAAAAACTGCTCTAGAAGTGGGTAGGACTTTTGAAATGGGTAAGACCCTCAATTAAAACTGGAGTGAAGAGGGAAGCAAGAAAAGAGATGAGATTAATCAAAACTCCACGGAAAAATTAGGAAAAATGACAAAATAAACCAGCTTATGTGTGAGAAACAAAGGAAGCTGYGCAGCTTTTTAAAATTTTCCCCGGAAATAATATAAAAATACGTGACCCGGACCCAGTGGGTCAGGGCAGAGCCTTGCCAAGCTCTTCAGACCTGCTGAACAACATATACAAGAAAACTACTCAATTTCCTTCTGTGTTTGGGATTGAAACACTTAGAATTATCTAGCACATTATCAGAACACATATGGGGAAAAAAAGTAGCCAAAGTACTAGGTTAAAGAAGAATCAGAAGCCGTCCCTTCCGTCCCATGTTTGGTTCAACAAACCACAGCAAATCTTCATCTGATGGTTATTTCCACAGAGTGTAGTAAATCAAGCCAGATAGGAAGCTACTGCAAAAATAAGCAACTTGCCTGGGACCTAATTTAATTTAAAAGTAGTACCGGTTCCAACCACACATTTAACTGGCAGTATCAAAAGAACACATAAATACATTATAAATATTGCAGTGGTAATTTGCAAAGCAAACATCTTAAGAAACCCTAAAGTAAGCAACACATCTTTACCTTGCAGCTGCTGCTAATAGATTCTTGGCATTAGGAGCTCCAGGGTCAACAGAGAGAGACTTGGCAGCCAGTAGCAGCTTGCTGGAAGCCATGGAGATGTTCTTGAGGTTTCCTATCACTTGTATCTGGTCCTCTTTAGTCTGGAAAGCCACAGCAACATAACATTAACTGCAGAGTTTGCAATAAAGGGAGCGTGCTAGAATTTCATGAGCTGCAATTGGAAAGCCAGTTTGTTTATCCACCTGAAGCTGTTGGTTCTGCACATTCCTGAAGGGAACGGGCCAAAGCTGCCGCTCACCCAGACAGGTGCCTCTAGCTCCATTCACACAGCAGAGACAGAAACCAGTATAACAAATAGCTTGATTTCTAACAATAGTGGTATTCACAAAGGAGCAAGGGGAAAATTTAACTACTTGCTGAACAATGCTCTTGTTGTCCAGACCCTCATGTGGCTCTGCCTGGCACAACTGGGCCACGTTATTCAGTGTGTAATGTCTGTATTCCAGCATCTCTGGATAACCCACAAACACTCTTGTATCTAACAGATCACTTGCAGTGAACAATCTCTCATGAAACTCCTTTATTCCATGAAAAAGACTTCCTATAACCTGGCTCTGATAAGCATTAACTTGGACCTGCTATTACTTGTCATTTTTAAGCCACTGCTTGCAATAGAGAATCTCATCCAYGCACAATCACAGGAGAGCACTGCATGATCATGGCAAGCAGCTAGCTGAGACTAAATTCTTCTCTCAATGACCTGTAAAAGAGAGGCAGTTCCTTTTAACCATCTGTTCAGGTTCTTATGTAAAGGCACTGCATTTTAGTCAGCTGACATGAATAGGCTTTTATCTCTATTTCATCTCTATCTCTCTACCTCTTTCCCTCTGCTGCATTCTGCGTAATCATCGGGCCATCCAAAACACCCAACGTTGCTTCTGTTCTGGACACAGACAGCAAGCACCCTCTGCCCAAAGCTCAGCCATTCATAATGGAGATGTTTAATCCACTGTGTGAGCAGGATACACAAATTCTTAAGGACCACAAGGTCATCAGCAAAAATCTCACTTCAAGTAGCTATTTACAGTTCCACCATCTTTGTCTTCATGCAGTAACCTCATAAACCAAGTKCTAAGACTAAGGCCTATGGCTAAGGAGAGAGCCAGTTCTTTAAGTCTTCTATAACTTCAGAGAATCAGCTGATGTCTGTTGCCTACTTCACTTCATGGATTTGAGCCTGAAAGATCTGGTGGAATCAGCAGTCATTGCCTGACYTCTCTGTTCTGCCTACAAAGCATTTGCTTTATAGAGACACTCTGTAACCAACTTCTAAGACCTGGCACRTATCTTAGAGCTGCTGGCTACTATTTCTTTTGGCAATCACTGTGAAGTTTGCAAGTCCTTACTAAGCAGTGCAAAACAGGCAATTTGCAGATTTTTTTTTCCCCTAAAAGTCCTCCTAGCTCACCTTGGATTATATATGCTGTCCTTTGCTATGTGAAATCACCTCCAGAAGAGCAACACTGTAACTCAGTACATCTACAGCTAACTGAGATGATAGAAGATAGAAGCACCTTCAAGATAAAAAACTAAATAGGCRTATAAAGCTACATTTCTGAGGGAGACCAGGAAGAAACACCAGTATGTCATTTTAAATGCAAATAGCGAGGTGATTTCTCTTTATTCCAGAGAGTCAAGTCAGGGATGTTGGAAATGGTCATCCATTATCCATCATTTCTGGGCAGACTTGCAGCCTAACACGTTGTACCATACTCCCAAGACAGGCCTTGTACCAATTAGCACAATAAACAMAGAAAAAAAAACTTACTTGAGCTTGGCCAGCCATTTCAATACCAGCATCAAGGAATTCATCAAAATCATCACTGAATTTTCCAGAGGCTGCAGCCAATTCTCCGCTTTGGCCCCGCGTAGCATGGACAACTTCTCCCGCCGACTGGTTCAGATCTGCTGCTGCCTGGTTCAGTTCACTCTGAGCTTCTTGGAAAGACTTGGAACTTGGTGGTAGCTGGGAGAGAACAGGAACTGCATTTTAAGGGCTTCATGACTGGAAAGCTCAATGCAGCTCAAGAGCACTAATGCAATACAGCAATGAGAGCTTCACAGACAAGCTAGAACAGAGCACTGCATCGGCACTGCTAGCGATAGTGYTCAACCAGAAACCTCTACAACCCTGAGCTTAGCCCTGCTGGAAGCAGGGAGAGAAACGTACGACTTCAGGAGCCAGCTGATACTTTGATTTCAGAGAGGAAGTTTTCAAGGGACAGACAAGGTGACAGTTATTTTATGGTTCAGCTATGAAAGCCGAAGTGATGGGCATTGAAGAAAAAAATATCTTGTTCTCCAAGTCATCATTCATGCTCTTCAGAATCACACAAGCAGTCCTCCTATGATTACAAATGCTGTCCTTACCTGATTTGACTAAACACATTCCACAAACATGTAAAAAGAAAATTCCTCCTTCATTTGCAGAATAGCAGAGCCGCTTGTAGGTGAAGATTATGTTGTGCAAAACACAAAACTTTCCAGGCAAATTACCAGTGCATAACAGGGTTTTGTGACACTGATGCAGTGAAACAGAGACATAACATTCTATATTTTTTACAAAATTACTACAGATGCATCTTTCTGAACTACTCTAATATTCCCTTAACTGAAACAACAATTTCTCAGAGAGCAATCATTTTCATGGTGGAATTGTGTCACAGCTGGCATTTCCTAAAGACAAACTAATGGTGGTCTAAGACAACTTAGATATTGCCTTCCTCAGTCACAAAAATATGCAGCAGACCTCCCCATGAATGAGAATAGTATTTGAGCCTGAGATATGGCTTTTATACAAAACTTACACAAAGTAAACTTAAAGTACATTTGCTATTGAATAATTGACAGACTTGATTTTACTTTTTCTCAAATGATTTGTACATTAAAAGAGATCTCACCGAATCAACAAGGAGTTTCTTGCTGGATTCTCCAATACTCTTCAAAGCCACGTCCACATCCTTTTGCCCCGGCAGACAATTCACGCAGTTATTTAACGAGTGAGACACTGCTTTTGCTACCTACAACACAAGTAAAATATAACCAGACTGAGAATGGTCGAAGTGGTCACTGATCTAAAGGTACAAYCTATAGCTGGGCACTTTGGAATTCTGACTAATGAGGCCATTTTTAAGTCTTGGGTCTTCCCTGGTTCGCTCACCTCTAGTCCTGCAGTTGTCATGAGTCATGTTACCCATTTGATAGYTTAGTCTTGGCCGGGCCGCTTTCTCACTGCTACTGGAACACGGGAAAAAGGTTCTAGTATTGSAGCTAAGGAAATGCCCCTAAGCAGCCAAGCCCTAAAAATTAACCATATATGAACTAGAGAAAACCTTTGCATGCAGCTTTTCTCCAGGTCCTGACCCTTTTATTTAAAAATCACTCTCCTCCTGACAATTTACTTAAAATACAGAGCTCTTCAAGCAAGTTAAAAACAAAACAAAAGGTCTTACTGTTTTTTTAATAGGCACTGGTGCCATCTGTGTAGAAAAGCTGATGAGTTGCAGCTCACACTTTGAATACGTCATTTAGTAACATTGAGTTTAACAGCTCTGTTTTGCAGTCCAGAAGTTCAACAGCTCTATTTTGCAGTCTAGACGTCCACTTTACAAATATTTTGCAGAGTGAAAGCACTAATAAATTGTGTCTTCATATAAGCTCTTTTTTTTGCTAAGATAGAAGGATGCCTTTCAGCACCAGCTGCATTATTTGGCATAAGCACCATGTTACCACCTGAGACTCATTGGAAAGAGACAACAACCTATGATACTCTACACCTGTGATACTCACCTGTATTTTCTGTTTTTCTCCAATTCAGTGCTTTTGCCCCAAGCAATCTCAGGGGGCCTTCCACAACCCAGGCAAGCACCTTGTACCACAACTCACCTGTGCTAATCTCTGCTGACTGTCTGCRTCCCCTGGCGCGGCCAGCGCCTGCTTGGCCTCCTGGATGAGCATGGCAGAGCCCTCCATGACGTCTCGCGCCGAGTCCAACATCGCGTGGGCTGCCACCGGGTCTGTGGTAGACGCTGCAACCCCCCGTGCTGCCTGGGCCAAAGTCTTCAGAGCCTGAGCGGTTTCTCTGGCAGCAACCCCTGYGTGTGCATTTCACCAAAGGCTGTTAGCATCCCCAGAAACATCATCCTTCCCTTTCATGAGAGCTGAGTTTGCAGGTAATGAGCCCATCTCAGAATAACATTTCAAATGCAGTTTAATACATCACTCAATGTGAACATGTTTGAAATTCATAGTATCATTTAGCCAGGGAAATGCCTGTAGTGAAGCCGTAATGTAAATATAAAGAGAACATTCCAGGGCAGTTCTAAATGACCAAATAGGTCGTATAGTGAAGCAAGAGGAAAGAATAAAGTTTAAAAAAGTATATGAGGAAGTTATATTGTAAGCTATGGGTGCAGGTGGTAGTTTCCACAAACCACGTATGTGACTTTAGAGCCACAGCACCTCTGCCACTTCTGAAAAGGTGACAGGGATCTTGAAAAAAAAATAAAAAATGAAAAAAATCTATGTACTAACTTGTAGCTCAAGTTCAAGTAACTTAAAAAAAATAGATCTTCAGTCAGCTCCATATACCCCAACTTCATTCTGAGTAGAAGCAAATGAAAATGAATGAATGAAGCCAGAGATGAGTCATGAATGCATTCCTGTGGTCTGTCCACCGACATTACACGATCTTCATCAGCTCCAGAGCTACAGCCTCTGATCATAAGAGCAATGGATGCATGATGCCTTTTTTGAAATTTAATTTAGACCTTGATGAAAAYCAATATAAAACATCTCAACAGAAGATTACTTATAAGCCAATAAAACTGTAGACAGTCTATTCTATTAGATATTGCTTTAAAGCAGGTCACATTTTTTAGGTGACAATAATGTTGAAATCATGCTATTCCTAGCAAAACAGAACTATCAGAAAGGTTCGTTGACTGTAYGARTCCTCTTGGTTATCCACATTTAGARGTGGTAAAAATTACTAGAATGTTCCCATATCCCTCTTACAAATATTTAAAAAGCAAAGTCAGTGCAACCAAAAACAAATTAGAGTTCTCAGGTCAGGTAGCATTTTAACTGGTAAGCTGTTTGCTTTTCATTATCTTCTAAGCTTTCTGCACTTAAAAAAAATGTTCAGATAGTATGAATTGACAAGTGACACTACAAGCCAAAGCAAAGGGAGGCCGGACAGCAACAGTATAGCACCAGGTTGCTCAATAACAGCCTTTGTGTTTAACAAACCAACATGAGCKCTCTGTAATCTCCATTCAAGTAAAATTTCAGGAACAGTACCTTCATGTTCTTTTCCCTTTATTTACTGCATTAGTAGCCATCTTYTAAGCTTGACTTACTTTTTAGTTTATAATAGCTCTAGAGTAGGAAAAAAGTCTAATTGTTTTGCTTTCAATTAAGTGCTGTTTATATCCTCTACAATCATTTACGGCACAAAATGAAGAGCAATTTTAAAAGGCAGTTGCAGAAAAAGGGAATGAAGCAGCAAAGTTAAACCGTAAAGATTTTATCACTGAGAAACAGCGGAATGGGACATACCACCTACAAACACTGAGGGCTTGCCTGAGCACAAAATAGTTCTTGTTTACCAAGATAAGATAGAAAATAGTCACCCGAGTACTAAAAAGGAGTATTCTGCAGCTGAGTAACAACTTGTTATTGCTTAAGATTTCCTGATTGAACAGCTCTTGTAGCTTGATGTTAAGAGAACTACTAAATTCAGCCACAAGTATCTGCATCCCTTCCCCAGGTATCCAGTGCTAGCTTCTGCATAACTTCATGAAAGAAATAGGGGCCATCTTAATCCAATTGCACCTGCTTCAAGTGAAAGCAACTGTAAGTTATATAGCCCTGATGCAATTATTTCTAATGAAATGATTGCCGTCATGTGTTTCATCAGTAATATTAAGAAATTCCTCATGCAGCATCAGCACTGCTTCTGCTTCCTACAAAAAGGAGATGGAACGTTTTACAAGCCAAGCACAAACCCTCTGCCTCCCCATAAGAAGCATTTTCATAATCAGGTCTTTTCTGCTGCTAAAAAGACACAGGTATGGAAACCGAGGCAACTCCTAAAAAAGGACAAGGACACATTCCCTGTGGGCTTTAACCTAAACTATGCAAGTATGATAGAGTCAGACAGACTAGCTGTGTTGTACCATCTAAAAATGTTTCACATCACCAAAGCATCCTGAGTGTTTTAAAACACAAGCAGTAAGCATGTCCCAAGGACCAGTTTAACCTTCTAAGAGAACACAGCAACATTTTCAGCAGCACTGACCTTTAAATTGCATTACATTTTAATTCTGTCCTTCACAGAGAGTTTTGATGGTGTACATTTTCAAAAACAACAGATGTCTCAATCCATTCTGATTATACACATACAGCAGACTGCAACACTTTACATTAGCAATTTTTAGCAACTTGCAAAATACACTATCTGCATAAAAATCAGGAAGAAAGCAATTCCATGGCTTAAGTAGCCCAGGGCAAGAAAACCTGCTAATAAATAGATTATGCAAAGCAGATATTTCTCAGACATTGGGAATAGAACAGTACCTGTGTAGTGCTCGTTGCCTTGAGCAGCACAAGTTAACAACTGGGCCATTGACGAGCCAACAGCTTTGGATGTACTTCCCAGGTCCTGAGCACATTTCTCGAGCTATAAAAATGGAAAGGACAAAATTCTGTGTTTATGCTCAAGTACAAAACACTTTAAGTGTATGAAAAAATTCCCTACTTTCCCCCAAACAAGATTCCACTTCAGCTACTGAAAAACACACCCACACCCACCCCAGTTCTCTGAAACCCATTAACATGCCTTCCACATCCTGGCTGAAATAAAATCATTTATCTGCTTGTGTGGAAAAACAAAACAAACCCTCCTCCCTTAACTGTATTTTAAAATTAGCAGCAAAAAACCTTTCCCAAACATGAGGAGAGATGGTGGTTTTGGTCAAATTAAAAATTTCRCTATTTAAGCTTAACATAAAGTTTACAGTTCCCTTTGTCATAATAATTTCCTAGTTGAAAAGGAAAGACACTTTGGAACAGGAGACCAAGTTTTAGTTTGTGCAATACGGAAGGAGCTCCTGCTGTCTTACATGTTCTTGCTATAAAATATGCTCTAATTGATATAATGCTAATATATTCTGTTCACAACCGAATCAGTGCAAAATTCTGTCAAAACGACTATTAGTCAAGGCCTCCTGACTGGTATTGCCTGAAATATTTTTTTTTYTTAAACACCCAGCATTATAGGGTTTTGTGTTTGCTTTTAATGAAACTGTTCTTTATCAATCACCGTTTCTCCTGGAAGAGGTTTTAACTGGCCATCCACAGCTGCCATCTTTGCATCTTGCAGTTCACTCTTCAGTGTCTGGACTGTGTTCAAAGCAGAATCAATCTCCATGGGGCCACACGCTTCATGAGCCTATGCAGAAACCAGATCAACAGAACAGTTACCATCTGCAAGCCTTTTCTACTAYCAAAAATGGTAAATGCTTCAGATAGGATGTGCCAAACATCGTCTAACAYGACGGTGGGTCTCATGACTTCAGGAGCACCTGAAGTGCTACCCATCATAGATGACAAATTTCCACACAATCTTCTTAGCTTGTGAGCAGATTAGCACATTGTTAAGAGCCACCAGGGAACGAGCTGTACTCAGCTTCTGTACCTGAACCTTCCTATATGACTCTATTCAGGTACAGAGAATGTACAACTACTGCAGACTGGATTTCATCTTTGAAAACCAGCCTAGGTCTAATGGAGAAACTGCTCATGGGCCTGTGATGAGGCAGCCACACAAACAGCAGTAGATGCATTAAAAGTTAGCTCAGGTGTGCTAACATATGCCCAAATCCTGGGTTTGGTTCTCAGCGTGCACCAGGAAAGAGATTTGTCAGAACCTTTTGTCCCTTCTTTTAATGCTACACAAGTTTTAGACTTGTCGTGTCTAACACAACTACTTCCCTGAGAACTGGAACAGCTCTACAGTCTGCTGTCACTCCTCGGACTGCAGTAGAGAGACGGGTTCTCTTGAGCATGTACAGGAGGTAAACCTCCTTTCCCCATCTCTGCCTTCAGATATAACAGCTTTGAAGGGCTGCTTAGTGCATGTCTCCCTTCAGACACAGCAAAGAGCATAAGATTTTCAGGTTTCTTGCCACTTCTTTCTCCCTTTCAATTATAAAAACAGAATCCACTTGGAACTCAGAGGAAACTAAGCACAGAGATACTGAGCAACAAACACTGCCCAAGCATGACCGTCTCCTTGAGGAAAGATACGAGTGGACCAAGCCATGGCCATGAGCTTGGCCAAGGYGCTCTACCTGATTGGAACTGGTTACCTACCTTTTGGGAGGCAGTTCGTAGCTCAGCTAAGCTGGTGGCAAGATTCTTCGCACACTGACTTAGCTGCATTGCTGCTGCTTGATCAGTCACTGTGGGGACAGCAGCTTTAGCAGATGCCACCATTTTACTTCCAGGCTGTTCAAAAAGGGAAAGAAACAATTCAGGTTTTAACATCTTACTCTTTAAATGAGGCTTAGGATTGCAGGAATAAYCAAACAGAAAATGTCTGTCTTCTCCATTCACCCAACCACCAGGAGGCCTCTATACCTGTAATGCCCATTAACCACACACCTCCTTGYTCCCACTCTGCTCATCCCCTTGCAGCAGCCTGTCATGATACTCCCATGTCCTCCAGAGCAAAAACTATTTGTGCTTTACTACTTGAAAGGTGCATTTTCCCCAAAAGAGAAATGCCACTGACATGATGGTTGATTTTCATATCCTTCAGTTCCCTTGTTACTTATATTCACTATTTTGTTATGTTTTACTCTCCACTGCTTCAACATACTTTAGCCATTTGACCTGAGAAACTAAATTTTCRTTAGTAATTGCCAGCCGCAGCTAAAGAACTTATTTAAGCAGTTCTCAACAGCTCTCTGCTAATTTACCATAAACAAAAACATACAGCATCCATAAAATGCCTTTTGCTCCAAGGGAATCTACTACAGCGAATGATTAATCTCACCTGAAGGAAGTTCTGGCTGGAATTTATCAGGGCTAGCTGGGCACTGAGGTCTTCTGCCTGAGCTTGACTTCCTCTTACCCCCTGCACCAGCTGAGGAATGTGATCTGCAACATGCTGTAGGAAACGAAGGAAGCCTTTAGCAGCTAAACATCCCCCAGGCCCCAAAGGAAAGCCCCCACCTTCCTCCAAACCAACCCAGAGTACTCACAGCTACAATACCCTTGTGCCTGCGCTGAATTTGTTTAGGGCTGCATGGAAACGAAATAATACGAGTGGATTTTGAGAGGCTTTCCGCTGTTGCTTAGAAATCTTCATTCATGGTATCCATTAGTTTAAAAACTATGACAGTCAAGATTCTTCCATAAAATTATGTTGGCATAAAGTATTTTCAGTGATTGCAAAGCCAGCAGTGGAACTATAAGCAGCTTAGATTTTCAAGGGAGTGTTTAGCTTTCAGAAAAATATTGTCTTTTATACTCAGTACCTCAGCCTGCTTCTCCTTGACCTCTAACAATAGGAAGTTTACAGTATGCCTACAACGTGCAGGAACGCCTGTCGTGAAAAGGTGATTCTGAAGCTGCCCCAACKCCAGCTCACGAGACTTGACAGTAACACTTAACTCATTAGGCAAATCAGCCATCTTCCCCCACCTTCCCTAAATTACACGTTTACTGCACTTTCTCTATTGTCTAATAAATCAGCATCCATGTCAAATCATAATGATCTATAATCAATACAGCAAATAAGCTTTATTATTATTATTCATGCTATAATATGAGCTGCCTAGAACACAGTGCTGAGACACACTTGAGGTACAATTTTTTTTTCCAAAATTTCTTAGGAACACCAGCAAGACAAAAAACCTATTGCTATTGCATGCTTTTTGTGGAACATTTAGGTATTTATTCCACAACAGCCTCCGGTGCCATTTGACTGCACAAATCATGCAACAGGCACTTCTGACAATCACAGGGCTGGTCCCGATAACTGCTGGCCAAAGCTGTGCACTGACCTGCTGGCCCTGTGTTCTTGCCACTGAACCAGTTCCTGTGCAACTGCCTCCACCCGCCCAGTGCTTCCACCTTAGCTTCCATCTACAGCAGTGTGCACTGATTTGCAGCACAGCTTTTGCCTGCAGGCCTTGCCTCAGGTAAATCAGYTGGTATTCTGCATGTAAATGCAAAGATAAGTACGTCTGCCACCCCCTTCTAGTAAAGGGGTTAGCAAGGGCATTTGAAACAGGCACATACTCAATAGCTTAGCTTTTCAAACCTCCCCAGTGAGTAATATGTGGAAATTGTGGATAAAACAATAAATGTTTTACAGGATACATACTGACCAATAGCTTTTAAATCTCCCTKGAGATCAAATGATACAGATTACAGAAGGGAATCTTCAGGTTTCCCATAAAGTTGGTTCCCAAGCTATTTGCCAGTGGGCTGTGATGTATTTACCTTGCAGCTCTGCACAAGTTGCTGGTGGGCTGCAGCATTCTTATTGGAAATGGCTGCATTCTGAGAAGCTGCGATTGTCTGAGTGGCAGCAGCTGCTGCTTGCTTGGCTGCAATCTGGGAGAGAGGAAAAGACAGAACACTTGCTAATAAAAAGTCCAATGAATTCAGAGAAAGAAATAGATTATTTAGGTAACATTAAAATTAATAACTAATTTTTTTAACTGTATTAATTTGTCTTGAAGAAACTCAGGGTCACTGCTATTCAAGATGAAAATGAAAAATACTTTTACAAGCTGAATAAAGTTACCCATCTCGACCTTAATAATAACACAGGGAAAACAACATTGGGAACCACAAAGAGTCTAAGCTATTCATCCTTAATATTATGGTTTGGCAATATTACCGAAAGATCTCAGTTTGGGAAAGCAGAGATCTCTAATGACTTATCTCCTTCAAAAGGAGACCAGAAAAAGCCATCCAAGAACATTTAGTGACTTCTGCTGCGACACRAGCACCACTGGCTACAGAATCACAGGAATCGAGGCTTTGTTCTACTAAGGTTGCTCTTAGGAAGGAAAGATGCTATAAAATGATGTTCTACTGGTATTGTTGCATCTAAAAGCACTAACAAGACTCTGTCCAAAATTATGTCTAGGATTTTATCATCAATCTTTCCCTATCACAAAACTAAATATTCTATACAACATCAAATACTTTCCAACATGTTGCACAACACTGCTCTTCATCTGCCCATCAGATAGAACCAAAATGAGGTTTATCCTCATTACATGCATCTGCATATTGAATCCAAACAAAAAGAAACCTTTCTACGGTCTTTTTTCATTTAAGTTATGAAATTACACACACAGTACAATAGTATACTAATTACTAATATTAATTTTCCAAAATGCTTAGGATGAYATGTCTTAGAATAGATTTGATAACCATCTTCCAGAAGATGGTTATCTACTTTGACCACGCTTCATTTCACTAGACTCATTTTATGATTATTGTAAAAGTACAACTAAAAATTATGAATTCTGAAAAGCTGTTTTTATCTGTCCTTTTTTCCTCTATATTTTAATTGAAAACAGCAATCTGAAACCTTCACCAGACAAACTAAATTTTATCTTTAATGAATAGTAAACTGCCTTTTTGCCCTTGGCTGTGCCACCAGCTATTATGTATCTTTTCACTTTTGTTTCTGCTTCTTTGATTCTCTGAATAACTTAACAGCTTAATTGGATATAGTGCAATTTCACATAACTTTGCAGGGCAATTTACATGAAACTCTTGACATAGAGTAGTCAAATCACCAAAGGATATTTTGTGTAAAGGACAGATTCTAGATAATTTAAAACAGTAACGAAATAGTAGCCCTCAGCTGTTTTAACTTTATGACTAACCCCCAAAATTCCTTTCAACTAAAATGCTTTAATCAGTTAACTTAATCAGCAATAGAAATTCCTCAGTTTTTCTGATCYGAGAATTGTATCATCATACGTTAGCACCTCTCACATTCCAAGCCTATTCTACAATAGAATTGACAATATTACCTTCTGCTTGCCTAGCACTCTAACACATGCAGTTTAATTGCTTGAAACTCAATTGCTTGCAATTATCTACAGATATTCCCAAGTAAATTGAAAAAAATCAGGAGATCTAGGTTCCAACCTCTAATCTGTTGACAATTTTCTTCTTGATGGCGTTCTGTGCAGCAGCATTCGTGGCCACCCGCAGCCCCTCTGCCGCTTCCCTGAGACGCTGCTGTTGATCCTCATTTTCAGGATTGGCTGCAGCTCCCTATATGAAAATTTCAAAGCAAAAACCATAAGGCCTCAGAAGTGGTTCCTTGGACAGAATATAGAAGAATATGAGCACCTCAGTCCCAGATTATCTCTATTATAACTGTCTYGATTTTCTTTATATTTTCTTTAATTGAAGTTAGAATGAAAAAGATTAAACTATCCAAACAATGTGAAGCCCAACACCTACTGCTAGTGCAGACTGCAGCTGTACATATGAAGTAGTTTTAGAGACGGTGTTGAACTTTTACTCCATATCTGAGAGTTATTTCTCTCCACCTTCTCCAACAACAGGCATTACAAGGGTTCCTCATTTAGGCACTGAAAGTAACCCCTTAAGTAAACCCCTTGCACCATGTTCTGTAACAGTGTACTTCAATTGTTCCAAAACTGACATTCATATAATCATTTCTTGAAATTTAATATGCCTTTCAGTAACTGTAATTTAATGCCTGTGATTTGATGCAACAGTTTTTCTTCACTTGAAGTCTGAAAAAGTCCTGGAAAGGATATGCTCTGTTATGTGCCTTCTGAAAGCCCAGGAGATTGTCTGGCCTTGATCAAAGAAGGAAGGGGAAAAAGAAAAAAAAAAATGCAAGATCTGGGAAACTACTCAAGGAACATATCCTATCCAGTGATTTTTAAATAGCTTTTTAAGCAGAAAAAAGCAGAGAGATGACTAGATAGATTCCCCTCTGGCAAGAGCAGACAAAAGGAGCAAGCATGGCGAAGGCTCCCCAGACGGAGGAAGCTGTTCCCAAGGCAGACAGAGAGGCTGCTCTGCCTGAAGGGGAAGGGGATTTGGGAGGGAAGGGGAAGAAAAGGAAAGTTTCTTTGTTACTGCTTCTGTCAGTTGTATGGGATTGTTCTGTTGGTTTTGAATTGAAAGACTAGCACAACATTTTGCACCACAGTAGCCACGATGGATGGGAATTACCCTCCAAAGTAATGCAGAAAAAGAAAAAAAATCCAAACAGATAGTTAATAAATAGAATTTTTTAAAGACACCCAAGATAAATGGTTAACTACAACAAGCAAAAACATCTCTACCATCACTCAGTTCTTTTTAAGACCGCTCAGTCTCCCGGTACCTTTGCAGCTTCAACCATGCGGGCTGTGGAATCCGCCAGGAGCTTCGCGGCAGCCAGGAGCTTCTTGGAGTTGTCCATGTCGATCTCGGCTTCGGCATCCGACCTCATGGCATTGACCAGGTCTGAGGTGGCCTGCGCCAGCACCCGGGCCTGCCGCACCATCTCACCTACAGCAGCAACAGTTACACTCTTGCTTCCCTCCTCTGGGCATTTCAGTTTGGGTTTTAAGTCATCGCAACAAGATGAAAACAAGGTTATCCTTGCTGCAATGTTCTTTTGGATCAAAAAGGCTTGGTTAGTTCATGGTTTAGAAGCTTTGTAAACACAATCTTGGATGACAGCATATTTGAGGGAAACAGATATAATGGAGATTGAAGAAATAGAGAATTTTAATTCTAAATGCTAAGATAAAACCCCCAAAATAACATTGCTCAGAAGTAATTCTACAAATTTTGTTCCAGAAAGGCCTGGTCCCAGTAAATTCCAAATTTTGCTTTCAGATTACAGTAGAATTTTCACTGCTTCAATCAAAATTATTGTCTTTTACCTCTTCTGGAATCTCCCTGAGTTTCTCGTGGGGAAGTATTTTCTGTCTGAACAAGATAAACCAGATAAAGAGCCCTGTCAAGAATGACCTAGCACCAGCTAGACTTTTTCAGATTAAAATAAGGGTTAAATTATTGAAGTCCAGTGCTGCTCATGCTCAAACAGACACCAAACAGCGATGCATAAGTGGATACATACTGTTTTTAGAGCAAATTGATTTGATCAGTTTAACACCCACTTGAACTCCTTCACAACACATTTAAGCCATTAAAGCCTTCATCTTTCTGCAGGTTAGCCAAGCAGGCAGCGGGTGTTTGGGTTAAATGTCTCCTGCCAATTTAATGCTCTTCAAAGGAATTATTGACAGGAAGAGAAAAAAAAAATCAAATAAAGCAGCTTTTTTCAACTGTTGTTCAGCATTATCTTGGCTGCTTTGGAACTGAATGCCTCTGACTGGGCTCCCCTGCTCAGACACGAGCAAGAAGTTTGCTAGCAGTTACCAGCTATTCCCTAATCTGCAATTTTGCATTAAATTTCTTAAAACAAAACACAAAATYCCACAATGACGGCTTACCAGGCAACCACTCTAAGCAGTTCACTTGGCATAACACATTTGAATACCTCTTGCTGAAACATTATGCCATCAAATCAAAGAGAAAGAATAACCCACTTGGGCAACATTACAGCAGAAATATCACAAGCCCAAGTGTCTTTGAATTCCAAACAGCTCCGAGTTGGACCCACTACAAGGAGGCAATAAATCAGAAGTGCCAGCTGGAATCGGAACGTCTTCTGTGAAACAGCAAGTGCAGTGCAGCAAGACACTCAACTGAACACAAAATAGATGCTCTCTACAGCTCGCTCTCTTACTGCTTCCTTCTGCACAGATGCYGCAGGATTTATAAATAACAAATATATAAACTTGATTACTATTTATATGCACAAGAAAGTGTGTTAGTGGTTCCTTACAACAGCTACCAAGCTGTAGAAATCTTTCYACAACTGCCATTTGGAAAATTAAGAATGGCTTCACAGATAACTCTACTGGGCATTTCTTTAAAACCTTAACCCCTCTGATTTCTATCTTTCTTTAATTATTTAAAGTAACACCCATAAGAGTAAAGATGATTCCACTGCAAAAGACTAGCTGGTTCCTATTTTGACTGTATCATGAATGTAAATACTTAATTTCTTGGTTTTGTATTCCTGTATCACAAATAAAAGGGATGAGAAAGGAGACTGCGAAGCCACACCATTTCTAAGATAAAGARAACTGGATTTAAAGAAACTCATTTTAAACTTGATAAGAAATGTCCTGATATTGAAGTTGTTACTGCCCCTTCGTATCATTGATAATTCAGAACATTCAAAATATACTGATATTTCACTATTCTAATGAATCTCCTAGATCTTCACTAACTTGACTTCACATTGGGTTAGTTAAATATTAAGCATCTTAAATTTGGTTGGTTCTGGAAGGAGAGACTCTTAGAAAAATCACTGGAAAGACAAACGTAAAGTTCCAAAATCCACAACATAAAATTCAAGCATCAAAATCAAAATTCATGCAGTATTATTATTGGTAGACAAATAAAATCAATCATTGACAAAATACCTGCTTCTAGATCTGTCTTCATAATTAAAAATAAGACATTCCTATAATTTTTTGACGAAACACAGCAGTGGAACAGACAACAAAATACTAGATTGCTCCTTTGGCATAATATTAAAATAAATATTCTGTGAAGATCTCTCATTTAGGATATGATTAGAGTATTTTCCTATTTTAACATTATGGTTTGAGTGACTGCTCCTGGGGTCGTCATCCTAGAAGCACAGCACACCCGACAGAAGGTTTTCTGGATCTGCATTATTAGCAATTTTCCCTTCTCGGGGAACCTGCGATTCACCAAAAGCTCCCATCCATTCGAGAGACTCACCGGCATCTCCCATTGAACTGAAAATACTCTCTGTGACACACATGATGGTATCTGTAGCCTGGTCATAGCGTCCAATGGGCTCTCCCCTGCTTGCAAACTGGCGGACGTGCTGCAAGAGGTCATTCAGGGCCTGGCTCACCACGCCGGCGGCCGCACTGACCTGCTTCAGTAACTCAGTGTCGTCGGTGGCAGCCTGGCAGGCCCGCACGCAGTTCTCCACGGAACGGTCCACCAGCTTCCCCGCCTCAATCAGCTGTTCCTGGCACACTGGAGAACTGATGGTGGGACTCACAACCTTCATAGGGAAGGGATGTGGGGTATTTAGAAGAGGTTTAACTCAGAGTTTCCTCATTACCAACAAAGCCAGTGTTTTTGTTTGTTTGTTTGTTTTACTTGAGTTCACTTAATGTTTTCCCTAACTGGAAACACCAGAGCACTTAAAAAGGTTCTACTGAGCTTTCCATTCCTGTAGGTAGCGTCACAGTACCTAAATTAGGAATACTGGGCATTCTATTGGATATTCAGACTCATAGAATCACAGAATGCTTAAGGTTGGAAGGGACCTCAGAGGTCATCTAGTCCAACCCCCCTGCTCACACAGGGTCACCTAGAGCTCGTGACACAGGGCTGCGTCCAAGCGGGTTTTAAAGATCTCCAAAGAAGGAAACTCTAGATATTCCTATAATACTGGGTACTCATACAGTACATTTAGTCTTACTTTAGGTGCTCAGATCAGAGATCCCTCCAACCTGTTTCATGCTTTTGTCAGTAGCTACTGAACTCAGCTAACACTGGGCAGTGGTTCAGAAGGGACAGAAGGCACAGAACAAAGCTACCCAAAGGAGCTCTGTCCASTGGCACACTTCTGTAGCCTGGAATTCCCAAGTAACACAAAATCTGAATGGGAATGGGTTTGTAAACACCAATCTTACCAGCCTCATTTTGTTTAAATAAACCTTGGCAGAAGGAAATGCTACAGATTGGCACAAGACAAAAAAGCTGAGTAACCTACAGGTGTCGGTTAGAAACAGCCCTCTCCCAGTTTGTTCAGGCATATCCAGGGCAACACAAAAGCTGTTCACACCTTACGGGAATAGGACACGCCACCGAGTGTTTCTTCCTGACCTCAAAAAATTCAGCAGCAGTGGGAATACCAAGCCACATAAACAAGCTTTCATACATATTCATCACAAAAAGCCCCTTTTTTGGCAAAGCTATAAATAAGGAAATATTGAAAAAACCCTTTATATCGGCAATTACTTTCAATATAATCTTCTGGGATGTTTTACAATTAACCCTAYGAAAACTGACCTTTAGACAAAGCAAATGTGAATTGTTTCATGTCTAAAATTAAAACCAACAGGTTTTCCAAAGGTAAAAAGGGCAAACTTATGGGTGACAGAAGTTAACTAATCAATAGTTCCAGTACTACACAAACGCAGAGCCACRCTCACAAGGTATATTGCCCAAGACCATGGAATGTACACCCAAAGCGATGCCTCGCTGCCAGCCTCACCTTGGCACAGGCCACGAGCTGGGACGTCGAGAGCGCGCACTGCGTGGCGGCCGCGATGACCCTGTTCTGCAGGACGGTGTCCTCGGCCACCTGCGCTACGTTCTTGGCCTTCAGCACCAGCATGGCAGCGGCGTTCGCAACAGCTTTGGCCAGGCTCATCAGAACATCCTGATAAAATAAGGGGAAAGCAAAACGAAATATAAACAAAACATAGCATGCACTTGGTCTATGTTGACAAACGTGACAATCAGAAAATACTGCTATTCAAGACAAAAAATACACCAACAACAAATCCACACATGCTCCTCTACTGACTTGAACAGTTTACTTGACTGAATGAGCATTGAATTGAGTTTTGAATTGACTAGGCTTCTATAAAGAAACTACATCCCAGATTTCTACATCTATCTCTCCRCTTCTTGAGTGCACCACTACTGCAAAAAGCTTGTGGACTTCACTCCCAAATACACACACAAAATACCCACAGGAAGGATGGAAACCTTGAAATGCAATCAGATAACTGAGGGTAGAGAGCATTTGAGTTAATACACACAGCAATGATCACTACTGCACCTTTTTTGAAAAGATGCAGCTTTCAGCCACATTATTTGCATGTTCATAACATAAATATAGCACCATAAACTACTGCTCCAAAATATAATCCRTAATAGTTTCTAATTCCAAAATCTTCTCCCCACTTATAAAAACACATCTAGCTGTTACCGAGGAGRCACTCAACAATGACACTTGAACATAATATTAAAACACCGTGAGGTGCTCTGTAAAGGTACATGCTGTTAAAATTACGTGGCTTTCTCACTAGAAGACTATAAAGATACACTTAACTAGAATTTTGTCTTTGCAGCAGAAAATTTTTATGTTCACTCTTTAATAAGATAAATTTGTTTTGTTTTTAGAAGTGAAGGCCAGACAAACCGTTCAAATTCAAATGAGAACTGTGAGGAAGCTTGCAAACAGCATTACTCGTGGATAAACGCCTTCAAATTCCTCTTAAGTACACTCCAGAGACCCACCTGGTGCTGTAAATAACTTCCCTTTGGTTTTGCCTTCCAAGGCAAACCTGTTCCTGACACTGACTGAAAAAAGTGCAGATGTTTCTAACAGAGCACTTAAGGACGATGGTTTCAAATCAAAGGATAACTGTGCTATTAAGACATGCAAGCATTATGCTTTTAACAACACTAATCTTAAAAGATAGTGTTTCTAATACAGTAACCTTTTTCTAAATTTACAAAAATCTTGAATAGAGTGGAATTTGAGCAGGATGCCAACAGCAGGAGCCATACATCTTGAACAGAGAGGATATGSTAAACAGCTCTCCACGAAGAAAGAAAACATCTATATGGCACGCTGAATAAAGCAGGAGTTCCTATGCAATTATCTGCATCATTCTGTGATACTATAATAAAAAGCACTTTCGCAACGAGTTAATTATCATTAAGCAACATAAAATCTAGCATTTCCTAACACTAGGATGCCTGATTTTTATGTAGTGGCTTCTTCATGACAAAACTGCACAATTCCCAGTAAACCACAGCTCCCCTCCTTACCTGGAACCTTTCATCTGTTTCATTCTCTCCAATTTGCCTCAGGAGCTCCCCGCTAGCTTGCCCAATACTTCCAGCTGCTGTCAAAACTGTCTGTCGAGGCTGGAAAAATGCAATGGTGAAACAAATTAAATTAAAATGAACACACACACATTCACACACCCATATTTTACTTGAATTTCCAGATTTCCTCGAGGAACCTGTGCATTAGCATCAACATGACAGAAACCAAACAACCCCATCCCTCAAAAAATTACCACCCATCCAGCACCACACACATAGTATTAAGCAACAGAAATTTGTTAAACTGCTTTTCTTTTTTCTTTTCCATATACAGAGAGACTACATGGGTTTCATCTGCAGTGCTCCCAGAAAGTGAGAAGAACACAGAAGAACTTTATAATAAACATTTTTGCAGTAGCTCAAGAGAAAGAATGCATAATGGACAGTCAACTGATTTTACCAGAAGTAGATTTCATGTTCTTTAACCAAAATACATGAAGAAATTTAAAGTAAACTGACTGCTAACTCATACCAAAGCATCAAGCTAGTCAAGATGGTCATGTCAAAGTTTCCTAATTTCTGGAAAACTAGAGGTTATTTTCTTATCTTTTTATATGCTAAAGCATACAGCAAATAGAGGAAAAAAATCAGCAACAAATACATCTTCATTTCCCGTTAATTTGTGATTGAAACATAGTAATTTTTAAAAGTGGCTTTTAAAAGAACATAGCACCAAAATAACTCGAAGTATTACATAAAACTGCATATAAGGTAGAGCATTCCACTATATGGACAGATGCATAAAGATAAAAAGTCAAAAAACCTGCTTGCATTGGGGACATCACACAGGACTGAGCAGCTGAGGCTTAGAAGCTCACATGTCTTGCTGCAATTTCAGAGAGAATGTCTGARGACATCTCATGTTCTCACCTCTCCTGAAGTGGGCTGCACTGCTTTCAGCAGGTCTGAGACAGCACCAGCCAGCGTCCGAGCAGCTTTCAGGAGATCTTCTCCACTTCCAACTTCGTCATCCATCAGGGCAGCGAGCAGTTTCACACCTTTAGACATCTCAGTGAGGTTTGAAGAGATGGTTGTAATTGCACATCCCACAGCAGTGTAATCGGTGTCAACTGGGTCACCTGTCGAGTAAATTGTTTTTATGAGTAGAAAGCTTCAGAGATTTATTAAAAAAAAGAAAAAGCCATCACAACCTGCAGTCTGGTGAGACCAACAGGTACATTTGAAGACGGTCAAACAATATCTAAGGAACTTAGGTGTCACTTTTAAATTTTAACTCTAGCATTTTTCCAGTGTCTGTATTTTTCTAATAGAACTTTTTCTTCTCCCCACGCAATTTGTTGAGAAGTCCACAACTTCATCTCTTTCCTGTTTCAATACTAAAAAGAATCGAAGGTAACACAGTATGAACCCCCTTATGCCACTTAACTCCTTCAACTCATGATATGCACAAATAAACATCTCTAAYCTTTCTCTTAACAACAGTCTAATTATATTTTATCTGCAATAACCTTGCAAAATTTCTACTTTGCACAATTCACTTGGTGAATAAACAAAGTACAATTCCTTGGTCACTTATACTAGTGTTACAGATGATAAATTGAGGATTAACACTGCGATTGGGAGAATCTATAGGCTTGTTCCACAAATCACTGTATTTAGCTACTGTGGTATTTGAAAGAAAATGTATCCCCAGTTGTATCCCAGTCAGTCTCTATGTTATTTAGCTTGATGAATGTGTCTGAAGTCTGCCAGAGAGAACTCCCTTTTAAATTTACCTGCTGTAAGGTTAACAACAGATGCAGTTCCTGCAGTAATAGCATCAACCTGAGAGTGTATTTCATGTTTTGATTCATCAACCTTGTTCTGAACCCATACTCTTGATGCCTGAAGAGCAACAAAACAAAAAGATAAAAAAAACCACACAGCTTACAAGAATTAAGGACTGCAGCGAGGTCCTGTAAGTTAGGATCTCATATAAATACAAAAGGTAACAGTTTCTCTTGCAGAATCCCTCACTACACAATTGCTGTCGTAGTTCAACAGCTGCCCTTTAAGGTGAATGCCCTAAAGACAGTGTATCCAAGCAGGCTAAAGATTTTTGACTAGCAGTTCCCATGAACAGTAGGCTCACACAAACCTGTGCATGSACAAATTCCTTAATGCAAGCAAAGATTCTTTCCCCCCCACCTCAAAATGCTACTTAAAAAGCCACAGAGATATCATTTCATACGGAGGCAGAATAATCCCTGGTTTGAAAAACAACCTGGTCCCGAAGACGCATTTCCACGAGGATGAGATCAACTCACCATGTCCTGCCCCAGAGGTGGCAGGTTATCAACTTCGCTGAGGTCAGCCTGTGCCTGCTGAACAGCGTGCATACTGGTGTTAATGGTGCCCATCAAAGCCTGCTGAGCTGAGGTCTGAAAGGCAGAGCAGGGAAACACTGTGTGCATGTTCCACCCAGTGTGTCTGGTGGCTGTTACATTGATGGTAAGAGGCAGTGAGTTACAAACACATCAATCTGTTTTGAATAGCTAGGCATTCCCCAGCAGCTTCAGCCTGTGCTACATAGAAAGTGAAGCTCGCTTCAACACTACTCACGTTCTTGTCCCCACATATGCCATTTTTCACTCCTCTGTTCTTGCATTTTACRTTATTTACAAGATTACGAACTTTCGCAGATCAAACCATGCCCAGGCACATRAAAGTACCAAGCTGTGAACCTGGCCTGTGTCCTAGGAATTCAAACATGCATAGTGAATTTATTGCAGGGATACCACTATTGATTTCCTAGAACATAACAGTCTACAGGTGTTACCAAAGACAATTCTAAAACTGAATTCCCATCAATATGAATAAGCCAACAGAAAACTGAAGTATTTTAGGCAGAGTAGGATGGCCATTACACAAACTACATCTCTGTTGGCATGACAGGGACATTGATTATATACTTTACAGACTCTCTAGCCCATTGATAGTCTTAAATTAAAGGAGGAAAACAAGCACCAAGTTCAAACCTGCCTGAGCACTAGTAGAGCAGTATGTCGGTGACAGGTAAAATATCARCTCTTTTCTTAAAGTGCTTTGCTTTTACTCATCCTTTTTCTAAGCCTTGGATAACAGTTTAATGACTTTGAAGTAAAGGGAAGGCTGAAAGAGCCATTTTAAAGAGGAGAGGGAGAAGGAATAAGTCAAATGAGATATCCTAAAAACTTCAGGGATGCTCAAAACGTGTTCAGTAGGACAACCAGGTAGCCACACACTACACATCCTTTTGCTCTTAGCAACGCGGATAACACGCTGCCTCTTACTGCGTGTGGCACAGGCCACTTGCAAACGCTCCTAACAAAGCAAGAAGGCTCCTCACAAGCGGGGGCATGTGTCCTCTGTGCATCTGCCCCAGCGTGACCTGCTGCTGGGGTGAAGGCATCATGCCAATGTTGAAGGTCTCCGGGCCGCTGGAGCCTGAGCGCATAACGGCCGGCAGCGCCACGGAGCCGTGCTCCACCTTCCCGGTGCGGTTGAACTGCTGCTGCAGGATGGTAGATCTGGAAGAGCCAAAGAACAGAGAGAGAGTTCATCAGCTCCTGCAAATTTGGATATTTTCCTATTAAATTGTATTGCAGAACATCTGGAAGAGCTAGGGAATTGTGAGAAGTCTTTATCCAACCATTTTAAAACTGCATTTTAGAAAAGTTAAATTTGAGGCTTTTGAAAGATCACATCTCACAACAGTAATGAACAGGCAGGGAAGAACAATCTTGCTGAATGTGGTACCATAGTTTTGCCCCTCTAAGATGCCTGGCAGAGATCAAGATTTATGGCACAACAGACTGCTGTGTTTCACTTGCATCATTAAGCTGATCAGTAAAATACAGAAGGACAGACACTTTGGAAATGTCTATGCAAGCAATTCCCAGATCCATATCTGGATCTGGAATAAAAACGGATGTTCTTCCTTCATCACACACACACACACACTAATCTAAAAGCCTGGCGATCTATCAGATAATGGACTGGGAAGGGTGTTCTCAAGCATAATAAARTTATTGTTATCCACGGTCATAAACTGCTTTGCCAGCTGTCCTGTTCATATTTAAATACAGTACAGGCTTTAGCAGCTAGAAGTGTTGGCAGGAATTCTGGCTTTCACAGCAATAACGCGTTACAAAAAAAGAGCCATTTCAGTTATGGAAAAAAACTTTGCGTTTATCTTGTTTGGGGTTTTTCTGCCCAGGACTTCACTAAGAGTATATTCTGGAAGCCATTTGGAAAGGATAGTGTCAAAAGGAAGCTCATCTGACACGTGTGACCTGTCAAAAGTTGAAACTTCACATAAGGCCACATTAAATACCTAACCAACCCATCTCCTGTAAACCATATGTTTAACAGTAAATCAAATACTTTCTCACACACACACCCCATAGATATTGTTATCCTTAGAGCTCCAAGAGCAGCCCCAAAGAAGGGGCTCATTACAACCCAAATTGCCCTAAAACTCTTTCTCTCTTTCACTGCACAAAAAGGTTTAATATTCTTTGTCAAGAGCTCCATGATTCTACATTTTGCAGCTCACCAGCAACTCTGTTAATCTCCCATCAGAACCACCAATGAAGTCACAGGCTGATCTAGCAGGGCCAAAATCTTATCTTTACCCACAGCAAGTTTCTGACCAGTTTGTCTAGAGTGGGTTGGGATACTGAACCAGCAGCGTTCATGACAATGCAATTAAATTGATAAGACTCAAATTCCTTTGGAAGACACCAATTTAGCAAACAAACAACCGAGATCTTGTAGACTTCAGTGTTTCCACAAAGACCAARCTAATAAAATATTCTCAACTCTGCAATCTTTCTTTCTTCCTTCCTTCATCTTAATTGAATAACAGCCAGAGATCCATTATTCAGGGGTCAAGTTACTATGAAAATACACATTTGCCCCAACCAGTAATTTAATAAAGAAAAGCATGCTATTTTATCTCAGAATGAAACTGGGAGTCTGAAGAACTGCCTGGACAAAGTACCTTTTTCTGCTAAAGCATTCTACAAGGAAAATAAATAATTTTTAAAATTTGCTCTTCAAAGTAATAACTGTTCTACTTCATTTGAGGAAAAAGACTACCACAGCTAAAAGGTGTCACGCTTACATAAAAGGGTATTTCCTCCTGTTGTATACACTCACTTCTTAGGTGAAACAGATTCTTCCAACATGGTCGATTCCTCATCACCTTCAAGGCCAAATCTATCTTTACTCTGTTTCTGGAGGAGAAAGAAAAAGAAAAAAAGAACAAGATAGACACTATGCTTATTTTTTTTTTCCATTCTTTCCAGCATTGCATTGGTATTTATCAAAAACCTGATCAAATGATCTTGCTCAATGCTGAACATCACCCTTTGGCAGAACGTGAAATGTAACCTGTGCCTCTGAGGAGGGGCATGTCAGCATCCAGCAGCACAGCTATATGCCCTGGAAGATGAAGTGCCCAAAGAAAAAAGCCTATTGCAGCTGCCCAGGGTAACAAATCAGGGTTTTTCTGAATAAGACTATGGAAAATAATGCTGCGATACCCTCTTTACTTTCCAGAACAGCATTATGGAGTTAAGAAGCACAGCACATCCAGGCACAGGTATGGCATGCTCATCTGTTCCCTGCCCTGTTTCAACTCAGGAATGTGGTTGGACTGAAATTCAGCTCCCTAGCACTAAATTATAAATCACCTTCAGCAACCCAAAGTATTACTACCTATGGCTACCGGCCATGGGAGATATATAAAGCTACCTACAAAACAATAAACATAATGCTATATCAAAGTCCTTTTATCGTAGTTACTTCAGATGTCTGACTTCTTGAGGCAGTTTTTCATGCTGGTATAAGGGAGGAAAGGTTTCACCATGTAAAGACTGTCCATTCCTCCTGGTGACCTTGGAGTGCACCTGCCTGGGTCAAACACCCTCTGCTTGCTACTTTATATGAATATTCAGCATGCAGAACTAGAGAACCATTCACTACGGCCTCAGACACATTTAATGAGAGCTCCTCACACAGATCCATGCATATCCACCAACTCTATCCAGAAAAATTCCTTACCATTTGATTTTATGCATGTACTTAAAACGCCTACTCCTCAGCAGGACTGCATCTGACTTCCATATTAACATAGTTAAAAAATAAATAGATAAAAGCTACTTCACATTCCCTGTCCAATGATGTATCACTGGCACGTTGTAGGGCAAAATTTCCTTAACACCAAACTAGTTTAGCAGAAAAAAAGAAGTGGTCACAATCCACAATAGAACACACGAGCTGAAATCCCTCAGAACGCACCAAGAATAAACATTATGCAACTGAGAGTAACAAAGCCCAGCTTAAGGCAGTGGCACAGTGGTAACTTGGACTTGACAGCTAGAAACTGCATGCTTCTCACATGAGTCAGGAAGCATCAGGGGTGTTTATTACTTAACCTGTTCCTACTTCATTCACTTCAAAACTAGCTGTGTCAGCAGATTGTAAAGAAGAAATCAAAGGATTGGCTTTAGAAAGGGAATATGCACATCTGCATTTTATCAGCATGGAAAGACTGCTTTACTTTGGAATTAGACAATGAAGCCACTAGTGAAGTCATTTTTTACATCATCTATGGAAAGCTGTAGTTTATTTAACACACATTATATCCAGGACTGAAGTGGGAGGYGCTTTAAAGAACTTTAGCAAGCTGCCCTCGGCCTTGGATTTCACTCAACTTCATGTCACATCCCAGACTGTTCTCAGGAACAAAGGCAATAGCTCCTACTGAGCTGCCTACTTGGCTGTCATTTCTTTAGCTATGAAGAATTTGTTATAATTGATAACACTAATTCGTTTGAACCTTAACTAAAAATTCATCAGAAACAAACAGTTATCCAAAGCGCTACACTAAATGTGCTCAAGCAAATGACCAAGCTCTGTGCTTAATGGTAAAAGTTGGTATTTTCTGTTATCAAGCTTATTCATTTGTGAATATTTTAAATACTGGAGGTATATACCAGACTCTCCTGCTTGGCACACTTCAAAAAAGTTTAAAAGACAGCCTTTATAAACTCTCATTTTCCTCTGCAAAAATGAAATATATATCTCTGCTTTACAGATCACAGCATTTCTTAGGTAATACTATGACTTATTCCTAAAGTCTGGCCAAAATACTTCAGCTTTGTTGCAGAATATACATTCACCTGAGGGCAACTATATGATAGCCTTTAATGTAGTTCAACCTGCTGCTTCCATAGAATCTCTTCTTCCTCCCACCTGGTTCACCACTTAAGTTCCCAGCTCAATATCCTTAGTTGAGGAGAGAGACTCTGGCTACTGCAGCAGCTCCCCTGCCCAAAGATGCTGCAGTGAGGTCGACCCACACTGTCATTCACAGCTTTGATTTTTTTCCCATAAATAATCACCTAGATTAAGCTAAAGGAATATTATTTATACCTAAAAAGACCCAAATTATTTACATCTAAAAATATTTACCTGAATTATTTACGTAAATTTAGGTATAAATAATTATCTAAACATAGGTATAAAAATACCCAAATTATTTGTACCTAAAAATAAATTACATGAAACTATAAAATACAGAATTAATTTCATAAGACACTGTATGTGATTTTTCTACTTCTGTTCTTACTGTACTGATTTTACTGCATTTTTATTAAATGTCATCCTAATATACCTTCTTCAGGATGATATCAATGTAACCTGCAATTAGTTGAGAGATCTGTTCTCCTTCAGTGGTCTGTACTGAGTAATAGCTTTCCTGATACTCGCCAAAATCCTGGAGGTGAAAAAAAGAGAAGTTAACCCTTCAGAACCAGAAAGTAAAAAAGAGTGAAAAAAAAGAAATAAAATTAAAGATTTAAGCTTTATTTTGTTTTTATTACATTTTAATAAAACCAACAGTCAGTGAGACTATTCCAAGATTCATAYAGTGAGTAAGAGATCCTTTTTATTACAGCTTAGTCATAACTGTATAGAATGAAATGCCAAAGGACCCACAGATACCTAACCTGACTGACACAGTCACTGGACAATGGAGAAGTTTTCAGAAACTCCAAGTGTAATCATTCACACCATTAATAACGTGCATCTAATTTCTCAAGTGAATCATCAGTTTCTAGTCACCGAATCTTGCTCTACCACACTGAACACCCCTTTCACATGAGATGCTCTCCTTATAATGGGCTAAATAAGCTAAGAAACTCACCATGTATATGCAAGTTCTTTAAATTCATAAAGGTAAGATGTTTCCATGACCCATCAAGCTTCACTTATCCCCATAACCTGCACATGCAAGTGCCCTAAGGATTAAGCAGGTCTTAATAAYGATGGCTTTCCTAACTGAAGAGTGGTTAGGCAGAGAACACATTTAAGCTGTGCTCTTTGAGAAGAGCTTGCTCCTCCTTCCAAGCAGATACAGGCAGATTACCAGGGTGAAGCTTTTGGGGGAGGCAGCCCAGCGTTTCACAGTTGTCAGGGGCCATTCCTGCAACACTTCCTTGGTCTTCTCATCCACGCGCATGACGGAGTCTTTGGTGACCCCCAGCAAACGAGGAACCAGCTTGTTTTTGCCTTTCATTTTTTCCTATAACAGAACATGAGGGATTGTTTTACATTCAAATGGAGCATGCCAGAGGAGAAAGGAAAAAACATGAGGGAATATACTGGAGAGAGGGAGAGAGAGAAGGGGAAGAGAAAAAAAAAGAAGCAAATGATTTTCCAGAATTGTGTTAACATTAAGATCTGAGATCTGCCAATTGGCTGCAATTAATTACTTCATTATTGTTTTGATAAATACACCATTGGGAGATGACAACACAGAAACAGCAGAGGACTGTAGTTTCTATCTAAAGCGACTCTTATGTCAGTTATTAGCAGTATTTAGCACAAAGAAATGAACAGCAAAAAAGCTAATCAGAAGATTAATGTATTACACAAGAACAAGTGAAAAAACCAACCAGCTCAGAAAAGCAACATGGTATGTACTGAAATTAAGAACCAGCTACAGGTCTTTGGCAGCAAGTCCCAACATCACAAGGCACAGAGCTCATGCAGCCCTGGAACGCTAGTGCAAGTCCTCAAATGCTGGTGTTTAAGAAATCAGCGATCCAGAGGTAGTGTTTTTGCTTAGAGTAAGCTCACATTGTTACTCTTCTGACATACTTAACATGCAATAGGTTTTTATCTCAATGATGATAAACTTAGACTAGGTACAACTCAAATATTTGACTTGTATAGAAATAGAGTACATCAGGAAAGGGCACCTACTACCTTTAATTGATCTAAGTCGCTGTTTACTGAGCTAGGAAGTAACTATTACACATGGCAGCACAGTTGAGCAAGCATGAACATTTTTATATTCAAAAATTGCAACTGCATYGGATCTATTAGGTAGTTGGGAAGACACTCCCCTTCCCACTCTTCACCTTGCAAAAAGAGAGATTTTAAGGAGAGAAATTGTAAGGCTGCCAGATGCTGTTTGTTAGTGTCTTGGGCATTATGCCCCTCAGCTTTTCAAGGCTGGGAAAGAGGAAGGGGGAATCTGTCAAGCTGATCTCTAACAAATAGCAGAAAGATACCTAATCAACAACATACATTGTCTGAAGTGGATATTGTCTTATGASACTGAAAAGCAGCATAGCGTGGAAAAATTCATCACCGCCACCTCGCTCATATTCAACAGCTCCTTTAGAGAGCTGAGATTGCTTTCTCCATTAAAGGTGTCTAAAAAGACTATTTCACTTAAAGAAAGCAAAAGGAAAGGTCATTCTTTCACTATAACTGGTATCCTTGGCAGATTTTTCACTGTATTTGCACCTTTTGTTTGYTTTGTGGGTGAAAACCTGGTTTATGTTTATTCTTTTTTTCCATCTCAGTAATAACTGAATGTTCAGACACTAACACTTCAGTCCAGTCTGATGATCCCAGCAAAACATCAGTTTCTAGGTACAAAATTTGAGCTATATTTTTTGGGGTTTTTTTTGGTTGGTTTTTTTTTAAATACTTTTAGGACCACCCAGGCCTTCTCTCACTAAGGGCTAGGAGAAATTAATCATGCAGCTGATGATCTTGTCAGATGCAGTTTCCACATGTAACAGATTACAAGGTTTCTGTAAACCTTTTCACAAATGATGTACTTTGACAGTAAACAATAGAGAGTTAACTTAGAAAATAAAATCATGGCAGACGCCAGACTGCCTTTCTGGAATTCAACACGACAGGGATGTAAACTGAAATTATCACTGTCCCATGTAGTAAATTCCCAACACAGCTTTCAAGAGCCTGAAAAAAAATAATTTGACATTTTGTTTAGGAGATCAAACATACATATGGCCAGCAAAATCCACGTTACCTTAACAAGGAAAAAGGACACCCCATAGGTCCGCAGGGAACGTGCTAGCTTCACATATTTCACTTTGGCTTCTATTTCAGTCATCTCACCACAGTTTTTGTGCTCCTGTAACAAGAGTTAAGTATTAGGTAGATATAATCCATCTGGAATGACAACTGACAGAAATAATTCCATGAAAAAGCAAAGAAAAATATATGGTAGCTTTTATTTGTTTAAGGATGCCTAGTTAATAAGCACTGCAATTAGAATATTTGAAACCGTGCTGGGTAGAGACAGCAGCAAGTCTGTATCTCACAGCTCCTCACACTCAGAAGACACAAATAACCTGGCTGAAAGGAACAGTTCTTTGACCAAAAGCCCAAATGCAGTCATTGCAAATAAAGAAAAATCACTTGACAAACTCAAGAACTTAACAACGTAGGAAAAAGGTGAGTTTTTCAGAAAGGCAGCTTGCTGCTGCTGAGCCTCTGCCCAGTTCAGTGCAACAACTCATGAATTTCTCGTCCACATCTTGATGTCATCATTGAAGCTACCTGTACATATCTCCAATGGGAAAAACTACATGCTCTGAATCCCATACTTGGGAATGAATTAATAAAATAATTCTGGCTGCAACTACAACATTATCACCACTACCAATTGAAGGTAGTAACAAGGCTGTGTTAATCTTATCTCCAAGGCAGTGTGACAAGCTGCAGGTCCCATAGACCTACTGAGACACAACGTTCCTAGACAGAGCCTAAGAATCAAAGGAAAGAACATGAGCTATTCTTGCTGTTCAAATTACAAAACCCCAAATGAAGATCACAGGTCACTGGAATGTTCTTCTAGAAACTCTATAACTTGGTTACAGCTGTTAACCTCAAAAATTTCCTCATCTGTTTACATTGCCAACTTTTTACCTCTCTCAGCACTGACATTTAGCACAGCTAAGACTATTTCCATCAGTATTACTATGCTCCATGCTCAATTGCCTCAGTGTTTTACAGCATRGTGCATTCCAGGCACATCACTAAAAGTAATACTGAACTCTATTATTTGAAGCTCATGCTTAAATGATGAATGCATGAAGGGGTCAGTGGAAGAAATTCAGCTGACTTTCCTAAATGCACTTCTAGTTGTAGTAGAAATAAACATCCTTACATAACAGTGAGACAGAATAGGGTCTTAACAACACTGAATATTTGCTTGCTCTCCTTCAGAATAAAGTCAATAATATTAGTGAAAAAAAGAAGGATTAGGACAATAAATCCGGTGAAGAAAAGCTAACAGATTTCTTAGGCAGTCTTTCTTGTGCAGTCAAGTACATATACAAAGTACATACATAGGTACAAATATCCCCTCTGAAAAAGTGCTCATGTTTTTCTTAAAATAGAAATGTTTGAAARTTTTTAGCTTCACAATTACCTGAAATATTCTCTTTTCAGCCCCTCTTTGCTTGGTATATTCTTTAGGGAGGAACTCTTTTAGGCTATGGAGAAAAACAAACAAAAAATGCTAGTTAATGGTGCTTTCATGAACAAGGATGATTTCTACACTCCTTTATCAGCACTAAAACCTCCATGCTTCCTAAAATGGGCATAAAATACCTATTCAGTGAAACAAAACCRTAGCTGACTAAGTAGGCTAAGTTCAAGAGAATAACTGGCTTAATTAAGAGAAACATTTTGGCTGCATCCTCACGTGATATCTCTTCATGTTTTGAAAAGCCATCAARAGTAAATAAGAGCTGGGACACTTTCCACAGTTAAACCCTACGATGTATTTGAGCACTCCAAGGGTTCACATCCATTTCCAAAAACACTGACTGGGGAAAAAACAGGAAAGCCTAGAAGAAGGGGTAAATCAAAACTTGAGCCAGTTCTGTGTCTAAGTTCAGGCACTGCTATTACTTTCCAGTAGCACTTTGATTTATTGATGTGCAGGACAGATACTCCTTTCCTCTCAGTTTTCCAAGAAATGTTAGTACAATGATATKTACTGAAAAACTGAAAAGCCAGTAAGTGGACACTTAATACCAGTCACTATCTTGAAAACAAAGTAATAAATAACTAGGCCTAATTTTTGCAGCACTCAGATAGTAAGGTCTCAGGATACAGAATAAACTAAGTCTCCATGATAGATTTGGGTCAGCATGCATCTTCTAATGTCTCACAATGTTGTCCAGCTGCACCTCCTTGCTATGCAACAAACCAAACAATTTATCTTGGCCAAACATCACCTCAACTTCAAGATATATCATCATCATGTTTAATGGATGACAGCCCTTTCTGGAACAGCATCTTCCCAACTGCCACACTTGAGTGGGATGAAGTGACACCGTCTAYATTCTGCAGCTCATATTCAGCCTCAAGTGAACTGTATTTCACAAACTTTGGGATGYTCTCTCTTGAGTTCAGTATAAAACAATAGAACTCCCCAGTTCAAAGAACTGCCCTCTATGATTCCCCTCTTTGGAGTACTAGGAATAGCAGCAGAAGGAAYGATGCAAGAAAGTCCTCATTTTGATTTATTCAGTGCATAAGTACATTACTAACACAGAGAGCTTTGGCTTCCTACTACTGTGGAGAGCTAGACAAGAGTTTTGAGAACAGCTTCCACTCTGGATTTTTAATGAAGGAAGGTTAAAAAAGTCCAGTCTGTTTTACTTTGTTTCTGCAGACAACAGACAAAATAATTGCAAGATTAAGTTAGGATGCCATGCTTTCTTCAGAAATACTTCCAGTCATGAGATCATTCACTTGGTTCATTCCACAAACTCTGGCAATATAAATAAAAGCATAAGCAAGAGATCTTACTAATGGCTCTTCCAATGTCCAAGCAATTATGGTTTACTAATACTTGATGATGAAATCTCTTCTCAGGACTTATACGAGACAGAAATGTGCAGGGGAGTATTTTGTAGACAGGGATTGAATACGCCTTATTAGTCTGGAAAATGTTGCCTCTATTCAGAATTTGCAAGTTTAGTTCACTTAGTACAGTTTAGTTAAAACTGCTTCCAAGGCTAATGAAAAACAAGCAGTTAAACTCTGTTTAATTCTACAGACCAGATTTATGCATACGAATGCAAGTTTAACCAATACACTTTGAACTCTCATCTTTTATTAAGAGGAGTTAGCTATTTCTTAGCTATTCCTATGTAAAAAAGAAAAGAGCTATCAGATGACTTTAAGAAGGTCTGCCTATCTTATTAATCAACATGTATTTCCTTAAAAGCAGCCTGCCAAACAAATCTTACTTGGAGAAGGAAAAGATRAGAAAACAAAGTGACTCTTTCTCCACTACGCATCAGCCCTTACTTGCTCTTGCCAACGAGGCTGGCAGTTAGAACTAATGCTTTTCCCTTTTATCAACCTGTTTTTCAACTTGCTTTTCCATTTATCAACCTGTAACGACATATAAGCCACCTTCACYAGAAAGGTAAAATAACAGCAATAAACAGACTCCAAATTTATTTTAATACCTATAATCAAGGCATTGTCACTTTTTTTCACAACAAAGTTTTACTTTTTTTAACAGGTTGTTTAAAAGAGCTGGCAAGACCACCCAAAGTATATAATTTAGTCTTACTTCTTTAAATATACATTACTGCACTGGACAATGAATTTATTTCACATTAACAGAAAAAGTTTATGTACACATTTTTATTAGACTTGCATTTTAACTGTTTTTCATTACCCTAAAGGTATATCCCAGTGTTCCTGGAAAGTGTAAGATATGAGTTTGCCCAAGAGATTGGATAAAAGAAGTGAGCTGATTGCTGAGCACCCTTGGAAATAAAAAGCTGGAGTCAAGAGCTCCCAGTTGCTCCTAACAGTTGGTCTGTAGATGCAACTCAAAAACGTAACCCTCCTCCGTGCTCTTCTTCAGAGCTATTTGCAATTTGATAGGCTACAACTTTCACAATTTGCTTTGGCAAAAGCTTCTAGGAAATTGCAGCAGCCAATATCAGTGTTAACAAGTTGCATTCAATGATCTTCATCTATGCCAAAAATCATTTATCAGTGACAAAAAGTCAGGACTGAAAAAAAGTCCATATAAACATCCTGCAAACAAGCAAAACTAAACAAAGCTGCTTTAAAGCAGTGCTAAAAAGGAAACAACTCTACTTTGCTAMAAAATGCTTTCTGTATGAGCAGATGGAATATCTTTAAGGGAGTCTGCTGTGCATTGAGGTTCCAATACTGAATGAATAGATGCTTCTCAATCATATTTTAAATGGAACTATAGTATAAAGTTCATATTAAAGATAACTGYTTCCATACTTGAACAGAAGCAGTGTTCTTCCAAAGAATAAGAAACAGTTGGACAAAATCTGTGTAAAAAGGCCCCTCAATTTTTAAGGGGATGAAAACATGAAAACAACCAAGAAAAATGTTTTCTGAAAATCTGCATTCTACACAATATTAGCTTGTCATGTGGCAATAACCTTAATGGTTCCACGTCAGAATACTTTTTTGGAGGAGCAATGGAGGGAGAAAGAAAGAATAAATATTTAGTGGACAAATCCCAGAAAAAAAGGTTGCGTAACCATGCACAGCCCAGGAAAGTGAGCATCGGGAGCACAGCGAGGCTGCTGCAATGGTGTCAGTAGCTCTGTCAGGAAAGGCTCCCAGGCCTCTCTGCAGCAAGGCAGAGATGACGAAGAAAAGCAGATCACTCTAAYTGGAACTGAAGCAAGTGTCTGCATATGTGATTTGTTTGCATAACCGAGCAAAATGTAACAGCTGCTTCAGGGAACTCTTTCAATAACAATGTGTTTTGAACAACCAAGCTGGTAGCAATGCATGCTCCAAAACATATCATTWAAAAAAGGATTTCCCAAGGTGCAGACTCAGGATCGCCAAGCTAAGTATCTAGAGGTCGGCACCCACCATGGATTTACGCAACAGAATAAAAACCAAATACAGACTCAGTTTTGGGCATCTTTAAGGTTTCTGTGAGCTTCACACAACACCAGTGCTTGAGTGACTGCTCGGTAAATAGCTTTTAACTTCCTTCATTTCCTTTCTCCACCTCCTCAGACAAAGAATACRGTTCTGGACTTCCCTTTTTACAATGTCATAAGACAGTGAATGTGTATGATTAAYGTCACTAACAAAAAAGCCTGGAAAAATTAACCTCTGTGCACAGTAATACAAATATTAKTTAAATAACTAACAGCTTTCCATTCRCATGCTTTTCTAACAACTCAAGGATCTGTCACACGTACTTGTTAATGCTTAATTCACAGATTGCAGTACTAAATGAAGGCAAAAGCACACTTCAAAGCAAGAGGAGAATCCCATTTCTCCCAAGTAATGGGGGCACAAACTTTTTTCACACACTCAGGTTTAAACCATGATGACCGACATGTGGCTCTTTAGCTTTTGAGAGGCTCAGCATTGTCCCCATGCAGGACCTCACATGACAGAATGGGGCTGCACTGAAGCAGTGGAAGCTACTCAGTAGCCTCAGCCCTGAGAGAGGTCTAGCATGGCCAACACCACATTGTCAGGGACTCCAGATGCAGGTAACTGGCACCACTGGCACAGACAGGGCCATATGTTGCCTATCAACCACTGCCAAAGGTTCCCTCAGCAGCTGAGACTGTTGATTTATGCAAATAAATCTCCTGCAGAAAACACAGATCTAGATACCTCTGCTTTAGGTACTAAACTGTGTCTAGGTTTAGTGACATGGGGTTGCAGTGAAGTGACATCCAAATTTAGAAGTTAGCAAAAGTGTTTACTCTAAAAATCCAGGTTTGTGTTTGTGTTCTACATGAGGTCCAAACTGGATCTGTGCTTGAAAGCCTCCAAACTCACAGGCCTTCTCAAAGGAGACGGGATGGGAGCCATTCAGAATGTCATCACGAGCCTGTAAGAGGTAAACAGAGACACATCAGTCAACYGCCACATCTCTGAAATTTCCTGAAAACTGGAACATAAGCCAGTAAACAAGCAGCACTTCTTCCTGCCTGAGTGTCTTTGTTACTCCACTGTGGACACGTTTATGCCTAAAAACAGAGGCTAGATTCTTTTCTGGGGAGTAGCTTGAGACTCACTGGAACTCTGAGGGTGCTGGTGCTAGTGTTTGTCATCTAAGTACTCAGCACACATTTCCTTCGTTATGTGTATCTGTAATACACAAGGTGTACACACATACTCACATTTATATGTATTTAGGTGTATATAGACATATAYACATGCACACACAAACTAGTAGATATTTACCTACATAATTAGTGGGTAAAATAGAAACAGTATAATAAAAACAGCACAAGGAGAAGGCAAGCCACATTTTCTCTTTGTTTAAATTTAGTATTATAGAAGATGATTTTATAGCTCTGGAAGCAGAAATCTCTTCTATTCACACAACAAAGACTAGAATAGCAATATTAATGCATACTACCATATCAGTCAATTAAAGAACAAGATTCTTCACAATTTTCTTGTTTCCTAAACAAGAAAATGGTTCAGTGTGATACAAATACAGTGAATTCAAAGAAAAAAAGGCCAGCTTTATTGGATCTTGTAGTTTTAAAAGAATTTATAGCAACTCTATTTGAATCAGCTGAAAGCAAAATAATTGAAGATCCTATTAGCTTTTTCAGTCACTTCCCCCTTCATTTTTTCAAACCATAGCACAAAGTTCAGAAGGCTACTGTTTCCAGCCTGCATTGGAGCCTGCTGCACGAGATGCTACTATGGAGGAGAATCTTCTGCAGAAATACTCCCAGCATGGCTAGGGTATTGCATCTCCAGCAAGTGGGTGAACCTAAGGGGGCTCAAATGATATGGCCCTTTTTGCACATTACRCCTGCCTGTCTTCCACAATCTGGCTCGTACACTGAAGTGGGTTGTGGAAGAGGCTCCTGCACTGATTGTGCAGGAAGAAAAAACAAGATCAACACAGAAAGCTGGGTGTAAGTCTTTGAGGAGATACCAGGTTACACGTAAAGCATTATCTACGAAAAACTACCACCCCAGATTCCTGAAAGTCTTATCCAAAGACAAGATAGATGTACTCAATTTTAAGGAAGCCACAACAAGGAACACAACAGTAAGTGGCTCTATATTTGATTCTGCATTACTGTGCTTAAAGTATTTGATTAAAAACAAAGACTCTGTTCTTGGAGTTTTTGGATGTTCTTGGAAGAACAGACATAAAATCATAGCAGAGCCAGAAGTCTAGTAGATGGAGTATTTCAGCAAAGGAGGGGCCAGCTATTCAGCATCATTTATCTCATGGATTTACCTAAGTTTGCTCAGACAAGGCAGAACAGGTACCASTGCTCCACATTACATACCTGAACATAAAGCAAGTTCAGCTGAACGGGATCTCTTGAATCTACATTCTGGTCCGAATAAAAGAATTTTCTCCTTAATAGCAGTGTTTCATTCTCATCAACTCCTTGCTCTCTAAATGTTCGGCTGTGATCTAGCCAGTTTACTGCAACAGTACCACAGATACACATGTTTGTAAACATGCAGTGCTGCCACTGCTGGTATGAAGATCAGATAATAAGGGAAATTCCACAGCTACTTTTATTTATATTTCTAGTCCTCGGTGTGGAGAGTTGCTACAAATCAGAGCTTATTTACTACAGAATGAAATATCATGAACACTGTTGAAGGAACAGCTACAGTAATATTTAAAATGTTGAAAGTTGCATTGTAAAACAATTTAACACCTTTCCTCCTAAAAGTGTCAATTCTTCTGATCACATATTGATCCCTGAAAACATTTTAAAATACCTTTTGTAGTAATGTTAGCAGCTAATATAAAATGCATCACTGTTCTGATGACATTTTATTAAAAATAAAAACAAATATTGTCTTAGTCAGGCAGTAAACTCCACTTATATTTAAAAGGTATACTTTCAAAGACAAAACTAATTTTATTGACTTTCAGTATTAAGTTTGAAATAAGAAGGCATCAATAGCTTTATATTCTAGTTTAATGAAGAAAAAAGGGAATCAGTAGAGAGCTTCCCTTCTTTCTTATAAATTATGACCCCCTCCCTCCATCCACCAAAAGAGAGCACAAAAAAAATTCCAAGCGACCTGCYGACTTTCTCAGCAGAGACAAATGGTCCATTTAATTACACTTGAAAATAATCTGTTGAAACRACATTACAAATACACAGGTGCAAAATACAAGAACTGAGAAAGAAAGAAAAAACGCCTTCCCATATGTTTTCTTACATAATTCCATGAAAAAATATTTGTCTGACAGTTATCATGGAATATACCACTTACAATCATCATCTGTATGAAGCTTTGCCTTCAACTTTTCCATTTTTCTTTCATCACGCAACAATGTCCTATCTTTCTTAAGTGTCCCCGTGCTCTCTTCTTTCCTCTCTTCAATGCTTTCCTGGATTAAGGAATATTCTTCATAATTGGTTATTCCTGCGAGTATAAATAAATCCAGATTTAATAATACTCAAAGGAACTGCAACTGAAGGAGAGATGAAATATTCTTTTCCTTAATAGTAAAGATATCAAGATGAAAGATTGAAACAGTAAGAGGAAAAGGATCCCCCAAATGTACTACAATTTCTGTATTCATGGTCCACTGTCCATGTTTGACAATCCTTTCAGAACACCATTACTTTGCTGTATTTGTCACTTTTAGAAAGATATTCAATTTTTGTTTTGTTATTTTTCAAGAGAAGCTGCAAGATTAAGACCATGAGGTATTTTAAATTAGCAGTAAGTCATGAGATGCAGACAAGCTGAGCTAATATTGCTTCTCAAACACCAGGTAACTTCAGCTTACCCAACAGATGTCAGGGGAAAAGAAGAGGAAAAAAAGGCAGAGCACATGTGAAGAATCTCCTTCTTCAGGGCTTTAAAACTGTCAGCTATTTCTATGAATTTTACATGAAACCAATTTGAAAGTCAGTTCAAAGCCCCCAGCCTACGTGCTACATTGCTCTCATTTCTTTGCTCTGCTTGCTCGCTCTGTTGTTCAGCAAAGCATGATCATGTTACACAGGAAAGCAAATGAAATGCTTGCCTACATGACCACATTCATGAAAATTAGCCAAATTAATTTTTAAAGTAAATTAGTTACAGCACATTAGAATCCTGCATAGAAACACTCACTCAGAATTAAAATGGACTAATTTGAATTTAGCTTAATTCACTTTCCAAGTAAATTAATCTAAATTAAGGCCACTTGAATTGTAAATGAGAATTAAGCACGGATTTAAGATGATTTAAACTAATTCATGCTGAATGCATGTTTATCATTAAATTTGTATTAGTTTTCCAAAATGCCTCAATTCAGATAAATAAAAAAGATAGATTATAACCAATGTGACACATTTTAGACCAGATGCTCTGGATGGTTTCCATATTCAGTTTCACAAAGAATGCAGTGTTGTGGTCAAACCTATAAATTATAACATGAAATCCTACGTTTAGGTTTATTTTCATAATTAACAAATTTTTTCTTTTGTCATTACAATTAGGTTTAGTGTTAATTCTCTACCACACAGCAGGAAAGCACACGTAGAACCAGCAAAACTGAACAAGTTAGAAGTGTCAGATAACTATCTGCTGTCTACTTAAGTAGGTTAGAARGCAGCTAAAATGTTCTCCTAGCTTTTAAAAGAAAGTCTGAATAATGGCTTTTAGAAAAAAGTTTGATAAATACTGATCGCTAAATAAAACAAAAAAGCCTGTCTTATTTAATCCAGAAAATACATTTGGGATCCAAATACGGCAGGTTGTGTGGGGTTTTTTTTGTTTTTTTTTTCTTTTTAAATAGACAGGTCTCAAACTCACCTATCCTGCTGCAAATGGTAACCAGTAGTTCACCAACTGTTTTGGAATCATCCACCATGACTGTTTTTACTGAACCATCCAGCATCCGTATTTTCTGAGGTCTCTGTTTCTTTTTGTACTCCAGTATATCCTAGGGAGTAAACAAAACTGTTTCTAAATGCTTTTGGAAGCCAACACAAAACAACCCACTAGAGCAGAGGACTGAAGCACTGTTTCTCCTGTTCCATTCATTCCCACCCCTCCTGAATAAGTTGGGTTTTGTTGTTGTTGTTTTGTGTAAGTAAATTTACTGAAGAAAAAGACTCAGAAGTGACTCCTTGTAGTTGTCAGACTCCTGAACCATGAGTCAATGACAATGTCGTTTTTCATACAGCTTTCTTAGCTAGCAAAACTAAAACAGGGCAGGATATCTCACAGTATGTGTGCGGCAAAACGTGATTTAGCATCTGAAGAAATTGCCTAAACTGCAGTGGGACCTTTGACCATTAATTTTTAAATGCACAGTAAAAGGCAGCCACCTTTCAGGCACATTCAAACCTGCTATGCCTCACCAGCTATCTGGGATACAGCAAGARTAATCCCTATACAAGAAAAAAGCTGAATCACTTCTTGGTACTACTCAGAAGCACAGCATTGGCTGTAAATGACAGACAAGGAAAAGAACAACCCTGTGTCCTAGTTCCCATATTAGTTTATTTTATTTAGAATTGATATTGTCCTGACATGCACAGTGTAACAACTGCTTCTACACCCCTCTTCTCTCCCCAGTCATGTTCCCTAAAAATAAAGGTTGATGAGAAACAACAAACTTGCCCCCTACCCCATTTCTCAGCATGTAATAATCCAGCGTTCTTCCAGCTTCCAGCCATATACCTTTTCGAGGATCTTCGTCTGACAAGAACAATCCATAGTCAGAGGCTGTGGAACAAGAGAGAAAATTGGACTTGCATGGCATAAAAAGGTGGCAGGGGAGAGGAGAACTCCCATGTAATAAAATCAACATAGTCACTACATTGAGGGGATGTTTCCATTTCATTTTCCTCGTATTCTTCAACGTAAGTAAAAATATTTAAGTATTAGTTGCAGGTGGGGTGAGAATTGCCTTTCAGATAATTTATGTAAAAAGTCAACATTGCACAAAAGTTCTATTTGCAAAAACTTCTGCCTTACCTAAGAAAAAAATAATGCAATTAACTTGATCTTTAGTCACTTCACAGATACATATGCATTCTACATGTCACTCCAGACAATTTTGATTTTTATTAATAACTCACTCCCAGGACTGCCTAATAAATGGACAAACAAAACAATGCTACTAGATGAAAAGAATATGGGCCTCTATTTTCAGTTCAACCAGTTAATTAACTGAAAACAAATTCAGGAACCCACCTTGTCCTGTTTGAGCCTCTGGCACTCGTTCCCGAATGACTCTGCACGCGTCGTACACTGCAGTGGATGGTTCAAACTGCATCGTCTTCACCACGTTGCACTGGCGGACACAGATCTTCAAGGAAAGGGCCACCATGGTGTCAAATCACACGTAAGCTCCTACTAAAGGATCTGAAAAGGCAGAAAGGACATCCTCTGATTTATGCTTTTAATGCTCTAAGATTCAATTTTTTATGAAAGATTTCAGGTGAGACTCTTACAAATGCAATTCTGCATAAAGTCACATTATCATCAAGCTAGAAACTGTCCAAAACAGTTATTTTTCTTGGCATATTGGAAGCTCAKTTTTGGAAGGGGGCGTGTACACCTCCTTGAAAACTGACATTTTGTTTGAAATATGTCAAAATGCTGCATGAGGAACACCATGAGCTTTCCAAGAATACTGCCAAAAGCAAGTCACTCACTCCCATCATTTTCATGACAGAAAAGCAACCACATTTTTTAATTTTTTCATTCCTCAATGCCAAACATTCAATAACAAGTGACAGGTCAAACTCTCTGTAAATATGCAAGATGGATTTCAGAAACGTTAATATTTCCTCTTTTTCAGTGCCAGACATTAAAAGAAAAGGGCAAGAGGGAAAGGGGACAGATGGCTTTCCAAGCAAAGAGACAACTTATTTACAAACTGGGAAGCTGAGAAAGTTTCCTTGAGAAAAAGGACTTGCTCCCTTCTTGCCTCCCCCATTTTCTGCTGGAATATTTAGACTAGCTAGTAGCTATAAACAATGTACAATAAGTACTTAAACAAAAGCAGAATTTTCTTAATACAAAGCGTCTCTTCTAGGGATTACCTAACAGCATGTGTTTTTTTTCCTCCAAGCCTCCACACAGAACCATAGATATTTTTTACCCCATTGTGCAGCCATCCAAAGCTTCAACTCCAAGCTATTTTTCATTTCTGTTCTAACCCTGAAACCTTGCCGAATTTGACAGCTCTTGTCTGCAGAGCAGGAAGCTCCAGATGCTTTTTGTTCTGCTTGGTTTTGCGGATGGTCTGGGTTTCATCTCCCGAGCCTCCCTTGCTGCCGTGACAGGCCAAACGGCTCCTCCACCCCTGGACTTTCCACACTCATCTCCAGCAGCTCTTCACAGCTTCTGATAAAATCTCCTCTGCAAAAATTCCTTGTGCATATTTTAGCTAGGAAAACTCGGGAGATGCCAAGGACTGATTAACAAATGATAATTTAAACAGGACAAAATGCTATTTGTTTTCAGCACAAATTTAAAGTCTAATTGTACCCTGTTTTACAGCACAGTACTATTTAACAAATCCCTTGCAAAGAATAGTAAGGAACCATTGCCTACATTTCATTGATGGTGAAAAACAAGCAAAAAAAAACCCCAGCATACACCAAAGCACAGAGCTCAATGATCAAACACTTACTGAGGCCCCAAACACAGATCATGTCTCCAGTAATAAAGCTTCGGAGAATCTCTGGCCCTCAGATGTCCTCCCCTGAGCAGGGCTGCAGGACGGCCCATCCATCTGCCTCCCAGCCACCAAGTCATCCCACCTACCTAATATTTCGCCATCCTGCCAAGGCTTTGCTTTCTACCAGTATGAAACCTTGAAGAAGTTCACAGTGACAAATGATGAAGGCACTACTTGACAAAAGCAAAACAACAATTCCATCTGGAAAAGCAGGGGGAAGGAGAAAAGCCATAAAGTACATGAATGCATATACCTCGAGGCTTCCCAAAACTTTCAGGACATGGTAAAAATGTTTTTTTGAACCAATCATTCCAGATGGAGATCACAAAAATAAGTCATAAACTCTCCCTACTTGATGAATTGATGAAAATGGTAAAATGCCATTTTCTAGAAACACCATCTTTCAAAAGTAATCATTCAAAATAGCACCTGAACAAAATAAACGCAATAGAAAAATAAATCTCTCAGCAATATTTCTACATTCCACTGAGATTTAATACAACTAGTTTCAGTTTGGTACTGGACCATTTATGGATAAGCAAAATATAGAGCATTTTAAAAACAAAACAACCTAATAAAACACAGCTTTGAACAGTTGCTACCATGCAGAGTGGCCTCAGGAAGTGTGCGCACATGTGTGCTGTTAAAAAAATAAGTTTGGCTCACTAACCAGTCAGAGAAAAGCTCTGGAGCAGCCTGGCCAGTTGCTCCCACAGCAGTGCTGGCCAAGGGGCCACCTGGGCAAGCTGGCTGCTAGCCAGCATCAAGAGGCCAGTGACCAGCCTGGCTCCCTTCACCCTCATCCTGGGCAACAGGCCCGGCCAAGGCCAACKTGCTGCAACCCTCCGACTCTCCCTCTCTGCTGTTTGCTTCTCTTAAGAAGTAGTGAGATAAAGCGACAGGAGGAAACAGGTAAGTTTGGGAGAAAGGCTCTGTCTCCTCCTCTTTACATTTTATTGCACAGGAAGGTGAGTCCAGAAGGGCATTCCCAGAACAAGATGCATTGCCCATTAAGACAGTAAAAAGGATATTCATTTTTCTAGAAGCTCAGGAGTTCCCAAGAATAAGCAGCTAACTTACAGTATGAATGACTTTGGAGAAACAGAAATAACCACTCAACACATTCAACAGCTGTTCAAAACACACAGCAGAAGACAACCAACCAGCCCCACACCCTTGAATACAGCTGGAAAGGCAAGGTCCCCTGTGCCCTGTTCAGGAAGGAGCCACTCAGATGCCTCCATCCCTGTAGTTAAATGCTCATAGCTGAGCCATCCCAGCACAGGGCAGGCCCTTCCAACAGACCCAACTACCCTTCTTTTCAGTTCAAAACAGAACCCATTTGAGACATCATTCTGCACAGCAAAATGACCAACTTGGTAAGSAATGCAAAACAAATGATTGGCCAGTCATAAATTAACATATAGCAGGAAAACTCTACACCACTCACCCTTCATTAGCAAGAACACATCCCATATAAGTTGGTGATGTAATATTTTGTTGCTTAAAGATAATTTTTTTAATCTCAAATCCTTGAACGCTTCTTCATTAAAAGAAACTTTCTGAAATTCCCCCCAAATATCTTTACCAAACTGAAGAGCTCTTCATCTCTTCTAAAGAAAGCACTTTGAGCAAAACAGAAGAAATGAAAAGATTTACTTAGCTGAAAATACAAATATTCGCAGATCTCAGCATTCTATTTGCCCTAAAATAAAGTTTAAATGCTTTTCTAATKATTTAATTATTCTACAAACAATAAGCCAGAAACAATAAACTTAACAATGACAGGCAGGTCACAGAATAATAAATCAAAAAAAGAGCTAACACAGTGGTTAACTCTTTTTCAGAAATATCACCAGTGTTCAAGCACACTATCCTTGAGTTTGTTGCACTGGGCACTCAGTTACAATTGCTTTTCATTCTGGTCTCATGCAGAAGCCATGAGGAATCCACACTAACTTGAAAGCTTACAGGCCAGATAAATATGATGGGTGGGAGCTTTAGATACCAATAGGAAGTAGATCTGCTGACATAATAAATGACAAATGWGACTGCCCAGCTCTGCTGCACTGGAACAGGCAAGCAAAAAAATAAAGAAGYATTACCAAGCTAAAAGCAAACAATAAGATATTGGGAGAAGCCCTTATGACATGTACTGAAACAAAGTTGGAGGAGAAACCACTTAATAAACAGTGACCTCCCCAGTAATTTGCACACCCACAAGGGATTATTTGTAACYTTCCTATGCCAACACTTAGGGGATGGATTCCTGGTGGGGCAGTGACATTGTCCATGTCTYTTCAATTGCAATACTAAACAGAAAAAAAACAATGATTTTTATAATCTCTGCTTATAAAGCAAGCAAAACAGTGTTCTTATTCTCATATTTCACATCCTTGCAAACAAAATGTTTTAACTAAGTATACCATCCAAAATAASTGAAATCACTGCATTTCTTCACTAGACAAACATGAAATATCTAACACTAACACTGTCAAATACGGACTGCACTGCTCCTGTTAAAGCAGGGTTTCAACTGCCGCTCTGATGGTTAAATGTAAATCTCTGCTATGGTTTAGCAGAGGTTTGTCTCCCTGGAGATATTTCTTAACTGGTTCATTTAGGCTTGAGCAAACAGAAATCTAGGTCATGAGATTCCACAGTCTAGAAGCTTGCATATATGCATGCTCACATCAAAGCTAAATATTTTTATACTAGATGGACTTTGTAACAAGATCCAGTGGGTCAGAAACTCTGTACTCTCCGCATTCCTGCCATTTAGATGTCAGTRCAGAGCACCAGCAAAACAAGACATGTGATATTTGAGTATCTTACTTGGTTTACAACATTTCGAAGATATCCTTACCASTCCAGCGGATGGCAAAAATTCCTTAAGGAAGAAGTAAGAATACAAGCCCTGCTGCACTAACTACATTTTATTCTGCCAAAAGTATGAATTCCAATGGAAGTGTGAACCCTCAATGCCAAGGATGACACAACCACAGTGCCAACACTTGGGCAGATGACTGCTCAGATATAATAAATTATCAAATTATCGATGACAATTGAACTAGTTAGTCCAKGCTACTCATAGCAACACATTAATATTATATCATTATGCTGTGCAAGGTCACACCATATCCTTCCAGGTAAGCTTGTCTTCTCCTTACTACTCTACAASTGCTCATGCAGCTCATCTGAAGCAAAATACATTCACTCAAATGTGCTTAAGAAAGTGGTGCTACTAGTATGCTTAGAATTAGACCAGGCTTAGCCATCAGCTCACTCTATAGAACCTGACTGGTTAGTTGCAGGTTCCCTAAGTGCAATGTGTCAGGAYTCCAGCAGGAGTTCCTTGATGCAGAACACACAAAGTCTCACCCCAGATGCTCTGCTTTACCAGATGTGTGTGCAGAGGTGCTTCAGGCAGYGCTTCCATCACTGATGCCTCAAGATCATGTCTGGGAACTGTGCGGTAGCAGTTGTGCTGGCAGTGAGTTTACAAGGGAGTAACAGCATGCACTCCTCCAGCAGCCCAAATATACAATTCCAGTTTGCCTCAAATTATCTTGAGGATGAATCAACAACAGTCAACCAGTGAACCAAAAGCCAATGCTACAAATGGTATCAAGTAGAGAGACACTGACTTAGGGCCCAGGTCCAAAACTCTCTGCCA